TACCGTTCTGACGGGAGCAAGTCAACCTCATCACGTGACCTCCCACGTCAGCCCTTGATTTCCCAGGCATAACAATAAGTTTAAGTATGTTCTTAACTTCTGTTGAGTTTTCAAGCCATCGAAACGCTCCCTAACTCATTCTCAGATCCAAGAATTTTAAGAATTTCCTATATAACTTAAGTTTTTACATGCCTCTTGGTTAATTTGTTTCAGTTTGAAGATGTTCTGAGTCAGCCTGATCCAAGAGAAGATCTTGAGAAACTTGTCGATCCGAGGCTCGGTGATAATTATCCTCTATTCTGTCCTCAAGGTAATATCTGATCTCAAGAGTCATGGAGTTTGGAGTAATGGTGTATTATTAATGAGATGAGTTGATGTTTTGGTCACAGATGGCTGAGCTTGCCAGGGCTTGTACACGAGAAGATCCTCAAGTGAGGCCAAGCATGAGGGAAATTGTGGTTGCTTTTACAACACTTTCATCTGAAACAAAGGAATGGAATGTCAGCGCATTCCATGGAAATAAAGCTCTGCTCAATCTAATGTCAGGAAAGTAGCAGTTTGAGCTGTATGTGCTTGGCAGTGGTGCCTTGTTTAATTGCCCACAAGATGAAAATTCTAACCAATTTGTTACATGATAATTTTGATGTTCAATTTTTCATTGTAATTCTTTTCCAATGAAGATGAATTTAGTATAAGGAAACACAGAAAATTCTCAATAGGAAAATATATTGTAATAGTAGGATTAAGCGTCAATCAGCAGGCTAAAAGCTTAAAGCTCTTACCCAGGATGCGACTTTATTTTCATATTCCATCAATGAGACAATGACATTGACAGCGCAAAACCCACATTTATCAGTGGCCGGATAGCGTTGGACGAGTGGGCACCGAAGTCATGTTAGGATCAGCATCGGGATTTTCACACCCATCAAGTGTGGTATTTAAGTTTAGAGGTTCTCCCATTTATCATATTGGTCTTTTAAATTGGACTCTCTTTTGAGTTTGAGTTCTAACATTAGTATTCTTGTTGAGAGTTGGGTTATGAATAGGGTTACAGATATGATAGATTAAGGTATAGTGTACTCTCCTTGGGTGGGGATACTATATTGAATAACTGATATGTGAGTGAAGCTACCCGAAGGGGGAAAGGGCTTTCGTCAGGTCAATGTCGATAGAGTAAAAATTGTTATAGATATAGAGTCTTGAAGGGGATGCAGTGCTAGAATTTCACATCCACCAAATATAGTACTTAAAGCTTAGAGACTCTCCCACCTATCAAGCTAACGTAAAACCAATCGTTTGCGTTGGACTCTCTTTTCAGTTTGAGTTTTAACATGTCACGAAGATGTGGGAAATTCATGACCCAATAATGTCAACACAGAAAATCAGGAGAAATAAAAGAAACAAAAACTTACAGCCATTGTTTCAGCTACAACATGAATAAATCGGGCAGCTGATATAACAAAAGTAACTGCTTCCATTCAGGTAGTTAGATTAGGTATACATCAATTATATACTGCTCTCATTATTCTTCATTTCTTTTATGTGAATTGATGGCCAGCAATATTAGGAAATACCTTTACTTAATTTCTGGTTCATCTTTTTTGATTTGTTGAATTCAGAAGACACCTAAAGAAACCAAGTAGAATACAAGCCAAGCAAAGAAAGCTTCTTCTACATACAAACAATTGCAGAAAGTCCAAAAATTTTTTAGCTGTTTCCATTAATCAACAGTAAACTTCCAAATCACAAGTCTACTCCACCTTCTGATAAAATATATTATTATTGAGGAAGAAACTGGAATGGCGGTTGGATTAAAAACATTTTGTGTCACATCCTGATAAGCTGGAAGCCATAACAATATCTTTCTTGCTTTGCCCTCCATTGATAATATCTTCTACAGTGTTTTATTTTTCTTTCACATTTTCCAGTTTTAAAACATCCATTATAAGATCCGATCCGATCCAATCGATTGCAATACGTAAAAAACTCAAAAAGTTCATTCTAAAAATTAATAAAAGCTGAAATGGGTCAAAAGAATTGATATTTAAGCCAGCTGGGGTTTATGTTTTCATTGGATTTTCTGATATGTTCAATGTTAGCCTGCTGTAATTGATCTTAATTTAACTATAATATAAGAAGAAAAAAGGGAAATGGTCAATCCAAAATGTCACCCACCTGAAAAATCTTGAGGATTAAAGCATAAAATGTTGCAATAATTCATAGTCAATCTTTATTGTGGACATCCTAAATTTTTTTAAGTACGGATTAAAAGTAAACGTTTGATCATCAACTTTATAAACCTTAAAATCAAAAAATCAAAATTGAACTATGAATCAATTTTTTTTTTATAACCGAACTATCCAGATTGAGTAATGCTACAGTTACCGACTGGTGTGTACCGATTTTGTGCACCGAATGATGTGGCACAATCCTGACCGTTTATTTATTATCAGTTAATATTAATCAATGGCCAAGATTTTGTCACGTCATTCGGTGCACAAAATCGGTACACACCAGTCGGTAAGTCTATCATTTTCCATCCAGATTAGCTTTGAATAACCATATAAGCTCAATGAATTAGGACCTCTGGGTAACTATCCATATGGCCAAAGTCTGGCCATCTGTCTATAAAATACTTTTTTTTTGTTCCTTAATGATAAGTATTGTATAATGAGAATCATTTTGTTCCTTATTAATAAGCACTTTATACTTTTTTTCCATTCAAAATTATTAGATAAAAGGGTATTAAAATAGTAATAGGTAGTTGGTTGGTGGTTGGTCTTTTAAAAGTCAAAATTTTTAAACTGTAACTTTGGGAATTGAAAATGAATTTTTAATTATCATATGAACTAATAGAAATTTAAATGGAGAGCACGTTGAAATTAAGGTCATGGTTTGGGGCACATCTCTGTGGTCAAAAATTGCAAATTAATTAGAAAAAAACAAAAAAAAAAAATCAACATAAAATAATATGTGAAAATAAATAAAGGTGATTTGGTAGGGTAGTGGTTTAGTTGTTGATGGGTTAGGCTTGGGGGCTTTTGATATCATCACTTTGTTGTTGTAGGGCAGGGCAGGGCTCCATTACTTTACCGGTTCAATCCAATTCCAACTCCACCTACGGATTCTACACTTATCTCAACGCAATTTATATGGCTTTCAACATACTTTTTCTTAGTTATTAAGAAAAAAAAAAAAAAAAAAAAAAAAACGATTCAATCACTGGGTCAAATCGGTTGGACCGACGATTCGTAATAAAAAATCTAATTTAGTTTTAACTGGATCATTTGAAAATTTTGATTTTTTAGTCGAACCGACTCGGCTCGATCACTGGTTCCTAGTTTAACTGGTCTGGCCGAGCCGAGTTTTAAAACCATGTTTCCCACCCCACCCACGGATTCTACACTTGTCTCCACGTGATTTGTATGGCTTTTGTCATACTTTTTCTTTGTTATTAAGAATAACTATTTTAACTAAACTTCTATGAACACCCAAAATCACCAAGTTGAAATTTGGTTAATTGATTCAAAAACACTCAAAACCGATATAAAAAACTGGTTAACTGATATTTGGATATTGTAACTTGCTTTCTTATTTATTCATAGGTAAAATTATTTAATAAAAGAATACAATTATAAATATAAATAGAATTATAGAAGTTCTATTAAGAATTGAAATATGAATTTTATATATATAGTCTCCAATGTGCATCTCGATTAATTTTTTTAGATGATTAACACAATATTCCGTTGTCATAATCACTTACTTAAATTTTGGAAGATAAGAAAATTCGAACCTAAATAACAACATATATACAAACTATAGATTTTAACAAATGTTATATATATTTTTTTAGAACATTTGTTTTTATTTGTTGACTTTAAGACAAATCCCATGAATTTATCATTAATTAAAATATCATAAAAAGTAAATCTCAAACACATGCAACAAGCATACTTGCACTATCATTAAAATCGAACAAGTAATAAAAAAATCTAGAAGAAATTATATACTATATAACTATTTTTACTTATTTTAATTTTCAAGATGTTGAGATTTTGATTAGTCATAAAATCACATGGTTTAATTTATTTTCCGTTAATAAAAAATAATAAAAATAAAAATAGTCGAAATATAGTAGACTACAAATCGACTTTTATATGTCATTTTTTTTTTTAATTAATGGAGTTTTCTACGTGTGTCAATCCCCGGTTATATCATCTGTTAGACTTTTATCCATAAAGTCCGAGGGTCGGTCGGTCCAAATCCGATCTGGGTCCGAGCTGTCTTTATAGCCCACCACACCCACGCAGACGACGCTGCAGCCACGCGGCACCACACACCACGTCATACACAGAGACACACGCGCTCTTTTTTCCACGCACAGCAATCACTTTCTCCCAAAACACCCCAACTTATCCGTCAAATCCCACTGTGTTCGCCACGCCCCCCACCCGCTCGTGCAATAAAATCCCCTCCCTCCCGAAATCTAACGAAATGTAGCCGTTGGGAAATCCCTCGTGTCCACTTGCCGACATCCAAGGCTACCCTAAACGACTAGTCGGTTCATTATTATAATAATAAGAATAAAATATGAATAAAACGTAAACATCAAGCCGAAATGGATGACCCACCGCTACAGCACAACACAACGCTTCGTTTTAGCCTTTATATTATATTTTATGAAACGAAACAAAGTAGATTTCGTCTCTCTGTAAATTTACTTTCCTTCTCCACAACCACTGACGATTCTTGTTTCTGGAGTTGTCTATAATTATTCCTTTCTTTTAATTCTCTCTTTTATAGTATTATGGTTTTATCAGTGCGTGGTGGAAGCCTGCGTTGTTGCTTTGTGCTTGTGTGTATCCTGGAGGATAAGTTCAAGTATGTTCTTAACTTCTGTTGAGTTTTCAAGCCATCGAAACGCTCCCTAATTCATTCTCAGATCCAAGAAGTTTAAGACTTTAAGTTGTGTTATCTCTTCTTTGGCGCCTGTTTGTTCTTTCGAGGAGACGAGTGATAAGGTCGTTAACTTGAAGAAATCACGCAAAAAGAAGGATATTCATTTCCTTTTTTTTTTTTTTTAATTTATATATGTATGTTTTTTATGATCGGGCTGGAAAAATCTTTGTGATGGTGAAATGAAGTAGATACGAGAAAAATTAAGTGACCGTTATGTGAATATATAACAGGAAGGTCTTAGTTCAATCTAGTGAAGTTTCTATTTTTAGTTATTTTTTATTTTTATTTTTATTTTTTTGTAGTTTTCGATTTTAAGTTTAGCGCCGGAAAATGAAATGATTTAATTTGGAAATAGCATTGGGATTGTGTTCTAATTGTTTTTAAGTTCTTGTTGATTCTGAGATTTCAATTTTTGATGAGTATTAATAGTGTTGCTCGTTTGACAGGGGAAGTTGAATTTTGTTGCAGATATAGATGGCGACGATCGCAGATATAGGGGTTTCAGCAGCTCTTAATATTCTTAGTGCCTTCATTTTCTTAATAGCATTTGCAATATTGAGGATTCAACCGTTCAATGATAGGGTGTACTTTCCGAAATGGTATCTTAAAGGGTTAAGAGAAAGTCCAACGCATGGGGGGGCACTTGTGCGGAAGTTTGTGAATTTGGATTTTAGATCATATATAAGGTTCTTGAATTGGATGCCGGTTGCATTGAAGATGCCGGAACCTGAGCTTATTGAGCATGCTGGATTGGATTCAGCTGTGTATTTGCGGATTTACTTGTTAGGACTTAAGATTTTTGTTCCTATAGCATTGGTTGCTTGGACTGTTTTGGTGCCAGTTAATTTTACAAATAGCACATTGGACGTAGCAGCCAAACTATCAAATGTGACTTCAAGCAATATCGATAAGCTTTCAATATCAAATATCCCACTAGAATCACAGAGGTGTGCGCTCCTCTCTCTGAAACTTTTCTTTCCTTTCATATCTAGATGTTAATCAACTCTGGAGCCTGGAGGATATTTATACTATCTTGATTGAAATATGATAATTTGCTTTTGAACAAGAATTATGTTTATTTCTGACCTGCAGGTTTTGGGCTCATATTGTGATGGCTTATGCCTTTACCTTTTGGACATGCTATGTGTTGATGAAGGAGTATGAAAAAGTTGCTGCTATGCGGTTGGAGTTTGTTGCAGCAGAAAAACGTCGACCGGATCAATTTACAGTACGATCTGTTCTTTCCTCAATAAATTAGTTCGAATATATGATTTTTTTTTTCAAACAATTTTGAGATTGATGAGATTTATTTGTTATAGTGAAGATTTTTTTTTTTTAAATTATTACTTATTATTTTATTTTTTATAATCGAATAGATTTTATTGTTAAGGTGCAAATTCTGTTATTAGTAGTAATAGCTGTTAGATTTGAAAGACGGAAGTCACGGAAGTGGGAAACTTTCTACTCTACAAGTTTTTTGTACTCTACCAGAATATCATATGTCAATATTTCTTACCATCTGCTACTGGTATTATGGTTCTATCACTTTGTAATCATAACTGAAAGTTACAAAACGAAAATACTTGATTTAATCATCAAAGCTCATAAGATATGACAACTGGATCTTCATATATCATGCTTTTATGCCAAACTTGTCTGATGGAATCTTGCTTCACAGGTCCTTGTTAGGAATGTTCCCCCAGACCCAGATGAATCTGTTAGTGAGCTTGTGGAGCATTTCTTTTTGGTGAATCACCCAGATCACTACCTAACACATCAGGTTGAGTTTTGTTGATATCTGATTTCATCGAATCTGATTTATGGTCAGAAGCCATGAGTTATGACATTAAATTATGTACAACACATGTTTAATGAGTGATATTTTTTGGGGACTCACTTCTGATTTGATTCATGGTATATTTTATGTAGGTGGTAATCAACGCGAACAAACTTGCCAAATTGGTGAAGAAGAAGAAAAAGATGCAGAATTGGCTTGAATACTACCAAAATAAATATGAAAGAAATAATTCGAAGAGGCCGGTTATGAAGGTAATATACTTGAGATGTTATTGTCATTGTAATATGTAAAGTTTGCTAGTTTATTTGTATCCTTTTAAGGTTTAACTTTTTGTGATATCAATGCGAATGTTTTCTTTGACCAGACTGGTTTTCTTCGACTTTGTGGAGCAAAAGTGGACGCAATTGATCATCACATATCTGAAATTGAAAAATTGTCAACAGAAGTGAGTATTATTCCTGTAATGTCTTCTATATTTAAATAATTTAGACAGGACAATCTTAGTTGATGCTCTATGCCAAAACTAATCATGGTAGCCTTTTTTATTTTTTATTTTTTAACTTTATCTGGCTTTGCTGTGCTCACTTTTTGTAAATATAACATACTGGTTGCTGTCTCAGTATATTGTTTCTTCAAATATATAGCCCTACCAAGCAACTAGAAAATGCCTGAGTTTGGACCAAATTTAGTTAAACACTGGACAGCATTATAGTAGTCAATCAAACTCAAAACATTTTTCTACCACATTAGAGCGTTTGCCAATCTGTACGAGTTGGTAAACAGTTGACTGTATCCTTTCTTTCCCTTTTTTTCAAATACTGTGAATGTCTCAGTAAAAATCTAGCCTGTCTCATTATTTTGACCCATGGAAAATGGTTTTTTTCCCTGGTAAGAACAATGGATAGATGGTTTTGTATTTTTCAACAATTACATGTCTTGCTCTTCATATTTAGGAGGGCTGAGCAATCCAATTTAAATTTAAAGCATTGTCATGATGTTCTTTAGGCCTTTCAATCAACATGAATGCTTAGTGCTATCATGTGATGATATTGATACAGTGATTTGCTATTTTATGCTTGGGTCCATATGAATAAATGAGAGGTTTCTGTATTTTATTGGGCTTCTTTTGTTATATTTCCTTTCAATGTCATTACTTGAGGACAAGTTTGATTCAAAGACATTATATTTTGGTGTTGTTCAGATAGCAGAAGAGAGAAAAAGGGTTGTTAATGATCCCAAGTCTATAATGCCAGCAGCATTTGTTTCCTTTAAAACTAGATGGGGTGCAGCTGTGTGTGCACAAACTCAACAAACCAGAGATCCAACTATGTGGTTGACAGAGTGGGCCCCAGAGCCACGTGATGTCTTTTGGAAAAATCTGGCAATTCCATATGTTTCACTCAGTGTTAGAAGGCTGATTATTGGTGTTGCATTCTTTTTCCTCACCTTCTTTTTCATGATACCCATTGCATTTGTACAATCTCTTGCAAGCATTGAGGGAATTGAAAAAGCAGCACCATTTCTGAAACCCATAGTTGAAACGTAAGTTTCTATCATCCTCAAACACTTTTAGTATTCAGATTGCATTACTTTAACCAACTGATGTTATCTTAATTCACTATGATGCAGCAACTTTATTAAATCAGTCATTCAAGGTTTTCTTCCTGGTATTGTATTGAAGCTTTTTCTCATCTTCCTGCCGACGATATTGATGATTATGTCTAAGTTTGAAGGATTTGTATCTCTATCATCTCTAGAAAGAAGATCAGCTTCTAGATATTATCTTTTCAATTTTGTGAACGTCTTCCTTGGGAGCATAATAACTGGATCTGCATTTGAGCAGCTAAATTCTTTTATGAAGCAGTCAGCAAATGAGTATGTTTTTCTTACTGACTACTTATTATCTTCTTTGTTTTCTGTCCTCTTATTTTAGAATGCTATTACATTTCTGTTTCTGTGTCTTGGTGTGGGTTCCAACCTAAAAAATATTCATTTCATCCTTAAGTAAACTAAGTGGTGGATTACTATTGCTGACGAGTGATTGCATAATCATGGATTACTATTGCTGACGAGTGACTGCATAATCAAGTCAGCTAGTGATTTGTGTTGTAATGTCTTCATCCAATTTTTAACGTTCTTCAGTTTTGTGAAGATGAAGCTTAAATCTTTTCTCTTTTGGCAGTATTCCCAAGACAATTGGAGTAGCTATACCAATGAAAGCAACTTTCTTCATAACTTATATAATGGTCGATGGATGGGCTGGTATAGCTGCAGAGATTTTAATGGTGAAACCACTGATTATCTACCACTTGAAGAATTTCTTCTTGGTGAAGACTGAAAAGGACAGGGAGGCGGCAATGGATCCAGGAAGTATTGGTTTCAACACTGGAGAACCTCGTATACAGTTTTATTTTCTGCTAGGCCTTGTCTATGCGACAGTGACTCCTTTTTTGCTCCCTTTCATAATTGTTTTCTTTGCACTGGCCTATGTTGTTTTCCGTCATCAGGTAAGAAGTATTTACCAACATTCCACCTGTGTTTTTAATTTTTAATTTTTATTTTTAATTAAATGAACTATATGCTACAGCTATTGTTTTCATACTAGAGTTCTGTTTGTTAATTTTATTTTAAAATGTAGGTCATAAATGTTTACAACCAAGAGTACGAGAGCGGTGCAGCATTCTGGCCTGATGTCCACAAAAGAGTCATTGCGGCATTGGTTATATCACAGTTGCTTCTTATGGGGAGGGGGTTTATGTTTTCATTGGATTTCTGATATGTTCAATGTTAGCCTGCTGTAATTGATCTTAATTTAACTATAATATAAGAAGAAAAAAGGGAAATGGTCAATCCAAAATGTCACCCACCTGAAAATTTGAGGATTAAAGATAAAATATTGCAATAATTCATAGTCAATCTTTATTGTGGACATCCTAATTTTTTTAAGTACGAATTAAAAGTAAACGTTTGATCGTCAAACTTTATAAACCTTAAAATCAAAATTGAACTATGAATCAATTTTTTTTATAAACCGAATATCCAGATTAGTTTTGAAAAACCATATAAGCTCAATGAAACTATCCATATGGCTAAAGCTTGCCATCTGTCTATAAAATACCTTTTTTTTTGTTCCTTATGATAAGTATTGTATAATGAGAATCATTTTGTTCCTTATTAATAAGCACTTTATACTTTTTTTCCATTCAAAATTATAGATAAAAGGGTATTAAAATAGTAATAGGCAGTTGGTTGGTGGTTGGTCTTTTAAAAGTCAAAATTTTTAAACTTTAACTTTGGGAATTGAAAAGGAATTTTTAATTATCATATGAACTAATAGAAATTTAAATGGAGAGCACGTTGAAATTAAGGTCATGGTTTGGGGCACATCTCTATGGTCAAAAATTGCAAATTAATTAGAAAAAAAACAAAAAAAAATCAACATAAATAATATGTGAAAATAAATAAAGGTGATTGGTAGGGTAGTGGTTTAGTTGTTGATGGGTTAGGCTTGGGGGCTTTGATATCATCACTGTTGTTGTAGGCAGGGCAGGGCTCCATTACTTTACCGGTTCAATCCAATTCAACTCCACCTACGGATTCTACACTTATCTCAACGCGATTTATATGGCTTTCAACATACTTTTTCTTAGTTATTAAGAATAAAAATAAAAAACGATTCAATCACTAGGCCGAACGGTTGGACCGACATTCGTATAAAAAATCTATTTAGTTTTAACTGGATCATTTGAAAATTTGATTTTTTAGTCGAACCGACTCGGCTCGATCACTGGTTCCTGTTTAACCGGTCGGGCCGAGCGCAGTTTTAAAAACCATGTTCCCACACCCCACGATTCTACACTATCTCCACGTGATTTGTATGGCTTTCGTCATACCTTTTCTTGTTATTAAGAATAACTGTTTCACTAAACTTCTATGAACACCAAAATCACCAAGTTGAAATTTGGTTAATTGATTCAAAAACACTTAAAACCGATATAAAAAACTGGTTAACTGATATTCGGATATGTAACTTGCTTTCTTATTTATTCATAGGTAAAATTATAATAAAAGAATACAATTGTAAATATAAATAGAATTATAGGAGTTCATTAAAAATTGAAATATGAATTTTATATATATATTGTCTCCATGTGCATCTCGATTAATTTTTTTAGATGATTAACACAATATTCCGTTGTCATAATACTTACTTAAATTTTGAAGATAAGAAAAATTCGAACCTAATAACAAACATATACAAACTATAGATTTTAACAAATTGTTATTATTTTTTAGAACATTTGTTTTTATTGTTGACTTTAAGACAATCCATGATTTATCATTAATTAAAATATCATAAAAGTAAATCTCAAACACATGCAACAAGCATACTTGCACTCATTAAAATCGAACAAGTAATAAAAAAATCTAGAAGAAATTATATACTATATAACTATTTTTACTTATTTTAATTTTCAAGAGTTGAGATTTTGATTAGTCATAAAATCACATGGTTAATTTATTTTCCGTTAATAAAAATAATAAAAATAAAAATAGTCGAAATATGTACTACAAATCGACTGTTATATGTCATTTTTTCATTAAGATATATAATTGCATAATCTTTTCTTAATGCAATTTTCTACATTGTCAATCCCTGGTTATATCATCTGTACTTTTACCATAAGTCCGAGGGTCGGTCCAAATCCGAACTGGGTCCGAGCTGTCTTTATAGCCCACTACACCCACGCAGACGACGCTGCAGCCACGCGGCACACACACACCACGTCACACACAGAGACACACGCGCTCTCTTTTCCACGCACACAATCTTTCTCCCAAAACACCCCACCACTATCCGCCAAATCCCACTGTGTTCCCCACGCCCCCCCACCGCTCGTGCAATAAAATCCCCTCCCTTCGAAATGTAGCCGTTGGGAAATCCCTCGTGTCCATTGCCGACATCCAAGGCTACCCGCCTAAACGGCTATCGGTTCATTATTATAATAATAAGAATAAATATGAATAAAACGTAAACATCAAGCCGAATGGATGACCCACCGCTACAGCACAACAAAACGCTTGGTTTAGCCTTTATATTATATTTATGAAACGAAACAAAGTAGATTTGTCTCTCTGTAAATTTACTTTCCTTCTCCACACCACTGACGATTCTTGTTTCTGGAGTTGTCTATAATTATTCCTTTCTTTTATCTTCTTTTATAGTTTATGGTTTTATCAGTGCGTGGTGGAAGCTGCGTTGTTGCTTTGTGCTTGTTGTATCCTGGAGGATAAGTTCAAGTATGTTCTTAACTTCTGAGTTTTCAAGCCATCGAAACGCTCCCTAATTCATTCTCAGATCCACAAGTTTAAGACTTTAAGTTGTGTTATCTCTTCTTTGGCGCCTGTTTGTTCTTTCGAGAGGAGACGAGTGATAAGGTCGTTAACTTGAAGAAATCACGCAAAAAGAAGGATATCATTTTTTTTTTTTTTTTTTAATTTATATATGTATGTTTTTTATGAGGGCTGGAAAAATCTTTGTGATGGTGAATGAAGTAGATACGAGAAAAATTAAGTGACCGTTATGTGAATATATAACAGGAAGGTTTAGTTCAATCTAGTGAAGTTTCTATTTTTAGTATTTTTTATTTTTATTTTTATTTTTTTGTAGTTTTCGATTTTAAGTTTAGCGCCGGAAAATGAAATGATTTAATTTGGAAATAGCCTTGGGATTGTGTTCTAATTGTTTTTAAGTTCTTGTGATTCTGAGATTTCAATTTTTGATGAGTATTAATAGGTTTGCTCGTTGACAGGGGAAGTTGAATTTTGTTGGAGATATAGATGGCGACGATCGCAGATATAGGGGTTTCAGCAGCTCTTAATATTTTAGTGCCTTCATTTTCTTAGCATTTGCAATATTGAGGATTACGTTCAAGATAGGGTGTACTTTCCGAAAGGTATCTTAAAGGGTTAAGAGAAAGTCCAACGCATGGGGGGGCACTTGTGCGGAAGTTTGTGAATTTGGATTTTAGATCATATATAGGTTCTTGAATTGGATGCCGGTTGCATTGAAGATGCCGGAACCTGAGCTTATTGAGCATGCTGGATTGGATTCAGGTGTATTTGCGGATTTACTTGTTAGGACTTAAATTTTGTTCCTATAGCATTGGTTGCTTGGACGTTTTGGTGCCAGTAATTTACAAATAGCACATTGGACGTAGCAGCCAACTATCAAATGTGACTTCAAGCATATCGATAAGCTTTCAATATCAAATATCCCACTAAATCACAGAGGTGTGCCTCCTCTTCTGAAACTTTTCTTTCCTTCATATCTAGATGTTAATCAACTCTGGAGCTGGGGATATTTATACATCTTGATTGAAATATGATAATTTGCTTTGAACAAGAATTATGTTTATTTCTGACCTGCAGGTTTGGGCTCATATTGTGATGGCTTATGCTTTACCTTTTGGACATGCTATGTGTGATGAAGGAGTATGAAAAAGTTGCTGCTATGCGGTTGGAGTTTGTTGCAGCAGAAAAACGTCGACCGGATCAATTTACAGTACATCTGTTCTTTCCTCAATAAATTAGTTCGAATATTGATTTTTTTTTTTTTTCAACAATTTTGAGATTGATGAGATTATTTGTTATAGGTGAGATTTTTTTTTTTTAATATACTTATTATTTATTTTTATATCGAATAGATTTATGTTAAGCAAATTTGTATTAGTAGTAATAGCTGTTAGTTACTTTGAAAGACAGAGTCACGGAAGTGGGAAACTTTCTACTCTACAAGTTTTTTGTACTCTACCAGAATATCATATGTCAATATTTCTTACATCTGCTACTGGTATTATGGTTCTATCACTTTGTAATCATAACTGAAAGTTACAAACGAAAATACTTGATTTAATCATCAAAGCTCATAAGATATGACAACTGGATCTTCATATATCATGTTTATGCCAAACTTGTTGATGGAATCTGCTTCACAGGTCCTTGTAGGAATGTTCCCCCGACCCAGATGAATCTGTTAGTGAGCTTGTGGAGCTCTTTTGGTGAATCACCCAGATCACTACCTAACACATCAGGTTGAGTTTTGTTGATATCTGATTTCATCGAATCGATTTATGGTCAGAAGCCATGAGTTATGACATTAAATTATGTACAACACATGTTTAATGAGTGATATTTTTTGGGGACTCACTTCTGATTTGATTCATGGTATATTTTATGTAGGTGGTAATCAACGCGAACAAACTTGCCAAATTGGTGAAGAAGAAGAAAAAGATGCAGAATTGGCTTGAAACTACCAAAAAAATATGAAAGAAATAATCGAAGAGGCCGGTTATGAAGTGATTGATCAAGAGACACACGTGATTATGGATAGAAAAATATGAAATAAATGCAATGGGAGCTTTTTAAAGTGGTTCGGATGCTAAGGTAGCAAGTCCTACGTCCACTGATTTGTATTAGTATAGTGGGTCAGGTCGCAACAGCGAACTGACTTACAAATGATTGGGAAAAGTAAATACAAAGTTTGTAAAAAAGAGAGAGAGTTCAAGTGTAAAATGGCCGAATCCCCTTAATGAAGGGGTCTTCCTCTTTTTATAACGGGATGAATGTAATCATCATTAAATCCTTGGGTTGGTGTGAATGTCAGGACCTAATCAAGCTTTATGTCCCATTGCCCACTTCCCAAGCTGATTTCACGCGATTTGGAGCAGGGAAATGGACACGTGGGAGCTCCATAGTGTTTGGCAGGTCTGACGTGCACTTACCGTTCTGACGGGAGCAAGTCAACCTCATCACGTGACCTCCCACGTCAGCCCTTGATTTCCCAGGCATAACAATAAGTTTAAGTATGTTCTTAACTTCTGTTGAGTTTTCAAGCCATCGAAACGCTCCCTAACTCATTCTCAGATCCAAGAATTTTAAGAATTTCCTATATAACTTAAGTTTTTACATGCCTCTTGGTTAATTTGTTTCAGTTTGAAGATGTTCTGAGTCAGCCTGATCCAAGAGAAGATCTTGAGAAACTAGTCGACCCGAGGCTTGGTGATAATTACCCTTTTGATTCTGTCCTCAAGGTAATATCTGATCTCAAGAGTCATGGAGTTTGGAGTAATGGTGTATTATTAATGAGATGAGTTGATGTTTTGGTCACAGATGGCTGAGCTTGACAGGGCTTGTACAAAAGAAGATCCTCAAGTGAGGCCAAGCATGAGGGAAATTGTGGTTGCTATTACAACACTTTCATCTGAAACAAAGGAATGGAATGTCAGCGCATTCCATGGAAATAAAGCTCTGCTCAATCTAATGTCAGGAAAGTAGCAGTTTGAGCTGAATGTGCTTGGCAGTGGTGCCTTGTTTAATTGCCCACAAGATGAAAATTCTAACCAATTTGTTACATGATAATTTTGATGTTCAATTTTTCATTGTAATTCTTTTCCAATGAAGATGAATTTAGTATAAGGAAACACAGAAAATTCTCAATAGGAAAATATATTGTAATATTAGGATTAAGCGTCAATCAGCAGGCTAAAAGCTTAAAGCTCTTACGCAGGATGCGACTTTATTTTCATATTCCATCAATGAGACAATGACATTGACAGCGCAAAACCCACATTTATCAGTGGCCGGATAGCGTTGGACGAGTGAGCACCGAAGTCATGTTAGGATCAGCATCGGGATTTTCACACTCATCAAGTGTGGTATTTAAGTTTAGAGGTTCTCCCATTTATCATACTGGTCTTTTAGATTGGACTCTCTTTTGAGCTTGAGTTCTAATATTAGTATTCTCGTTGAGAGTTGGGTTATGAAAAGGGTTACAGATATGATAGATTAAGGTACAGTGTACTCTCCTTGGGTGGGGATACTGTATTAAATAACTGATATGTGAGTGAAACCATCCGAAGGAGGAAAAAGGGCTTTCGTCAGGTCAATGTCAATAGAGTAAAAATTGTTATAGATATAGACTCTTGAAGGGGATGCAATGCTAGAATTTCATATCCACCAAATATAGTACTTAAAGCTTAGAGACTCTCCCGCCTATCAAGCCAACGTAAAACCAATCGTTTGCGTTGGACTCTCTTTCCAGTTTGAGTTTTAACATGTCACGAAGATGGCGTCTCTTCGTGGGAAATTCATGACACCATAATGTCAACACAGAAATCAGGAGAAATAAAAGAAACAAAAACTTACAGCCGTTGTTTCAGCTACAACATGAATAAATCGGGCAGCTGATATAACAAAAGTAACTGCTTCCATTCAGGTAGTTAGATTAGGTATACATCAATTATATACTGCTCTCATTATTCTTCATTTCTTTTATGTGAATTGATGGCCAGCAATATTAGGAAATACCTTTACTTAATTTCTGGTTCATCTTTTTTGATTTGTTGAATTCAAAAGACACCTAAAGAAACCAAGTAGAATACAAGCCAAGCAAAGAAAGCTTCTTCTACATACAAACAATTGCAGAAAGTCCAAAATTTTTTTAGCTGTTTCCATTAATCAACAGTAAACTTCCAAATCACAAGTCTACTCCACCTTCTGATAAAATATATTATTATTGAGGAAGAAACTGGAATGGCGGTTGGATTAAAAACATTTTGTGTCACATCCTGATAAGCTGGAAGCCATAACAATATCTTTCTTGCTTTGCCCTCCATTGATAATATCTTCTACAGTGTTTTATTTTTCCTTCACATTTTCCAGTTTTAAAACACCCATTATAAGATCCGATCCGATCCAATCGATTGCAATATGTAAAAAACTCAAAAAGTTCATTCTAAAAATTAATAAAAGCTGAAATGGGTCAAAAGAATTGATATTTAAGCCAGCTGGGGTTTATGTTTTCATTGGATTTTCTGATATGTTCAATGTTAGCCTGCTGTAATTGATCTTAATTTAACTATAATATAAGAAGAAAAAAGGGAAATGGTCAATCCAAAATGTCACCCACCTGAAAAATCTTGAGGATTAAAGCATAAAATATTGCAATAATTCATAGTCAATCTTTATTGTGGACATCCTAAATTTTTTTAAGTACGAATTAAAAGTAAACGTTTGATCGTCAACTTTATAAACCTTAAAATCAAAATTGAACTATGAATCAATTTTTTTTATAACCGAAGTATCCAGATTAGTTTTGAATAACCATATAAGCTCAATGAAACTATCCATATGGCTAAAGTCTTGCCATCTGTCTATAAAATACCTTTTTTTTTTGTTCCTTAATGATAAGTATTGTATAATGAGAATCATTTTGTTCCTTATTAATAAGCACTTTATACTTTTTTTCCATTCAAAATTATTAGATAAAAGGGTATTAAAATAGTAATAGGCAGTTGGTTGGTGGTTGGTCTTTTAAAAGTCAAAATTTTTAAACTTTAACTTTGGGAATTGAAAAGGAATTTTTAATTATCATATGAACTAATAGAAATTTAAATGGAGAGCACGTTGAAATTAAGGTCATGGTTTGGGGCACATCTCTATGGTCAAAAATTGCAAATTAATTAGAAAAAAACAAAAAAAAATCAACATAAAATAATATGTGAAAATAAATAAAGGTGATTTGGTAGGGTAGTGGTTTAGTTGTTGATGGGTTAGGCTTGGGGGCTTCTGATATCATCACTTTGTTGTTGTAGGCAGGGCAGGGCTCCATTACTTTACCGGTTCAATCCAATTCCAACTCCACCTACGGATTCTACACTTATCTCAACGCGATTTATATGGCTTTCAACATACTTTTTCTTAGTTATTAAGAATAAAATAATAAAAAAAACGATTCAATCACTAGGCCGAACCGGTTGGACCGACAATTCGTAATAAAAAATCTGATTTAGTTTTAACTGGATCATTTGAAAATTTTGATTTTTTAGTCGAACCGACTCGGCTCGATCACTGGTTCCTGGTTTAACCGGTCGGGCCGAGCCGAGTTTTAAAACCATGATTCCCACCCCACCCACGGATTCTACACTTATCTCCACGTGATTTGTATGGCTTTCGTCATACCTTTTCTTTGTTATTAAGAATAACTGTTTTCACTAAACTTCTATGAACACTCAAAATCACCAAGTTGAAATTTGGTTAATTGATTCAAAAACACTTAAAACCGATATAAAAAACTGGTTAACTGATATTCGGATATTGTAACTTGCTTTCTTATTTATTCATAGGTAAAATTACTTAATAAAAGAATACAATTGTAAATATAAATAGAATTATAGGAGTTCTATTAAAAATTGAAATATGAATTTTATATATATATATATGTGGTCTCCGATGTGCATCTCGATTAATTTTTTTAGATGATTAACACAATATTCCGTTGTCATAATCACTTACTTAAATTTTGGAAGATAAGAAAATTCGAACCTGAATAACAACATATATACAAACTATAGATTTTAACAAATGTTATATTTTTTTTACAACATTTGTTTTTATTTGTTGACTTTAAGACAAATCCCATGAATTTATCATTAATTAAAATATCATGAAAAGTAAATCTCAAACACATGCAACAAGCATACTTGCACTATCATTAAAATCGAACAAGTAATAAAAAAATCTAGAAGAAATTATATACTATATAACTATTTTTACTTATTTTAATTTTCAAGATGTTGAGATTTTGATTAGTCATAAAATCACATGGGCTTAATTTATTTTCCGTTAATAAAAATAATAAAAAATAAAATAGTTCGAAATATTTTATACTACAACATCGACTGTTATATGTCAATTTTTTTTCATTAAAGATATAATCAATTGCATAAATCTTTTTCTTAATGCATTTTCTACATTTGGTCAATCCCTGGTATATATCATCTGTACTTTTACCAAAAGTCCGAGGGTCGGTCCAAATCCGAACTGGGTCCGAGCTGTCTTTATAGCCCACTACACCCACGCAGACGACGCTGCAGCCACGCGGCACTACGTCTACACACCACGTCACACCAGAACACACGCGCTCTCTTTTCACGCACATCAATCCTTTCTCCCAAACAACCCCACCCTTCCGCCAAATCCCACTGTGTTCCCCACGCCCCCACCCGCTCGTGCATAAAATCCCCTCCCTTCCGAAATGTAGCCGTTGGGAAATCCCTCGTGTCCAGTTGCCGACATCCAAGGCTACCCTGCCTAAACGGTAATCGGTTCATTATATAATAATAAGAATAAAATATGAATAAAACGTAACATCAAGCCGAAATGGATGACCCACCGCTACAGCACAACACAAACGCTTGGTTTTAGCCTTTATATTTATTTTATGAAACGAAACAAAGTAGATTTTGGTCTCTCGTAAATTACTTCCTTCTCCACAACCACTGACGATTCTTGTTCTGGAGTTGTCTATAATTACTTCCTTTCTTTTAATTCTCTCTGTTTATAGTATTATGGTTTATCAGTGCGTGGTGGAAAGCCCTGCGTTGTTGCTTGTGCTTGGTGTATCCTGGAGGATAAGTCAAGTATGTTCTTAACTCTTGTTGAGTTTTCAAGCCATCGAAACGCTCCCTAATTCATTCTCAAATCCAAGAAGTTTAAGACTTTAAGTTGTGTTATCTTTCTTTGGCGCTGTTTGTTCTTCGAGGAGACGAGTGATAAGGTCGTTAACTTGAAGAAACACGCAAAAAAGAAGGATATCATTTCCTTTTTTTTTTTTTTTTTTTTAATTTATATATGTATGTTTTTATGATCGGGCTGGAAAAATCTTTGTGATGGTGAAATGAAGTAGATACGAGAAAAATTAAGTGACCGTTATGTGAATATATAACAGGAAGGTCTTAGTTCATCTAGTGAAGTTTCTTTTTAGTTATTTTTTATTTTTATTTTTATTCTTTTTGTAGTTTTCGATTTAAGTTTAGCGCCGGAAAATGAAATGATTTAATTTGGAAATAGCATTGGGATTGTGTTCTAATTGTTTTTAAGTTCTTGTTGATTCTGAGATTTCAATTTTTGATGAGTATTAATAGTGTTGCTCGTTTGACAGGGGAAGTTGATTTTGTTGGAGATATAGATGGCGACGATCGCAATATAGGGGTTTCAGCAGCTCTTAATATTCTTGTGCCTTCATTTTCTTATAGCATTTGCAATATTGAGGATTCACCGTTCAATGATTGGTTACTTTCCGAATGGTATCTTAAAGGGTTAAGAGAAAGTCCAACGCATGGGGGGGCACTTGTGCGGGAAGTTGTGAATTTGGATTTTAGATCATATATAAGGTTCTTGAATTGGATGCCGGTTGCATTGAAGATGCCGGAACCTGAGCTTATTGAGCATGCTGGATTGGATTCGCTGTGTATTTGCGGATTTACTTGTTAGGACTTAAGATTTTGTCCTATAGCATTGGTTGCTTGGACTGTTTGGTGCCAGTTAATTTTACAAATCAGCACATTGGACGTAGCAGCCAAACTATCAAGTGACTTCAAGCAATATCGATACTTTCAATATCAAATATCCCACGATCACAGAGGTGTGCGCTCCTCTCTTGAAACTTTTCTTTCTTTCATATCTAGATTTATCAGCTCTGGAGCCTGGAGGATATTTATACTATCTTGATTGAAATATGATATTGCTTCTGAACAGAATTATGTTTTTCTGACCTGCAGGTTTGGGCTCTTATTGTGATGGCTTATGCCTTTACCTTTTGGACATGCTATGTGTTGAGAGGAGTATGAAAAGTTGCTGCTATGCGGTGGAGTTTGTTGCAGCAGAAAAACGTCGACCGGATCAATTACAGTACGATCTGTCTTCCTCAATAAATTAGTTCGAATATATGATTTTTTTTTCAAACAATTTTGGATTGATGGATTTATTTGTTATAGTGAAGATTTTTTTTTTAAATTATTCTATTATTTTATTTTTTTATCGAATAGATTTTATTGTTAAGGTGCAAATTGTGTTAGTGTAGTAATAGCTGTTAGTATCACTTTGAAGACAGAGTCAGGAAGTGGGAAACTTTCTATCTACAAGTTTTTTGTACTCTACCAGATATTATGTCAATATTTCTTACCATCTGCACTGGTATTATGGTTCTATACTTTGTAATCATAACTGGAAGTCACAAACGAAAATACTTATTTACATCAAGCTCTAGATATGACAACTGATCTTCATATATCTGCTTTTGCCAAATTGTCTGATATCTTGCTTCACGTCCTTGTTAGGAATGTTCCCCCGGACCCAGAATCTGTTAGTGAGCTTGTGGAGCATTTCTTTTGGTGAATCACCCAGATCACTACCTAACACATCAGGTTGAATCTTTTTGATTCTGATTTAGTCATCTGATTTAGGTCAGAAGCATGAGTTATTGAAAAACATTAACTTTGTACTACACTGTTTAATGACTGATTTTTTTGGGATCACTTTAGATTATTCATGATATACTTTTTATGTAGATGGTATCAACGCGAACAAACTTGCCAAATTGTTGAAGAAGAAGAAAAGAGCAGAATTGGCTGGAAACTACCAAATAAACTATAAAAAATATTTCGAAGCCGGTCATGAAGGTACATATTGAATTTGATATGCTGTTTGTCTTGTAATATGTAAGTTTGCTAGTTTTTTGTATCCTTTTAAGTTTCTTTTGTGATATCAATGCGAATGTTTTCCTTACCAGATGGTTTTCTTGCTTTGGGAAAAGGTGAGCAATTGATCATCACATATCTGAAATTGAAAAATTGTCACAGAATTGAGTAATTCTTCTTAATGTTTCTATATGTTAATAATTTAGAGAGGACAATCTAGTTGTCTACTCAAACTAATATGTGCCTTTTTATTTTTTATCTTTAACTTTATCTGCTTTGCTGTCCTTTTTGTAAATATAACATACTGGTTGCTGTCTCAGTATATTTTTCTTCAAATTAGCCCTACAAAACTAGAAAATGCCTGAGTTTGGACAATTTAGTTAAAACTGGACAGCTTATAGTAGTCTCAAACTCAAACATTTTTCTACCAATTAGAGCGTTTGCCATCTGTAACTAGTTGGTAAACAGTTGCTGACCTTTCTTTTCCCTTTTTTTCAAACTGTGAAATGTTCCAGTAAAACTCAGCCTGTCTCATTATTTTGACCCATGGAAAATGGTTTTTTTCCCTTGGGAAAATGGATAATGGTTTTGTATTTCCCAATTCCATGTCTCTCTTCATATTGGAGGGTGAGCATCATTTAAATTTAAAGCATTGTCATATGTTCTTCGCCTTTCAATCACAGATGTTAGTCTATCATGTGATGATATTGATAAGTGTTGTGCTTTTTATGCTTGGGTCATATGAAAAATAGAGCGTTTTTATTGGGCTTCTTTTGTTATATCCTTTCAACTCTTACTTAGGACAATTTGATTCAAAAACATTATTTGGTGTTGTTCGATAGCATGAGAGAGAAAAAGGGTTGTTAGTGATCCCAAGTCTATAATGCCGCAGCATTTGTTTCCTTTAAAACAGGGGGTGCAGCTGTTGGCACAAACTACAACAAACCAGAATCCAACTATTGGTTGACAGAGTGGGCCCCAGAGCCACGTGATGTCTTGGAAAAATCTGGCAATTCCATATGTTTCACTCAGGTTAGAGGCTGATTATTGGTGTTGCATTCTTTTTCCTCACTTTTTTTTCATGATCCCATTGCATTTGTACAATCTCTTGCAAGCTTGAGGGAATTGAAAAAGCAGCACCATTCTGAAACCCATAGTTGAAACGTAATTTCTATCATCCTCAAACACTTTTAGTATTCAGATTGCATTACTCTATAACAACTGATATTATCTTAATTATATGATGCACAATTTATTAAATCAGTCATCAAGGTTTTCTTCCTGGTATTGTTTGAAGCTTTTTCATCTTCCCCAGATAGATTGATGATTATGTCTAATTATGAAGGTTTGTATCTCTATCATCTCTAGAAGAAATCAGCATCTAGATATTATTTTTCAAATTGTGAACGTCTTCCTTGGGAGCTAATAACTGGACTCATTTGAACAGCTAAATTCTTTTATAAGCAGTCACAGCTAATGAGTATGTATTTTCTACTGACTATTTTATCTTCTTTGTTTTCTTCCTCTTATTAAATGCTAATGCGGTGTCTGTGTGGGTTGAAACTAAAAATTTCATTTCAGTTAGTAAATAAGTGGTGGTTATATTCTCATATTGGTAATCATGATACTATTGCTGAACAGTGACTGCATAATCAAGTCAGCTAGTGATTTGAGTTGAATGTCTTCATCCAATTTTTTAGTTCTTCAGTTTGTGAAGATGAAGCTTAAATCTTTTTCTTTTGGCAGATTCCCAAGACATTGGAGTAGCTATACCAATAAAGCAACTTTCTTCATAACTTATATATGGTCGATGGATGGGCTGGTTAGCTCAGAGATTTAATGTGAAACCACTGATAATCTACCACTTGAAGAATTCCTTCTTGGTGAAGACTGAAAGGACAGGGAGGGGCAATGGATCCAGGAAGTTTGGTTTCCATACTGGAGAACCTCGTATACAGTTTTATTTTCTGCTAGGCCTTGTCTATGCGACAGTGACTCCTTTTTTGCTCCTTTCATATTGTTTTCTTTGCACTGGCTATGTTGTTTTCCGTCATCAGGTAGAGAAGTATGTTACCAACATTCCACCTTGTTTTTATTTTTAATTAAATGAACTTATGCTCAGCTATTGTTTTCATACTAGAGTCTGTTTGTTAATTTTATTTAAAATGTAGTCATAAATGTTTACAACCAAGAGTACGAGAGCGGTGCAGCATTCTGGCCTGATGTCCAAAAAGAGTCATTGCGGCATTGGTTATATCACATTGCTTCTTATGGGGCTGCTGAGTACAAAGGAAGCTGCTCAACACACCATTTCTCATTGCTCTTCCTGTACTTACGATATGGTTTCATAGGTTCTGCACGGCCGTATAATCTGCATTTGTTAAATATCCATTACAGGTTTGTTGGTTCATATGTAAATTTAATGGTTATTCCATAAACAGAATTTCAGAATATCGTTTGTTTTTCTTTTCTAAGCAATCTGAATTCTTGTTTCTTTGGTTTCAGGAAGCAATGAGAAAGAACTTTAGAACGTGCAAGGGAACCAAACTTAACTTGAAAGTTATCTTCAAAGCATACATCCATCCGTTTCAAGCTGATGTGAAGATAATGAAGATGAAAGGATATGCTATTGGACGGGGAAAAGGAAATGTTTATCCCACAAAACGCCATCCCGTAAAAACACCACCTGCCCAGCGAATAGTGGTGCATCCTCACACTCCTCTTGCCGACACTGTTCCGAAAAGCTCAGAGCCTGATTCTGTTTAAGCTTATACTTTTCCTACACATTTGAGTATTGCACAGCGAAGGATGACAACATTGTATTAATTGAGAAAGAGAGCATAGTTTCTTGATAGACAGAGTGAAAGAAGGAGAAGCGGCCACTTGAACAGATTTTAATTTTCCGCAGGAAGCAAGTTCGGATTTTGTGGCAGGCAGTTGAAAGGTACTTCAATGGTGAATACATCAGTGAGGAATTTTTTAAGATTGTGTGAAAAGGTGGATGGTTTATTAAATTTATTATTTGTTTGTATCATTGCACAGTGTGTCAATGTATGTAGTTTCACTCAACATATAAGAAATTTGGGCTTAAACTTAGTCTTCTTAATGGTCGAGCAGTCTCAATTTCACTACTGGATTTGCGAATGAATGCTGGCCTGGACTCCTTGAATGGCATGAGCAGCATGCGGGAGACCCGCACGTACAGTTTTTAGGGGGATTTGGTCTAAAGCAAAGATCGGCCTACGCCACCGACTAGAGGGATTATCTTATTTGATCGTTCAAAGGCGATCGTGGAGTCATTGAATGACGTCCTCCTATGAAATATGGCGACCACAACACATGTGTAGAGGAGATAATGCTCTATAGCTTCTTGACTGCGTAATATAAATCAGAACCAAAAAAAAAAGAAAAAAGTTTATAAAATTGAAATAGCTAGTTGATGTGCATGTAGAGGTGGCAATGGATTGTGTCGACACGGCTCAATGGCACAACACGAAAAATTTTGTGTCGTGTCATGGGCTTAGGATTGGTATATGGGTTGGTACGGTCCACGAATTTAAAAAAAAATAAAAAACTAAGATTTTTAAATTTTTTGAGAGGAAAACCTATACTAATCCATGAAACGTAACACGACATAGTCAATCAGGCCATGGGTCATGTCGTAAGCTTTGAGTTTAGTTGTTTGGCACGATATGACATAACTCACATTTTTGTGGCTATGGCACAATAGACTATGAAATTTTGACCTAACACGATTTATTGTCATCTTCGAGTATATAAATTGGTTCGGATACTCTTGTTAAAAAAAAAAAAGAAAGAATAGCCTTAACATAACACATGTCGGCACTAAAATCAACAGTGTTGAATGTATTATTCGCCTTTTTACCGCCATATCTTTTCTCTACTATTACATTTACACTAAAGTAATTATCCTAAGTGTGCAGCCGAAAGTTGATGGCGTACAACTTTCCGTGCTACAAGGATAGACAGGTGTCATTACTGTAAACTAAAACGAGTGAAAAAGCGGAGTGTGAAGAGTACGTTGCCTCCCATTGTCGACGAACTTTCCTTTCTCTACAATAACCATCGATTCTTATTTGTGGAGCTGTCTTTTTAATTCTCTCTTTTTGTCTTCGCATCAGTGCGTTGTAGATCGTGCTTATCCTCCTGGTGGATATTTAAGTTGAAGAATGTCTTAGCTTCAGCTGAGTTTTCTAGCCATCAAAACACTTCCTAAGTCATCTTCTTCCACTAAGCTTGAAGAAATCACGCAAATAGTATGAGCTTCATTTTCTTTTAAATTTATATTTGTTTTCATTCGTTTTTGTTCTGATTGATCGAGAAGAGCTTGAATTTCATTTATTGTTTTTTAATTCTTTGTAGTGGAAACTTAGAGAGTGAAATGAACTAGATATGAGAAAATGAAGGGATAGTTATAACGGACTAAATGCTCTGTTTTTTAGTAGAAGTTTAGCGCCAGAAAATGAAAATGCAATAGTATGATTCAAACATTTCAATTTTGATGAACAATAATATTAATAGGGAAATGGATTTTTTTTTTTTTATTTGTTGGAAGATATAGATGGCGACGCTCGAAGATATAGCGGTTTCAGCAGCTCTTAACATTCTTACTACCTTCATTATATTAATAGCATTTGCAATATTAAGGATTCAACCGTTCAATGATAGAGTATACTTTTCGAAATGGTATCTTAAAGGGTTAAGAAGTAGTCCAACGCATTCGGGGGCATTTAAGCGGAAGTTTGTGGATTTGGATTTTAGATCATATCTAAGGTTCTTGAATTGGATGCCGGCTGCATGCATGATGCCGGAACCTGAGCTTATTGAGCATGCCGGATTGGATTCAGCTGTCTATTTGCGGATTTACTTGATGGGACTCAAGATTTTTGTTCCTATTGGAGTCCTTGCTTGTGCTGTTTTGGCGCCGGTCAATTTTACCAACAGCACATTAGGCGAAAAAGCCAAGCAATGGAAAGTAACTTCAAGCGATATTGATAAGCTTTCAACTTCAAATATCCCGTTTAAATCAGAGAGGTGTGCTCTCTTCCCTTGCCTTTTTATACTATCTCTTGATTGTAATATGATGAATTCCTCCTGCACAAGAATTATGTTTATTTCTAAGTTGCAGGTTTTGGGCTCATATTGTGTTGGCTTACGTCTTTACCTTTTGGACATGCTATGTGTTGATGATGGAGTATGAAAAAGTTGCTGCTATGCGGTTGCATTTTCTTGCTGCAGAAGGACGACGGCCCGATCAATTTACAGTATGATCATTCCTTTCACAATAAATTAGTTCAAATATTTATTTTCTTTTCAAACAATTTTCAGATGATATGATTTATTTGCTATATTTAAGAAAATTTATTTTTTGAATTATTTTTAAAACCGGATAGAATTCATTTCTAAGGTGCACGTTTTTGTATTAGTAGTTATAGCCGTTAGTATTCACTTTGGAAGAGAGATGCGGAAAACTTCTACTCTATGGGGCGTTTGGATTGGGAGTATATAAGATAACGAGAGTAATCTTTGTTTATTTTGCAAGACTCCGGTGTTTGGTTTGCAAGTAATAAAATATTACGGTAATATTTTATTGCAAATAGTATTTACTGTTGGTAATGTGGGGGTAATCTTATAACCTTGTTATGGGGTGTTATTGAAATATTACCGGGGTAATCTGATTTTTCTACCCATTTTGCTCTTAATATAAAACTATTTCAGACACAATTGCCCTCAAATGTCTACCAAATAACAATTAGCCCAGCTCCCATACATTTAAGAGATTAGCTAAAACACCCCAACTATAAAAAAGTTTAAAAGATGACAAAATACCCTCAGCCACCCAAGACTACCGTCGGCTATGACTCACCACCGCCAGCCGCTGGCATCCTGGTAAGGCCTTTTCTAGCCATGGATCTATAATGGCAGATCTGGCGTTTCTATGACCGTTTCAGGCCAAATATGTGGTCGTGAAGCGACCATAGATCTGGCCGTGAAATGGTATGGCCAAAGATATGGCCTTTTTGTAGCCAGATCTGTGGTCATAAATGGATATAGATCTGGTTGTTTGGCCATTTCTGGCTTTGCTGGCACACGGTCGACCATATACGACGAGTTGTGAATGTCATTCTGTCGACTGCTAGCGGTGGTCGACGATAGTGGCTGGTTGCAAGCAGTGGCTTGGGATGGGTGGGGGTGATTTTGCTATAAATTAAAGTTTTATACAACTGGTTTGTTTTAGCAAAATTTCAAATATATGGGGTTAAAAAGCAATAATAAAAAATACTATTATATTAATATTTAAAAAGGAAAGCAATTTAGTAATCTATATAACATATCCACCAATTTATCCTCCCAACCAAACATATTATTCATAAATTTTTTCGAATCAACCAAACATATTCTCTAAATATTCTCAATAATATTTAAGGTAAACTTTCTTTCCGTTAATATAATATACCCCTATAATAAAGTTTTATTCTGCTAGGAATTTGTGCATCAATATTTCCTTCCATCTGCAACTGGTATTATGGTTCTATTACTTTGTATACGTAACTGGAAGTCACAAAAATAAAAACTTAATATATTCATCAAAGCACATGATCTCCATATACTATGCTTCTGTGCCAAAGTTGTCTGATATCTGATTACTTCACAGGTCCTTGTTAGGAATGTTCCCCCAGACCCAGACGAATCTGTTAGTGAGCTTGTGGAGCATTTCTTTTCGGTGAATCACCCAGATCACTACCTAACACATCAGGTTGAATCTTTTTGATCTCTGATTTTAGTTCACTACCTGATTTAGGTCAGAAGTCATGAGTTATGGCATGTTAAAAATATTTTGCACTTCAATTAACTTCTGTGTGTACTACACGTTTCATGACTGATTTTTTTGGGGGGAATCACTTTAGATTTAATTCATTGTAAACTTTTTATGTAGATGGTAATCAACGCGAACAAACTTGCCAAATTGGTGAAGAAGAAGAAAAGGGTACAGAATTCGCTTGACAACTACCAAATTAACTATTCCAAAGATTCTTCAAAGAGGCCGGTCATGAAGGTACTTATATTGAATTTGATATGCTGTTATCTTCGTCTTATATTGAATTTGATATGCTGTTGTCCTCTTGCTAATTTTATGTTTCCTTTAAAGTTTCGTTTTTTGTGATATCAATATGTACATGTTTTCTCTTACCAGAATGGTTTTCTTGGGCTTTGCGGAAAAAGAGTGGATGCAATTGATCATCACATATCTGAAATTGAAAAATTGTCACCAAAAGTGAGTAATGTCTTCTATATTGTTTTCATGTTCCAATGTTAAATAATTTAGAGAGGACAACCTTAGTTGTTCTATGCTCAAACTAATTATGTTTGCCAATTTTTTAACTTTAGCTCGATTTGCTGTTTTCACTTTTGTAAATATAACATACTGGTTGCTGTCTCAGTATACCATTTCTTCAAAATATAGCCCTATCAAGTAACTAGAAAATGCCTGAGCTTGGACAAAATTTAGTTAAATACTGGACAGCTTTACAGTAGTCTCAAACTCAAACATTTTTCTACCATATTAGGGTCTTAGCAAAAGCTGTACAACACTCTGTCTCACTTGTTCTGTGTCATTGGTGAATCGAGTTGGTAAACAGCTGATGGTATAATTTCTTTCCCTTATTTTTCAACTGCTGAGAATTTTCGGTAAAACTCTGACCTGTCTCATTATTTTGAACCATGGAAAATGGTTTTTGCCCTTGGGGAATAATGGATATATGGGTTCTGCATTTTTCGACAATTACATGTCTCATTCTTCGTATCTCGGAGGGATGAGCGTTGCAGTATATATTTAAAGCATTGTCATAATGTTCTTCAGGCCTGTCAATCAACTTGAATATTTAAGTCTATCATGTGATGGAGTTGATAAAGTGTTGTGCTTTTGCATGCTCAGCTTCGTGTGAATAAATAAGAGCGTTTTATTGGGCTTCTTTTGTTATACCTCCATTCAACATTCTTACTTGAGGACAAATTTGATTCAAATACATTATTTCGGTGTTGTTCAGATAGATGAGGAGAGAAAAGGGTTGTAGTTGATCCCCAGTCTATAATGCCGGCAGCATTTGTTTCCTTTAAAACCAGATGGGGTGCAGCTGTATGCGCACAAACTCAACAGACCAGAAATCCAACTATATGGTTGACAGAGTGGGCTCCAGAGCCGCGTGATGTCTACTGGAAAAATCTGGCAATTCCATATGTTTCACTCAGGATTAGGAGGCTGATTATTGGTGTTGCATTCTTTTTCCTCACTTTGTTTTTCATGATCCCCATTGCATTTGTACAATCTCTTGCAAGCGTTGAGGGAATTGAAAAAGCAGCACCATTTCTGAAACCCTTAGTTGAAACGTAATTTTCTATCATCCTCAAACACTTTTGAGTAGTATTCAGATTGCATTACTCTATACAAATAACTGATATTATCTTAATTTGTCATGCAGCAAGTTTATTAAATCAGTCATCCAAGGTTTTCTTCCTGGTATTGTGTTGAAGCTTTTTCTCATCTTCCTCCAGATGATATTGATGATTATGTCTAAATATGAAGGCTTTGTATCTCTATCATCTCTGGAAAGAAGATCAGCATCTAGATATTATATTTTCAAACTTGTGAACGTCTTCCTTGGGAGCGTAATAAATGGAAATGCATTTGAACAGCTAAATTCTTTTATAAAGCAGTCAGCTAATGAGTATGTAATTCTCTCAGACTAATGATTATCTTCTTTGTTTTTTCTCCTATTTAGTAATGCTAAATAGAAAAAGGAGAGAGAGGAAATAAAGAAGATGGAGAAGAAAAACAAAGAAATTGCATTTGTTGGAATATAGGTGTTGAATTCATCTCATCTATATTGGTACAAGAATTTTGCTATTGTATGGCTATTTGTTTTTTCCCATTCCTCAAGTAAATTAAGGGGTGGATTAACCTCTACTAGGTGATTTCATAACCAATTTAGCTATAGATTTGAATTGCAAATGTCTTCATCCCATTTTTTATTGTTCTTCAGTGTTGTGAAGATGAAGCTTAAATCTTTTTTTTTTCTTTCTTTTGGCAGAATTCCCAAGACAGTTGGAGTAGCTATACCAATTAAAGCAACTTTCTTCATAACTTACGTAATGGTAGATGGATGGGCTGGTATAGCCTTAGAGATTTTAAGGTTGCAACCACTGATAATCTACCACTTGAAGAATTCCTTCTTGGTGAAGACTGAAAGGGACAGGGAGGAGGCAATGGATCCAGGAAGTATGGGTTTCCATACTGGAGAACCTCGTATACAGTTTTATTTTCTGCTAGGCCTTGTCTATGCGACAGTGACTCCTCTTTTGCTCCCTTTCATAATTGTTTTCTTTGCACTGGCCTATGTTGTTTTCCGTCATCAGGTAAGAGGAATATTTTTGTTAACAGACAGTTTATTTTACACAACGATTTACTTGTGCATGTGGTCATGTTCATGTTAGGAAGACGGAAATTATTCTCTTGTAAGATTCTTGAAATACTGTTCTGCCAAATTACTGGGGCATGCGAATTTCTTGGCGCTTTTAGAATATGCTTCTGTAATTAAGTATTTACCAACATTCCAGTTGTGTTTTCAGACTGTGCTTTTTATTAAATGAACTATACGCTATAGCTATTGTTTTTATACTAGATTTCTGTTTGTTAATTTTGTGTTATAATGTAGATCATAAATGTTTACAACCAAGAGTACGAGAGCGGTGCAGCATTCTGGCCTGATGTCCATAAAAGAGTCATTGCAGCATTGGTTATATCACAGCTGCTTCTTATGGGGCTGCTGAGTATGAAGGAAGCTGCTCAATCAACACCATTTCTCATTGCTCTTCCTGTACTTACGATATGGTTTCATAGGTTCTGCACAGGCTGTTACGAATCTGCATTTGTTAAATATCCTTTACAGGTTTGTTGGTGTTTACATACTGTAAATTTGATGGTTAATTACTGTAAACATAAGTTCAGAATTCTGTTATTCTTTATCTAAGCAATCTGATCCTAAATGTTGCTTTTGTTCTTCTAACTTTTGTGTTTTAGGAAGCAATGATGAAAGATACTTTACAACGTGCAAGGGAACCAAACCTTAACGTGAAAGATTATCTTCGAAAAGCATACATCCATCCAGTTTTCAAAACTGCTGATGAAGATGAAGATGAAATTGATATGCTCTTTGGAAGCCGGGAAAACGAAAATGTTTTAATCCCCACAAAACGCCAATCCCGTAGAAACACACCAGTACCATCGCGCAGCGAAATTAGTGATGCGTCCTCACAATCTCCCTCTTTGCCCGACACTGTTCGCGACAGCTCAGAGCCTTGATTCTGTTTAAGACTTATACTTTCTGTCCACATTTGAGATATGCACGTCGAATCAGTGAAGGATGACAACATTGTAAATAAATTTAGAAAGAAGAGCATCATAGTTTCTCTGTATAGACAGAGTGAAAGAAGAGAGAAGTGACCACCTGAACTCAGGTTTCCATTTTCGAGCAATAGAAGCAAGTTCTGGAAAGATTTCCTATTTCCCATTTCAATCTTTATGTGCTTCTTAGAATCAACGTAGATTTGCTTCAATTTTCAATATCATAAGTTGTCAGCAATTGTTTTCAAATCTAACATTGCCTAGTTTATATACATTACTTGTGGATGGCACCATGTCATCATTTATCTTTTGTTAGTACAAACGTGACTTGGAGGTTGGGTCGAAAATCTCCAATTGTTATACTAACAACTAACAACCAAGAGCAAGCTATAAAAGCAACCATTATAAGGGCTTTTGGCACAGCACAGCAAAAAATCCCTCCGCTTAACCATGTGATTCATGTTATAAGCTCTATTTTAAAACCTGGATTGGACCGATCGGTCAGACTAGGACCCGGTAGTCTGTCTAGTCCAATTCAGGTTTTAGGGGAGTTTTTGCTATATTTCAAATTTATAGGGACTAATTAAATTTTTGGGGGTATTTTGTAATATTTCAAATTTATAGGGACTAATAAATTTTTGGGGGTATTTTTGCAATATTTCAAAAATTTAGGGATTAATTGAATTTTTTGAACTTTTAAAATAAATTAAAAATTCAAGGACTAATTTAAAATTTATTAGAGGTGTTTTTGTAATATACTAAAATTTAAGAGACTAATTATAATTTTTTAAAAATACTTTTGTTGTTGATGTCACCGATCTAATTGGCCGATTCAACCGGTTGGAACAGTCACCTTGTTGGGTCTCACAATGAATCGGGTTTTAAAACAATGGTTATAAGTAATTGTATGCTATTATGTAAAAACTTTAGAAGAGTAATTGCAACTTGTTCCCTAAAAGGACTAAAATATTGATAAAAAATATGGTAAAGGACAATTTGATATTGTAATAATATCCCTTTGTCAATCACCATCGATATTAAAAGAGTGAAAAAGCAGGGTGTGAGGAATAGATTGCTCCCTTTGTCAATCATGATCGATTCTTGTTTGTGGAGTCGTCTTTTTTTATTTGTATCAGTGCGTTGCAGCTCTCATGCTTATCCTTCTGGTGGATAATTAAGTTGAAGAATGTTCTTAGCTTCTATTGAGTTTTCTAGCCATCCAAACACTCCCTAACTCATCTTCTTTCCAATAAGCTTGAAGAAATCACGCAAATAGTATGAGCTTCATTTCCTTTTCTTTTTAAATTTGTATTTGTTTTCGTTTCGTTTTTGTTCTTGATTGATCGACAAGAGCTCAAATTTCTTTTTTAAATTTAGATTTGTTTTCCAAACTGTTGAAAGTGGTGGACTTCCACCGATTTGGCACATGACCGATACAAGTCCACTTAAAGACATATGACTCATGTAGGTCCACTTGAAGACACATGATCTATGCAAATCCCGCTCGGAGATGGGATATGTTTTTACTTACAATAGCACTGCAATATCATGACGTTCTACAAAATAAACAATGCTTGCTACTTCTTTCAATCACTCCGAGATTCTTGTATTTCATAAAGCTAGTTGAGAATGCGTACGGTTAAGATTTGTCATCCATCATATCGAGAATACATGCAAGTTATCATATACCTCAGATACTCTTACAATTATAAATGAAGATAATGTAACATATATTGCTTAACTCAGAGGAATATATATTAAAGGAGACAGAACTAAGCACATGTCACTGAAATTATTTTACACTCATGAATTCTAGCAGAATCGAGAGATTGATATCAAACAAATACGCTTCAATGATAATCTTGAAGATTTATTCAATAAAACCTTACCGACACAACATTTGAAAAGTTAGTGTATGACATTAATATGCGGCTACTTAATAAGTAACTAAGTTAATTTTGCCATTATGAGGGGAAGCATCGATTAGGAGGAGTTTAGAAGGGACTATGGTACTAGACATATGTGCACTTTATTTTTTTTTTCCTATACTAGATTTTGTCCCACTGAGTTTCCCTGGCAAGGTTTTTACTGAGGCAGTATGAATCATGTCTATCACCACTTTACTGTTTTATTATAGAAATGTATTTCTTTACTTAGTTTTTTTTTTTTTTTCCAACTAATATATATATTTTTTTTTTAATGTAAGGTTAAATGCAATTATCTATAAATGGTGGATATCCAAAGGAGAGTGTTGTGAGTGGTGGACTTCTACCAATTTGGCGTATGGCCCATGCAACTTCAATTGAAGACACATGGCCCATGAAGGTCCACTTGAAAATATATGACCCATGCAAGTTCACTTGAAGACACATGAATTATGATTTGTTATTGGATAATTAGTTTTTAGGGGAGGTGGATCAGTGAGGAAAGTCTATAAATTGAGTCCATTTCCTTCCGTTAATACACAACTCAGTTGAGTGAAAGAGTTAGTAAAAACTTCTTTTCAGCCCTCTTTATTCTGCTCTTTTACTTTTCAGTCCCCTTTAGTTTATTTTATTGCAATCATACCACTAAGATTATAACACAAACAACATAATTGATATTGAAATATTAGGTTTATACAAATAGATATTAGAAATCATTTATGATAAAGAATGACACCTCCCACTGGCATCAAGGGATGCTAAAGTAAGGCTTGAACATTATATACACATGTACAAACAAAATTATAATTTCTTTTGTACAATGGACTTAGGTAAAAACAAGATTTAAAGTATGTCGAGAATTAGAACGTGTGATATTCTTTTAAGGATGTAGTTTCGTTTGACACATCGTATATCACAAAACAAATACAAGAATTAGTGTCAACAATTGTTTTCAAATCTAACATTGCATGGTTTACTTGCTGATGACACCATGTCATCATTAATCTTTTGTTAGTACAAACATGACTTGGAGGTTGGGTCGAAAATCTCCAATTGTTATACTAACAACAAAGACAAAGCTAACTATCTCTAAATAGCTTGCGTGATTTGCTTGGAACTCTTAGGTTTATTATTCAAAAGGTCTCAAGTTTGAATCCTCACGACTACTAATAAAGGGTAGTTATTGGAGATTTATCTGGTCGTTAACTTCAGGATCCCAAGAGACTAGTTGAGGTACACCCCGGTTGACCATGTGATTCATGCTATGTAGAAACTTTAGTAAAAGCAATTGCATCAAGACTTAATGCATGATTGATAAAATTATTGGAAAGCAATCACGGTCCAAATCATTAAGGCTATTGAAAAGGGATGATCGATGATTCGTTTGGTAATAGAGGGTTAGATTGTGGTGGTTGGAGTCGACCGATATTGTGCGTGAAAATTTAATTTGCGGTGGCTGGCGATCACAAAACAAATACAAGAAAATGTCATTTACACCATTTATTAGTGTCAACAATTGTTTTCAAATCTAACATTCTATGGTTATACACACTACTTGCTGATGACACCATGTCATCATTTATCTTTTGTTAGCACGAACATGACTGGTAGGTTGGGTCGAAAATCTCCAATTGTTATACTAACAACAAAGACAAAGCTAACTACCTCTAAATAGCTTAACAGTTTGCTTGAGACTGTTACGTGTGTTACTCAAAAAATCTTAAGTTCAAATCCCCACGATAATGCTAACTACTAGAGGCTTATCTAGCTGTTAATTTTAGGGTCTTAGAAGACTAGTTGAGGTGCCATTAACTTTAAAGTTTCAAGAGAGTAGATGAGTTATTCGTAAGGTGACCCAAACATTCTGTTTGACCATGTGATTCATGCTATGTTGAAACTTTAGTAAAAGCAATTGCAACAGGACTTAATGCATGATTGATAAAACTATTGGGGTGATGACTTTTTTATAACATAATAATGATGACGAAAGTCTATGACGTACAACTTTCTGCAACACGAAGATAGACAAGTGTGATTACTATATAAAAAGAGTGAAAAAGTAGAGTGTGAGGAATAGATTGTCCCCTTTGTCAATACTCTACAATCACAATCGATTCTTGTCTGTGGAATTGTCTTATTAAGTCCCTCTTTTTTCATTTGCATCAGTGCGTTGTAGCTCGTGCTTATCCTCCTGTTGAATAATGTTTTTAGCTTCTGTTCAGTTTTCTAGCCATCCAAACACTCCCTAACCCATCTTCTTTCCAATAAGCTTGAAGAAATCACACAAATAGTATGAGCTTCATTTCCTTTCTTTTTAAATCTATATTTGATATTTTCATTTCATTTTTGTTCTTGATTGACCGAGAAGAGCTTGAATTTCATTTTACTTTTTAATTCTTTGTAGTGGAACCAGCTTAGTGAGTGAAATGAACTAGATATCGATGGCGACGCTCGAAGATATAGCGGTTTCAGCAGCTCTTAATATTCTTACTACGTTTATTATGTTAATAGCATTTGCTATATTAAGAATTCAACCGCTCAATGATAGAGTATACTTTTCGAAATGGTATCGTAAAGGAAGAGAAAGTCCAAAGCATGGGGGGGCATCTGCGCGGAAGTTTGTGAATTTGGATTGTAGATCATACATAAGGTTCTTGAATTGGATACCGGCTGCATTGAAGATGACGGAACCTGAGCTTATTGATCATGCCGGATTGGATTCAGCTGTCTATTTACGGATTTACTTGATGGGACTTAAGATTTTTGTTCCTATTGCAGTCCTTGCTTGTGCTGTTTTGGCACCGGTCAACTTTACAAACAGCACATTAGGCGAAAAAACCGAGCTATGGAATGTAACTTCAAGCAATATTGATAAGCTTTCAACTTCAAATATCCCGCTTAAATCAGAGAGGTGTGCTTTCTTCCCTTGCCTTTTTTATACTATCTCTTGATTGTAATATGATGAATTGCTCCTGCACAAGAATTATGTTTATTTCTGAGTTGCAGGTTCTGGGCTCATATTGCGTTGGCTTACGTCTTTACCTTCTGGACATGCTATGTGTTGATGGAGGAGTACGGAAAAATTGCTAGTATGCGGTCGCAGTTTATTGCAACAGGAAGGCGTCGGCCCCATCAATTTACAGTATGATCGTTCCTTTCAGAATAAAATAGTTCAAACATATATTTTCTATTACTTTGTATTCAAGACTGGAAGTCACAAAAAGAAAACTTTTGATGTATTCATCAAAGCTCATTAGATATAACAAATAAATCTTCATATACTATGCTTCTGCGCCAAAGTTGTCTGATATATCTAATTGTTTCACAGGTCCTTGTCAGGAATGTCCCCCCAGAACAGGACAAATCTGTTAGTGAGGTTGTGGAGCGTTTCTTTTTGGAAAATCACCCAGATCACTACCTAAAACATGAGGTTGAATCTTTTTTATCTCTGATTTTAGTATTTAGTAGGGTCAGAAGTCATGAGTTATGGCATGTTTAACACATGAGGTAAACTTTTTATGTAGTCGGTATACAATGCAAACAAACTTGCCAAAATGGTGAAGGAGAAGAAAAGGTTGCAGAATTGGCTTGACTACTACCAAAATAAATGTGAAAGAAATAATTCAAAGAGGCCAGTTATGATCAAGGTAATTATATTGAATTTGATACATCATCGTCATTGTAATATGTTAAGTTTCCTAATTTATATGTTGAGTAAACAACTTTTTCCCACCCAAAAAAATGCTTAATGACACTTTCCCTCCCTTAGACTTTTAAAATATCATTTTTCCACCCAAAACACAAATCTGTTAGTATTTTTTGTTGCAAAGAAAGGCAAGATGGTCAAAAGCTAATTAAAAGGAAGGGTAGAATGGGCATATTGTCGTTTTGGTTGGATATCTTTGGAAACCCTGACCACCGATTCAGGCCAGTTTAGGCAATTTGACATGAATCCGATGCCGGTGATCAGTGCTGACTCCACCTTTAGTTTCCCACCACACTAAGCGCGCCAATCGCCAGCCACAGCTGGTTTTCTGTTTGCGTGACTATTGAGCTTCCAGGCCAGATTCCGGTCGATTTGGTTGCCAAAAAGTCCACTTGAAGCCACTTGTAGTATTAGCAACACCTCGTCTCTAAAAGCCCCATCATCCTAGACCTTGGTTGTTCACTGTTCATCGGACGCCAAGCATTCAGCAAAAAGACTGAACCATGGCCGTCGGCGATTGGAGAGCAATCACGGTCCAAATCGTTAAGGCTATTGAAAAGGGATGGCCGATGATTCGTTTGGTGATAGAAGGTTAGATTGTGTGGTTGGAGTCAATCGGAATTGTGCGTGAAAGTTTGATTTGCGGTGACTGGCAATCAGGGATTGAAATTTGGTGGGGTATTTTTGTCTTTGTAATCAATATTATTGTAATTAAAGGGAATTATCAACAGAATTTGTGGTTTGGGTGGGAAAGTGGTATTTTAAAAGTTTGAGGGTAAAAAAAGGCAATTAAGCCCTTTTTTGGGTGGGAAAAAGTCGTTAACTCTTAATATGTTTCCTTTAAATTTTAGCTTTTTGTGATATCAATATGTATATGTTTTCTCTTACCAGACTAGTTTTCTTGGGCTTTGCGGAAAAAGAGTGGATGCAATTGATTATCACACATCTGAAATTGAAAAATTGTCAGGAAAAGTGAGTATTATTCCTGTAATGTCTTCTATATTGCTTTCATGTTCCAGTGTTAAATAATTTAGACAGGACAACCTTAGCTTGAGCTTGGACAAGAGAAATGCCTGAGCTTGGACAAAATTTAGTTAAAAACTGGACAGCATTATATAGTTGTCAACCAAACTCAAAAACATTTTTCTACCATATTCAAACCTTAATTAGCCGAGCTGTGCATGCAACACTCTTTGTCTCACTTGTAATTAGTTCTGTGTCATTGGTGAATCGAGTTGGTAAACAGCTGACTGTATAATTTCTTTCCCGTATTTTTCAACTTTCGAAGAATGTTTCTTTAAAACTCTGACCTGTCTCATTATTTTGAACCATGCATGGAAAATGGTTTTTGCGCTTGAGGAATAATGGATACATGGGTTTTAATTTACATTATTTCGGTGTTGTTCAGATAGATGAGGAGAGAAAAGGGGTTGTTAATGATCCCCAGTCTATAATGCCGGCAGCATTTGTTTCCTTTAAAACCAGATGGGGTGCAGCTGTATGCGCACAAACTCAACAGACCAGAAATCCAACTGAGTGGTTGCCTGAGTGGGCTCCAGAGCCACGTGATGTCTATTGGAAAAACCTGGCAATTCCATATGTTTCACTCAGGATTAGGAGGCTGATTATTGGTGTTGCATTCTTTTTCCTTACCTTATTTTTCATGATCCCCATTGCATTTGTACAATCTCTTGCAAGCATTGAGGGCATTGCAAAAGCAGCACCATTTCTGAAACCCGTAGTTGAAATGTAATTTTCTATCATCCTCAAAACCCTTTTGAGTAGTATTCAAATTGCATTACTATATATAAATAACTGGTATTATCTTAATTTTGTTATGCAGCAAGTTTATTAAATCAGTCATCCAAGGTTTTCTTCCTGGTGTTGTATTGAAGCTTTTTCTCATCTTCCTCCGGAAGATATTGACGAGTATGTCTAAATTTGAAGGATTTGTATCTCTATCATCTCTACAAAGAAGAACAGCTTCTAGATATTATCTTTTCAATTTTGTGAACGTCTTCCTTGGGAGCATAATAACTGGATCTGCATTTGAGCAGCTAAATTCTTTCATAAAGGAGCCAGCAAATGAGTATGTTATTCTTACTGACTACTGATTATCTTCTTTGATTTTTGTCCTCTTATTTTAGAATTCTATTACCATTCCTTAAGTCAATTAAGTGGTGGATTAATCTTTTCTCTTTTGGCAGTATTCCCAAGACAATTGGAGTAGCTATACCAATCAAAGCAACTTTCTTCATAACTTATATAATGGTCGATGGATGGGTTGGTGTAGCTGCAGAGATTTTAATGTTGAGACCACTGATTATCTACCACTTGAAGAATTTCTTCTTGGTGAAAACTGAAAATGACAGGAAGAAAGCAATGCGTCCAAAAAGTTTTCGTTTCAAAACTAGAGAACCTCGTATACAGTTGTATTTTCTGCTAGGCCTTGTCTATGCGACAGTGACTCCTCTTTTGCTCCCTTTCATAATTGTTTTCTTTGCGCTGGCCTATGTTGTTTTCCGTCATCAGGTAAGAGGAATATTTTTATTAACAGTTGTTTTTATACTAGAGTTCTGTTTGTTAATTTTATGTTAAATTGTAGGTCATAAATGTTTACATCCAAAAGTACGAGAGCGGTGCAGCATTCTGGCCTGATGTCCATAAGAGAGTAATTGCGGCATTGGTTATGTCACAGTTGCTTCTCATGGGGCTGCTGAGTACAAAGGAAGCTGCTCAATCAACACCATTTCTCATTGATCTTCCTGTACTTACGATATGGTTTCATAGGTTCTCCACAGGCCTTTACGAATCTGCATTTGTTAAATATCCATTACAGGTTTGTTGGTATTCACATATTGTAAATTTGATGGTTATTAATGACCATAAACAGAATCTTCAGAATAGTGGCGGTTTTTTTCCTTTACTAAGCAATCTGGGAATTCTTGTTTCTTCTGGGTTTCAGGAAGCAATGACGAAAGACACATTCGAACGTGCACAGAAACCAAACATTAACTTGAATGGTTATCTTCAAAAGGCATACATCCATCCCGTCTTCAAAACTGATGATGAAGATGAAGGTGAAGATGAAGATGAAGATGAAGATGATATGCCCTCTGGAAGCAGGGAAAACGAAAAAATTTCAGTCCCCAAACAACGCCAATCCCGTGGAAAGACACCATTGCCCAGCGAAATTAGTGATGCATCCTCACCATCTCCCTTTTTGCCCGACACTGTTCGCGAAAGTCAGAGCCTTGATTCTGTTTAAGACTTATACTTTCTGTCCACATTTGAGCTATGCACTTCGAATCAGTGAAGGAAGACAACACTGTAAATATTTTGAGAAATAAGAGCATCGTAGTTTCTTGTATAGACAGAGTGAAATAAGAGAGAGGTGGCCACTTGAACTTAGGCTTTCCATTTTCGAGCAATAGAAGCAAGTTCTGAACATATTTCCCATTTTAATCTTTATGTGCTTCTTAGAATTAATGCAGTGTGTTTAATGTAGTTTTGCTTCAATTTTTCAATATCATAAGTTTATTTTTACTCTGTAAAAATCCATCTATGAGCCTCAAACTTGGAGCATGATATCCTGGACTGAATTGTGAGACCACAAAGTGTTATCAATAAAACAGAAGTTACATATCTTTATTATGGACCCCCCAAATTCTGTTTTTCACACAATAGCCCTCACACGATGTTCGATTCATGTACAGACTGTACAGTAGTAGGCAAACATAAAGCATTTATAGTGCAAAAAGAATTTCTATAAAAGAAAGTAAAACGTGCGCATACTTTATAGAGTAGATTTTGGAATTAATGAATCGACAAATCTTAGTATCCTACCAATAATAATAATAATTAAGGGTGCGTTTGGTTTATTATTTTGGATAGAATTTTGGAAATAATATTGGGTAGTTGGATAAGGGAGTATTACGAGGTAAAATTTAAAAATTTATGAAAAAGGCCCTAGGCTTGCTAATTTAATTAAACACCCTAATGTATAAAATGACAAAAACACCCCACCGGAATCTGGTCGAAAAATCGCGTTACGACACAGACTGGTCAGATCTGTGTCGTAACGCGTCGTTATGGCCTTTTTTGGCCAGATTCGTGGTGATCCACGGCCTGCCGTGGCTGCGACAGTCGGAAAAGGCCAAAATGACGACCATTTCTTTGGTCATCGTTACGGCCAGCCGGATCTGGCCGGAAAAGGCCAGATCGGTGAAATTCCTACCATTTCTGGTCGGCAGGTAGGCCGTTGTACAGATTCCGGCTACCACCGATGGTGGTTGCCGGAATCTGGCAAGTATGGGTCGTGGGGGTGTTTTTGCTAATTTTTAAACTTTTTTCAGGGGGCATTTAATGAAATTAATAACCTTATGGGGTCTAAAAGTAATTAAAAAATAGGGTAATATTTCTGAAATAATGTGCCAAACATTATTTGGAGAATAAGATTGGAAATATGGGTAAAAATAATAAGCCAAACATGCCCTAAGAGTAAATAACTTTCTCCCACCCAAGGTTTGCCTTAATGACACTTTCTTACCTAAAAAGTTTCAAAATATCACTTTTGCACCCAAAGTTTATATTTTGTTAACATCCAAAGCCAATTTTGGTCAATTCCGACGACAAACATTCTCTTCGTCACCACCATTTGAACCTTCGATTTATTTTTTTGGGTGACCTGAGGGTGTCTAAGCCAGCTTGCACACACCTCAACTAATCTCCTAAGGCCTTGAAGTGAACAACCAGATAAATTCCCTAATCTCCCGAGGCCTTGAAGTGAACGACCGGATAAATTTTCTAATCCCCCGGGGCCTTGAAGTGAACGACCGGATAAATTTCCTAATCACCCGGGGCCTTGAAGTAAACGATCGGATAAATCCACTCAGTGGCCACCTTTACTAGTGCTTAGGGGGACTTAAACTCATGAACCTATGTTAGACCCCTTTACTCTTTTACCATCAGGCCACCCAATGGTGGTTATGAACCTTCGATTTCTTCTTTATAAAACTTCTCTCACTTCAACACCTGATTTCTCGTTAATTGTCGGCCACTGCAAAGCTAAAGTTTCCTATTTTTAGATGATTTCCAGCTAATTTTGGAGATAAATATTCAATCAGTTACTACCATTCAGTCTACGGGCCTCCACTCCACCCCTCTTACCTTGGCTCCTGGTAACTCGCTAAACATCAATTGAGAAAGTAAATTGTATTTTGGGTATTATCGAAATATAAACTTTGAGTGAGAAAGTAGTATTTTGAAATTTTTTGGGTGGAAAAGTGTCGGCGAGGCAAACCTTGGGTGGGAAAAAGTTGTTTACTCTAATAATTTAAACAGAGCTGTTTTATTAATTAGTGCTTGAAAAATGAAGATAAAAAATCGTAAGACTTGGAAATGAAGGGATAATCTGGTTGGCTAAAACTGAAACTGTGTACGACGGCATCAGTGTAAACAACAAAACCAGGGGCGCCTCTTTCTCTTTGCCTCATCCAAACAACCAACCCTTCTTCTTCTTCTCTTTTTCAACTACCATTATTATTTATCCCTTAACCCCATTAAATATAATATATATATTTCTTTTTTACTTTGGCTAGAGAAAGGGATGCAGAGAGATTGACGAAGAAGGAAGAAGAATCTCCAAGAAGCAACTTCATCCATTGCTCAATTCTAAAGTTCTGGGTAAGTGTATTTTCTTCTTAACTTTCATGCTTACATTTATGTTTGGTTATTTTGATTTCTGGGTACTGGGTAGCTGAAGCATTTGTTCCTGGGTTGGCTGCGTGTGAGGGACTGCTGGTGGTGGTGGTGGTGGTGGTGGTGGTGATTTTCCTTGTAAACGCAGCGTTTAGCATGGCCTCTCAGAGAGTGCCACGTGGGGTCGAATTTATCATATGTTTTACTCCATGGTCCCTATCTTTACCAATTGCTACTTGCTAGGCACGGTAGAGTATCAAATTCTTGACACGTGGGAACTGCCACTTGGCAGAAATACCATGTGATCAGCCTTGAAAGTAGCTCATCATAAACAGAATTACATAGAGATCAAATTTTAGAATGATAAATACAATTAAAATAAACGGAATTGGATAAGTGTAATTCAAAGTAGATATGAGATAGGATTAATTTAAGACTATATAAACTATATCTTATGCTTATAAATTTATATGTTAATTAATTTTTTCTAAGAAAAATAATTTGTATATTGTATCGAATTTAATTTTTTTATTAAACACATGAATTTTGCCCTATTTGTGAACAATTAAAGGGATACATATAAGTTAAGTTAACTATATTCAGAAATCTTATATTTGAGTCACGAAAAAGGTATTAAAAAAATATATATATTAGCTTAAAATACCAATTTCCAACTCCCCAAAAGGCAAAACTTCTCCTTTACTTAATGAAATTGAAACATTATTGCCACCTAACATATTACCAAATTTTTCAGGTTGAATTATATATAATTTATTTCGAGAAACAATTTTTTTTTGGGTGATCAAGTGTCTCCTTCAGTAGTCATCTTTATTAGGTTCGAAGAGAATCGAATTTAAAATCTTTTAAATAATACATTAAAAAGTTCTTATCGTCTCACTCGGTCACTCAAAAATAATTTCTTTCAAAAAACTTAATGTTCACAAAAAAGACGAACCACACTAGCAACTAATTATTGTAGCCTCAAATAAATCCATAAATAAATTTACTTTAAATCGAATAATTAATTAATTACACAATAAAATTTAAACCCTATAAATTAATAAAAAAAAATCTAAAATATATCAAAATTACCATTCAGGAAATAGTACCATTACCAAGAAGAAGGAAAAGAAATTCCATACACGCGCCCATAACACGCGTGGTTTGCCTCTTGTTACCTTGACTGGCACGTACTATATAAGGTCGAGTCTTCTCCCACAGAAATAGAACCAGAACCAAAAGCGTGGAAATTAACTTTGGTATTGTTCTGTTTTTATCTCGTTCTTTTCTAATTTTTTAATTCCCCAAAGGCCTCGATTTTCACTCACACTCGCGACGATCAGATTGAGTTTTAATCCGTTTCCTGTTCTTGAGTCCTCAATTAGCCGAATTGAGTTGAATTGCGTCGACGTTTCACTTATCCGAATTGTTGATTTTAAGAAAAAAAGGTGAGTTAGTTAAGAACAATCTCTGCATTTTTCTTCATTATCTTTACGTCGTTTTGTTTTGTTTCGTTTCTGATTTCTGAATTTCGTTTATATGATTCTGGCTCTTGTGTGTGTTGCAGCTGCGTTGACTTTGGTCAATATCTGATATTTGTTAGTTTGATCGGTGTTTGGTTAATGTAGGAAAACGGCATTGTTTATTCAATGATTATTAGTTTGTTTGTGTGAAGATATGATTTGTGTGTTTGTTTGCAGTGAGGTCTGTTTGTTTCCCGGGGAAAATATTTCGTGACTTCTGAAATTAATGTTTCGTGGTCTGAAATACCAAATTTTGATCTGGATTTTTTTTTTTTTTTTTGGGTAAGAAGTCAGTATATCAGGTTGATTTCGATAGAGTATGATGAAGAAATTGGTAATTCAATGCCTGTCAGTTTGTTTGCGTAGAGATATGATTTTTATGTGTTTGGTTCCTTAGGTGTCTGTTTGTTTCCCGGGAAAGTGTTATTTTACTTAGAGGCCAAATATTATGTGGTGAGAAAATTGATCTGGATTAGTTTAAATGTTTTGCCCAATGAACTTTGGTGTAAGATGTTTTTTTATGTTCATTTTGATGTAGGATGAAGAAATTGGTAACTGTGTAAGGATTTATTTTATTTTGCTGCTGTGGGAATGGCAGCTATGATAGCAGATGGTTACAATGATGAAAAAAAGCAGCAGAGGATTCGTAGAGCCTCAAGCCTATCCTGGATTGCTTCAAAGAGGAGAGTTTCAAAAGGTATGTGCAATGAAAGTATGAAGAAACCGGAAAAAGAGAAAGAAAAGGACAATTTAGAGTCAACCGCTCTAAGATTCAATGTTTCATCGAAGAAAAGAAAGGTGAGCGGACTACATGGATTCTCTGGGGGTAGTAGAATTCCAAAGAAGCCCCGTAGTGTCCTAAATAAGAAAGTTGGTTATGAAGACGAAGTGTTAAACAGGAAAAGCTGTTTCGAAAAGGAAGTTCTGGAGGACGAACTGGATTTTGATGATGAAACAATGGCTTTATTGAGGATCAAAGAATATCGGAGGTTTAGAAGTTCAGATGATCCAACAATCAAAAGAAGTCCAAGAAATGAAAGAAGGAAGAGTGATTTAGTGAAGAATTCTTCATGCTCTTCGTCGTCATCATCTGCATGTTCCTCCATTTCAGTTTCGAGAAGTGATGGTTATGGAAATGATAGATGTACAATGAGTAATGTGAAGGTAATACATCTAGCCTGTGATTTTCTTACTACAACTAGATGATGTGTTTCCATGCTTTTTTTGTTGGAAGAAGTTTTTATATTTTGTTTTACTAACTAAAGGGTGTAATAATTCTTACTTGAAGGAGGCTAAACTTTTAGAGCGCTTCAAATGTCATCAGTGTATGAAAACTGAACGTAGAATTGTTGTCCCTTGCACCAAATGTAGACGTAGAGCATACTGTATCCAATGCATCAAACAATGGTAAATTTGCAGCTTAAAATACTTATGTTTTTCTTTCTTTACAGTATAGAAATGTAAAGACTTATTTTGCTATCTTTTCTTTTGGGTGTATAATAGGTATCCTCAGATGTCAGAAGAAGAAATAGCAGAGTTATGCCCATTTTGCCGTAGAAATTGCAACTGCAGTGTATGCTTGCACAAATGTGGGTTGATTAAGGTTTGTTTTTATCTTTTTATCTTTTCTTTCATTCTTTCTTTTTTCTGGAGCTGAAAACATTTTTGCTGAAGCAACAACCTTCTGTAAGTTACTCCAGCCATGTTAATAAACCAAAAAGAAGCTACACCAGCTAGGTCATCTAACAGTAAGCCTGCAGGTCATCATGAAGTTTGCAAAGATGTTTCCCTCTCTGGAACATGGAATTATTGATAATGCCTTTTGCTCAAGTTTCTTGCCTTTAAGATTTCCGCTCGTAGTTTGTCCTAACAAGTGTAGGAATCCTAGCTCAGTTTGCCACCACCACTTCAAGCAATTCTCATTGTTCATGTTTTAGCTGAATATAATGTCTTTTAGCTCAATTATTAAAGGCAATATATTTCTTTAGTTGGTCTATTAGGTGACAAGTAGCCGTCTATATGTAATTGCTTTACACATAGTGCCTAGGGATAGAAGGGTCTATGCATCTTATTGGGTTTTCTGTTTGCTGGCTTCCAACTATGCTTGAAGTTTCTTCACCGTGGGCTTATGGGCTGTTTGTTTATTCTAATGTATAATAGTAACGCTAATTACTTCAGATGGTTGTCTGTAAGTGAACTATATTATTTATAAAGACAATGCCATTGGATTTTATCCTCTAACATATGTGCATGATAATTTCTATCCTTCAGACATCAAAGAGGAACATAACTGATCGTGAAAAGGTTCAGCATCTCCATTACTTGATTAAGTTACTGCTTCCTTTTTTAAGACAAATTTGTGAGGAACAAACTCGGGAGACAGAATTTGAGGCAATCATTCAAGGCAAGTAATTTTCCGGCTTTGGGGCTCAGTTCTTTCTATTGAAGTCATTTTGATGAAATGAAGGTTTTTTATGTGTAGGGGTGCATTCTTCAGAGGTTGACATATCAGAGACACTTTGTTGCAATGATGAACGTGTTTATTGGTAAGTATCTCCTCTTCTTCAACCAGAGTGAAAAATATGTAATTGTTTGTATTATTTATGAAGATCTTACTGTTTAATTTTGGTCTTTGAGCAGTAACCATTGTGCAACTTCCATTGTTGATCTTCATCGAAGCTGCCCAAATTGTTCTTATGAACTCTGCCTTAACTGTTGCCAAGAAATTCGTGAGGGAAGCCTTTCAGGCCGTGGTGAAATGAAGTTTCAGTATATCAACAGAGGCTACAGTTACATGCACGGCGGCAATCCTTTGCCCGAAACTTGCTGTTCTGGAACTTCTCATGATCATTTTGATTCACCAATTTGGTGGACTGCAAATAATGATGGAAGTATTTCGTGTCCTCCAAATGAAATGGGTGGTTGTGGTGATTGCGTGTTGGAGCTTAAACGAATTCTTCCAGATGGATGGATTTCAGATTTGGAAAAGGAGGCTTCAGATTTATTTGAAATTTTTCAAACCAACTTGACGAATTTGAATTGCAGCTTTTCTGAAACGGGCTCAGAGATGTTATGTAGAGCAGCTTCTAGAGTAGGATCTGATGACAACTTCTTGTATTATCCACCTTCAACAGACATTCAAGAGGAAGAAGAACTTTTGCGCTTTCAAAGACATTGGGTTAAAGGTGAACCAGTTATAGTTCAGAATGTTCTTGAAAAGGTGACTGGTCTGAGCTGGGAGCCAATGGTCATGTGGCGTGTGTTATGTGAAAATGTGGACTCAGCAATCGGTTCTAAGATGTCAGAAGTGAAAGCTATTGATTGCTTGGCTGGTTGTGAGGTTTGTTATTCCCTTTGTTTTTGTTCTAAATTTTCACCTATAAATTTTGGATTGATATGATGAGCTAAAGAAACTCTTCTATATTAATTCTAGAAAAAAAGGTTTTCCAATCATTGTCATATGATTGATATTTACATGTCTCTCAACACAATGCCTACCTAATATCTCAGGATCTGTTTCAGATTCCACTTTTGTAGTTTAATATCTGTATGATCATCTGTTTAATACTTGTCTACGGAAATCATGTACCTTACGAAATGGCTATGGATTTCAACATCCTTTTTCATAAGATTCATACTCGAAATATGCTTGTAATCTTAATGTTGAATATTTTTCTCTTTCTCCTATTTTACTCCACTTCTCTTTTAAATTCTAAGTTTGTCAAAAACACAGGTGGAAATTAATACTCGCCAGTTTTTCAAAGGTTATATAGAAGGGAGAAGATATGATAACTTCTGGCCTGAGATGCTCAAATTAAAGGACTGGCCTCCTTCTGACAAGTTTGAAGATCTTTTGCCACGCCACTGTGATGAATTCATAAGCGCATTGCCATTTCAAGAATACAGTGATCCTAGGTCTGGTTTCCTCAACCTTGCAGTTAAGTTTCCAGATGGTGTCTTAAAACCAGATTTGGGTCCAAAAACATATATTGCTTATGGGGTTGCTGAAGAGCTTGGAAGAGGAGACTCTGTGACAAAGCTTCATTGTGATATGTCAGATGCGGTATGTCTTCAAAATCTCAGTTATATTCTAATATATTATGACTTTTTTTCATCTCAAATATCGTTATTTGAACCTAAAGAATTATTTTTCATTCTATTTCTCTCTTTCCATAAACTTTTAGTGTTTGATTTGTTGCTTTATTTTGATATCAACTGCTTAAGAAGTCAAAATCTATGGTAATGCTGTCTAAATTGTGATGCAGATAGGAAAATACAATTTATTTAGATACTTAGGACATGTTCATGTTATAAGCGCATTTTTCACTTTTCCTTTTATTGTGCCTTGGGAATTTGGAAATAACTTTTCAGCTGTGTCATTTCATGTTTCCATAAAATACAAAAAATGCAGTCTTTGCACTTTACATGCGAAGTAGAGAGATTGTGGACTGTTATCCATGTTTTTTCAATTTATAATCCCATTTGCATAAATTTAAAAAAAAAAAAAAAAAAAAAAAAAAAATCATTTCTTTTCCAATGGCTTGCATTCAAAATCTAAAGTAAATTTTATGATGGAAAATCTGTAAGCTGTAAATATTAGTCAAGGCTCAAGTTTTATTTGTTTGCTATGGTTATAATTATCTCCTACAAGATTTATTTGTCAAAACTGAAAAAAAAAAAGGGTTATTATTTTTTTACTAATTTCTTATAAATAATTTTCATTTCATTTGTGAAATTATTAAGGTATTAATAATATAAGCTAATATATATTTAGGAATCTATGTATTATTGTTTGTTTTAGTTGGTTTTTATTTCCAAAAGGTTAATATCTTATTTGGTAGGATTTGAGTTCTTATTAGAAGTAGATTTTTTCCTTTTTATTTAGAACTAGCCACAATATAAGAAGGGCTTTTTTTTTTTTTTCTAAGAGACCATGCTTATGCTTGATTATTGAAAAATAGTGAGTTCTCCCCCACATTCTCTGTTCTCTCAATTCTTTTCCTTTTGTGATCTTCAACTATTAATATTTTGGTCCAACTTCAACCAAAACATTTTCTCAAACACCCAGTTCAATCCAAACATTTCTGCAAATAGCTGAAATAGTGCTCGTAAACCTTTCCAAAAGTCCATTTCTGCAAAGAGCTATAATGGTGCTCTTAAGCCTTTCGAAAATTCAAAAGTACCTATACCATAGAGCACTAATATATATCTACGGTCAAGCATATGTTGGAAGAATCGTTCCGGCATCATGTGTTGGCGACACAACTAGGACCATTGGCAACAATGGTGTCCAATCTACATACCTCACCGAAGCACTCCAAAGTTATATCTCTTCAATTCCTAAGATACCATCTAACCTAGATCATGAATCCGCTGCTTTACAAAACAATGCTATTATTTGTAGCATATTCTAATTTTTTTTTTTTGCTTTGGAAACTAACAAAGCGTGTTAATTCTTTATTTACTTTTTTTTTAAAAAAAAAGAAAAAATCATATATTAAGTGTAAACCTTGACAATTTGAACACTAATATTTATCTTCTTATATCACAATAATGCTGACACTTACAAAGTTGAGATCCCAACTTCATATTCCAACGCATATGAAAAAAAAATCATATATTAAGTGTAAACCTTGACAATTTTAACACTAATATCTATCTTCTTATATTACAATAATACTTACAAAGTTACAAAGTTGAGATCCCAACTTCATATTCCAACACATATGATAGTTAGGTTGGCATTATCTCTTTAATTATAGAATGATAGGATTTCGGGTTAGTATTAGTTGACCCATGAACTCGAATTATGCTACAAAACCCAATCCACATGTTGGTTTAAGTTTTTAGATTCACATTTTGCATCCCTTGGGTTTTTGCCCTTATCACTGGATCAATTGGCAATTTACTTTTCGAAGTAACTAACGGTCCATTGATTAATGCGGCAAACAAGTATAACCGAGGTACTTGCAAAGCCTGTTGTGGATCATTTGTCTTGTGTGTGCAGAGTCTTCAACATAACTTTAGCCAATCATTCCAAGATCAAAATTTCATCCATCTCAACCCAAATGGATCCATTACTGAATTTGGTGTTTCCTTGTCTTTCCGTAGGCATCCATCCAACATGTGATGAAGTCTATGTACTTTAGTTATTTATTGATTATTTTATTTGTTTTTGTTTTGTAAAGTTAATTTTTTATTTAGATAGGATTTTTATAAATTGTTAGAAGTAGATCTAGTTTATTTAAGATTGGCCACTATATAATTAGGGCCTTTTAGATAGTTAGTAAAAAAAGATTTTGATAATGGTTGATTCAATGTTTTTATACTCCCTTGACCCTGTTAAGGGATTAGTCCTTGGTCTGGGAAGTCTGATTGGCGGGTCGAACTGATGATGTCGGCATGAAACCTTAGTATGAAACTTAACAGATATACCCTTGAGAAACTACCATCAGTATCTACGGGTTTGAAATCTAGCGAACACACCCCTATGATATGGCTAGGAAACCCTAGTTGTCGCAACTGCAATCCACCCCAGATCAGCCCAACGCTAGACAAACCATCACGAAAACCGTAATCCACTACAAAACACCACCATCTACCACAAAACCCACCACAAATCAGGGGAGCCATCACGAAGAGGAGGTCAAGGTTGAATGGGCGAAGAGGGACCACATGACCAGCGACGCAGAGGCAAAACGGAGTACAATCCAGATCGAAGATTACACGATTTGAAGGAGTGAAGATGAAGAACTGAAGATTGAAATTGAAGAATAGAATTTGGGGATTTTAATTTTAGGAATTAGGATTTTGTTTTAGCCACTGGTTCTATGACTTGACGGTTAAACCGGCTATTCAGCATTGTTTCGTCGGTTCAACCCCAGGTCAATCTGATCCAATTGCTATAACCAGGTTTATAATGTACTCAGATTGGTATAATCGATTGGTCCGGTCCGGGTTTTAAAACAATGGGTTGATTATTAAAAATTATAAATACATCTATTGCATGGTAATATGTGAGTGGAACGACCTGTTAATACGATACGAAGGTTGCCGGTTGGAGTTGATCTTAATCATTTTCCCATTATATTAGTATTTGAGATTCTCAACTCACATAATATTCGTAAAATATTCGTGTTTAGGGTTCTCAACGTATACATGAATATAGGCTTGCGATCTAATGAGGTAATCCTCCTTTAGCTTCATAAGCCTTTTTGATGTTATTTGAAGTATTGAAATTTAAAAAATATCTTCGTATAATTTTATAAATTTGATTTCCTTTCTTCTTATATTAAAGCTCCTTTTTTTTTTCTTTTTTTTTTTTTTTTTTGGGTGTTGTTGTCTATTAAGGCTAAAAAAATCTTCTACATTTTCTTAACCAAGAGATTTAACCGTTTTTTTTCATAAAAGTTATATTTTTAGAAGTGTTACTTTGATAAACTTTACTCGAAGAATCCACCCAAACAAACCAATTGGGTGGGTTTATTTGCAAGTTGAGCAATGTTATCCTTATAACTGAGTCATACAACCAAATAAAAAACAAAGGACAGAGTAATCATTTTACATGAATTTTGTGTAATTTTTGTCTGGTTGTATAAGTAAGTTGTAAGTAAAACATTATTGTTAAAGTTAAAGGAGCTTATTTAATCTCAAAACCTCTATTGCTTGGTTGAAGTCCTAGAAAACTTATTGGTAATTAAATAAGTTGTTCTACATCTATTAATTCAAACTAGAAACTCAAAATTTGTGTTTTTTACCTTTTTTTTTTTTTTTTTCTTTTCTAGCTTATTTAAAGTTTTTAACAGTAAAATGTCATCATATTCTTTTTCAAAAAATGGTCTTTTTTTCATTCCTTTGAAATGAAATCCCTTTTGTTTTTTTTTTTTCCTTTCTAGCTCATTTAAAGTTTTGAACAGTAAAAATGTCATCATATTCTTTTTCAAAAAATGGTCTTTTTTTCATTCCTTTGAAATGAAATCCCTTTTGGTCTTTTTGGTATTTTGAAATTATAATCTCTAAACATTTGTCCAACTAAACAACCAATAACTTTATATATATAAAAGCTATGGATGATATAAAGTTATTGGTTGTGTTCTTTTATGAATTCGTTTTGTTTTGTTTTGTTTTTTTTGTTTCGGTAAATATTTTAAAACGCGTATAACATGTTTGTCTAAAAATAATATTTAGGAAATGTGAAAATAAATTGAGCAATATTACATCCACAACCTAATCTCACAATCTCATCTTACAACTCCAACGTGACAATTGAGTTAGCAACTGTGACGTCAGCTCCCACCACAACCAAGACGCTAAATGATTTAGACTAAATACGGATGGTTGTTTTTTAAAGATGAACGAATGTTCCTTCATAAAGAATGATTGTACCTTATGAAAGAACATATGTTCATTTATAAGGGATAATTGTTCCTTCATGGTTGTTTCTTACGAAGGAACAATCATTCTTTATGAATGAACGATCGTTCGTCTTTAAGGAATAATCGTTCGTTTTTAAGAAACGACCTTTCATATTTAGTCAAAGTTGTTAATTGACGTGATAGTGCCAATTTTGCTGTCACATAGAGGTTGTAAAAGAAGGTTGTGAGATTGGGTTCTAAAAGTAGTATTTTTTAAATGAATTCATATTTGTTTGAAAACATAAAGGAGTAGATGAAAAAAAAAAGGCAACTCACAACCTACACAACTAATAAAATCCTTTCAAATCATCACTTGATTTGTTATACTTCCTTAAACGTACAGTTAAACTTCGATAAATTAATAATCTCGATAAATAAATACTTCCTTTAACTTCATCTTCTTTGTTATTTTCAACAACTATTCCTCATATCACATTAACCATACACAATTTATACATGCATTAAGTTCAATGTTAGAAAAAGAAAATAAAGAATGTCTCAATAAATTAATAATTTTTAATTTATATAATTAAATAATATATTAAATAAATTTTCATAGTCTAATATTTGGAGGTTCAATTGTATATGGTAAAGATTTTGATTAGAGCTCTTTCCTTCACTTGTCCCACTTTCCTGCTCACCATTTGACGTGTGTGAAAAAGACAAGAAATGGAGGAAAGCTAAACACATTTTTTTTTCACTCGTTTTCTCACTTTCCTATCCACCATTTCACTGTGTACAGAAAGACAAAAGAAATGAAAAAGGAGGTAATCATTTATTTCTCTTTTTTTTTTCTGTACACGTGTCATAATGAGAGAGAGAGAAAAGTTAAAACAGAAAGGGCAAAAGGGAGTCTTCTCCCCTGGAAATTAAAGAGAAATTGAATATATAATGCAATGCAATTTGGACTTCATGAAATCTGCATGAATAAGTTCTACTAGAAGATGTATCAAATGAAACCTTAGTGACATACAGTCGTTTATGATTAGACGTGTCATGTATGATTACCAATTTATGAGACAATTATCTATTGATGCATGATTAAATTTGCATATAAATAACTTTATGTTTGCAGATATTCTTTATATTCAATTGTTATCATTCTCTTTTGAATTTCACTTAAAATATTACTTTGCAAAACGTTCATACTGCAGGTGAATATACTGACACATACAGCAGAAGTAGTGTTAACCGAAGAGCAACGTTCTGCAGTGGAAATATTGAAAGAGAAACACAGGGCACAAGATCTAAAGGAAGGTCTTGCGCAAGAGACACTGGATGAACCTATTGAAAAACTCAGTGGCGATCAACCCACTCAAGAAATTGGTGAAGGCACCAGTGGTAATAATAATAATAATAATACAGAAGGGATTACAGAGGAATCAGGCGGTGCTTTGTGGGACATTTTCAGAAGGGAGGACGTTCCCAAGTTAGAGGCATATCTTAGAAAGCACGTCAAAGAATTCAGGCACACATATTGCTCCCCAGTAGAACAGGTTACTTGCTTGAATCAGAGTTACTGTTTGGCACGATATCTGGGTGGCAGTTTTCTAACAGTTATGCTTGTTTATTATCACAGGTCGTTCATCCGATCCATGATCAGTGTTTTTATTTAACTTCAGAGCACAAAAGGAAGTTGAAACAAGAATATGGTTAGTACATTATTGCTGCGATGTCAATTATCTTTTACTATAACTCTCCTGTAAACATATTTGCCATGAAATTTATAGGAATTGAGCCATGGACCTTTGAACAAAAACTTGGAGAGGCTGTATTCATTCCTGCTGGATGCCCACACCAAGTCAGAAATCTCAAGGTTTGAATTTCGTTGCCATTCGCAAACAAGTTGGTTTCTTGTTCTAGTTATCTGACAAATGTTGTATGCATGTCAGTCATGTACAAAAGTAGCTGTGGACTTTGTCTCTCCTGAAAACATTCATGAGTGCCTGCGTTTAACTCAGGAGTTCAGACTTCTGCCGAAGAACCATAGAGCCCGAGAAGACAAACTTGAGGTAATACTCTTTTATTCATTTTGTGCCATTTTTTTCTTCCTTTTTATTTCCTTCTCCTAAGCAATTTATTTTCCTCTTTGTTGTGGTGGTAATCAGATAAAGAAGATGATACTCTATGCAGTTGAGCAAGTAATTAAAGATGCAAGGAATTTGTTAACATAACAAAGTTGAGTCTTTTGAGTAGCAACCAAGAGCAATAACAAAATCTTGTACATTCTTTTTTGAAAGAGTAGTTAGCCCGCAAGGTTGGATTTTGATATCCAAATTTAATGACAAAGTTTATAATGTTAAGCTTTTGGTTCATTGTTCTCTCCTTTTACATCTTAAAAGGTATTGGGTAAGACTAACATACCATTTCTTCTTTCATAAATCCTAGATTGTGACTATGTGACATATCCAAGAAGTAGCTAAAACATGAGCCAATCCCATAATATAAAGATGATACCAGTTTCTACAAACTCTTTATAAAAAGATACTAATTCATATGGAAAATATGAATGATACCTACTTATACAGTCTTTCATGCAATCATACAAAAATAAAGATAGGTTGACAAACACTTTTTATAACTTTTTTTTTACAAATGTTGACGTGACAGCTCGCATTTGATCAGGCGGTATCTATTGCGAATTGACCAATTATGAGTTGACATGTCGCGTTTGTAAGAGAAAGTAAGAAGGATTTGTGAGTGTAGTATTATTGATCATACAAACAACTAACTCATGGGAAGAGTAATGCTATGTTTACAATTGAATCATACAATTAGGTAAAAAACAAAGGACAAAGTAGTCATTTTACATGAATTTTGTACAATTTTTGTTTAGTTGTATAACTCAATTATAAATAATACATTATTGCTCATGAACTCTTCGCACAAACAACTAATCTAATTTGTGTTTATATAGAGAAGAATGGAGCTTATAATATTTTAAGAATAATATTATACTTACAAAGACTTTATACAAAGTCTTTTGTAGAAAATGACGTGTCAAATTATGATTGGATGAATTAACATAAAAATCAACCTAATAAATGCATATTGAATGATAGTGAATGATATTTCAAAGCAAGAGTATTGTCACATCACTTTGTATAAATGACTTTGTATAGAGTCTTTGTAAGTATAATATTACTCATATTTTAATTGAAAACAACAATAACAATCAATGTAAATTATTTGTACAAACTTTTATATATAAAATGATGTAGCAAAATGAATAAAATAATAATGAATTCTAAATGTATAACCAATAATAAGAATAACACCAAATGTACAAATTATGTATACATATTATGTTACCCAAAATGAATAGATAAGTGCATATAAAAAGTCAACTAAATAAATGTTCAATAAATGTAGATAAACGATATGACAATAAAAGAGTTTGTATGTATGACACCAATAAACTTTACAATATAATGTCAAACTCAATAAATGAAAATGAATGATACGATAATAAAAGGATTAATAATTTGACAATGAGAGCATGCTCGCTTCTATTTTCGTTCTTATTTTAAAATCTAAGTTTGTTTTCCACCTTACCAAATACACAAAATACTAGCTTGCTTAGTGATGCAATCCTAACGTTCGACATGGTAACCTAGCTCTGCTATACTAACTACCTAGCTAGTAGCTAGTCCAACACCCATGCCTCGTCATGTCTTACATGGTAACCTTGCTTAGACTTTGTCCAATACCCAACTACTAGGTTGTTTGGTGATGCTATCTACGACAATCCATGATGCCTTGTAACGCTCAACATGGTAACCTAGCGCTGACGTGCTAACTACATAGTCAATCCAACACTCATGCCTTATCATGTCCTACATGACCTTGTCAAATACCCAAAGACTAGCTTGTTATTCGAGAAAAGTTTCGGATTGCCTAGTATTCCACCAATTAGTAATCCAATATTCTAGTTTATTAAATGAGAGAGAAATCCTCTAGCACGAAAATAATACAATAGATGGGAGATGTCTAAGGGGAATGGATACTTTCTTTTGCCATTTTTTCATTTGTGAATTGTTACTAAACCCACCTCATTTGTTGACTCTATTCCATCTAATATTTTTATTATATCAAGCATGAGTTATATAGCGCCTAAGAATTTAGTCTTGGTTTTTTCGTTGTGATTGAATGATTAGTCCTTGAACCTAATGTAGAAGTTGAGATTCAATTATCTTCACACCCCATGATGCCTTATAACGATTGACATAGTAACCTAGGTCTAGCAAGACACTTGCTAACTATCTAGCTAGTCCAATACCCATGTCTCATCACAACCTACATGATAAACTAGCTTTACATGATAACCTAGCTTTTACAAGACGCTAGCCAACTATCTAGTAGTCCAACACTCATGCCTCATCACAACACTCTATAATGCCTTATAACGATGGATATGGTAAACTATCTCTAACGAGTCATTTGCTAACGACATAGCTAGTCCTACCAATGCCTCGTCAAAACCTACATGATAACCTAGCTTTCACGAGATTTTTGCCAACTATCTAGTAGTCCAATACAATGCCTCATCACGTCCTACATGACAACCTACTTTGACAGACAATTGCCAACTATGTAGTAGTTTGACACCTATAGCCCAAATGTCTACTAGGCCAACACACTTTGGTAAATTACAATGCTTACTAACTATCCAAAACACGTTATGCCATTTCGAAACAGTTAGACAAAATATAAAAACACTATTTTAACCCTAAAATGGATAATTGTATAAACATCATAAACCCTTTTTACTTCAAAACTAAGTTCAAATCAAAGGACACATCTAAATCCAAGAAATTGGAGCGTTTGTTATTTGTTTTTGAAAAATTATTTTATTAAAAAAAATAATTGAGTACAGTTTATATGGGTAGCCAAACAGTAAAGGCGAACCAACCCACAGTTTCAAGTTCGATTTTCCACCTAGGGCCGCGGTAGTGGGTTTTTGTGAGATAGATCCCTTGAGAATTAGTCGAGATGTATGTAAACTAGCCCCGAAAAAGCTAGATCTATGGCCAAAGATCTGACCGTCCAGATCTTTGGCCGTAGCTGGTTGTCAACGACGATCAAGTTGACGACCATATCTTTGATCATCGTTGACAACCAAACGTGGCAAGATCTGACCATTAATAGCCAAATCTAGCCGTAGATCTAGCCAAAAAATGTCATATCGACGCACAACCGGCCAGATCTAGTCGGTCGTATGCCATTATGGTGATTGTCGGCCACCCTCCGACGGTGGTGGTCGACTGCCATCATTTAATGGGCGAGTGGGGGTGTTTTTGTTAATTTTCAATGTTTTATTGTAAGCGTGTTAGCTAAATTAACAAACGTAGGAGGTTTTTTGTTAGTTTTTAAATTTTACCTCGTAATAATCACTCAACTCAACTTTTTCAAAAATCTTACCCAAAATAATAAAAAATGACACACACACAAACATATTTTTTTATCTATAGTCAAAATAGTAAAACTCTAGTGCGATTTGATCCAAGACCTTCTCTCCTTGAAGATTAGTTGAGATACACATAAACTAGCTTTATCCAAAAAAAAAAAAAAAAAANCTCCTTCCTTTATATGATCCCCTATAACTATATACATACAAATAAATACATTGACTTGAATTTCATCCAGCGGTCCGATGATGATCCATTTTTTCAAAAGAGCGCAAATTGAGTTACCCCATATAATACGTTTACACATGCATAAAAACTTTTTTTAGTTATGTTTGTAGGAATCTATGTGTTATACAATATTCTACCAAATGGGTCTTATCAAATCGAAGTTTTTAAAATAAAAAAGGGATTTATACGATTCGGTCTCATCCGATCTAAAAAATCTTATTTTTTTGAATATGAAGAAATAAAGAAGCCATTGCAAGTGCCGGAAAGACTAGGCCTACTAAAGGCACAAAAATAGAGGGTAAGTTGTTGAAAGTTGTCATAAAATGGGGTACCTCAATTTAATATTTGTACCTGTTATTGTTATATTCTGAATTCTAAAGATATCTTAGAATATCTTGTAGTTTTATTATTTCTATTATATATATTATATAATTATACTAAGTATCTTTAAGTAAATATATATCGAATACTAATATACAACCTAATAGAAATATATAGAATAGAACCTACTAGAAATAGAATAAAAAAATAGGTACAAGAAACGCCAAACTAAATAAATGGACTTATTAATCTTTCAAAATAAAATAGATGTATTATCATAATCTACCTGTTAGATTTATTATTCTTTTTGTTCTTTTTGTCTTCTAATAGTCATTAATAAAGAAAAAAATTTTATTCCATTAAAAATTTATACAAAATTTATTGGAATCTGATCCAACAACAGGTAATTTTCGGAAAATGCAAAACGATGCAAGACTCTCTATAGATCTATATCTCTATTTGAATTATCTATCCATATGCAAGCAAGAGAGGAAAAAAACTTTGTTTAATTTTTCTAGTCGAATTTGAACTTCCCGAAAGCAAAAATTCACTTTTTATCTTGTTGATAAAGGTTTACTGAGTAGTAAACAAGAATATCGATAAAAAAAGGATTCGAAAGAAAAATGAATTTTTCAGGGTTTTCGTTTAATTATGATAAACTAACTGTTTTATTTGATTTCATTTTTGTTCAAAGGAAAAAAAGCATGGAGCTGAAATAACTCACTCACAACACCTTTTAAAGGATTACGTGGTACAATTGCATCCAATAAGCCCTTACGTAATAAAGATTCAGCTGCTTGTGAACCTTCAGGCACGGCTTTTTTCAATGTTTGTTCAATTACTCTTTTACCCGCAAATGCAATATAGGCATAGGGTTCGGCAATAATGATATCCCCCAACATACCAAAACTTGCTGTCACCCCACCGGTAGTAGGAGATGTAAGAATTGATATATAGAATAACTTTTTACTTGATTGATAATCACATAAAACCGAAGAAATTTTAGCCATTTGCATCAAACTTAAACTTCCTTCTTGCATTCGTGCTCCTCCGGAAGAACACACTAAAATAAGAGGTAAACATTGATTGGTAGCATACTCGATCAAACGAGTTATTTTTTCGCCNTTAAGAAAATTAAGTTCTCTTGTTCCTCGCCTACCATTTTAGAGAGAAGAAAAAGAAAAGTAAATTTATAAAATTAAATTAAATTCAGAGAAAAAATCAAAAGTGGAAGAAGAACTAACCAAGTATCGTAAATTTATAAAATAAAAAGCAGAGAAAAACTCAAAAATAGGCAAGTACCAGGTCAGTGCGAAGCCGCTCGGCGGAGAAGCTGGGTAAAGGTTTTATATAGGTTTCTAAAATTAACTAATACTTAGCAAAATAATTTAAACCTCTAAATTTTTAATAAAAAAATAGTAAAATAAACCCCGCAAACATCCCTTAAGATCAATTTCAACCTTTGTTTTTCGAAAAGAGAGTTTATTTGTTAATATATTGATAATTTTCACGACGTGCCCAAAAAGACACCTAAGAAGTTAAAAGGTAGGTACCGGGTTCGGGTACACTACTATGCCAACAGCAGAGATGGGTTAGAACATCAAAATTGCAGGGACGGGTACAAATAATTTCAATAACCCCCGGGTCTGAGACAATCTCATTCCTCATTTCGCTACCGCCTAACGGGTAAATTGTACAAAATTGGATGAACGAAATAAATAAAGGAAAAACTAAAGCTAAAATATATTTTATTTACAACTTTCTACAATTTTGACAGTGTCCTTGAAAACCAGTTGGATAGGCGGTCTATCTTGGCTAATAGCCCAGCATTTTTCACAAAATAAGATTCAGCATTTGACAGCATGACCTTAATGTCATCTTTCACAGCTTCTAAGCTCCGATAATAGTTGTTCTCTAATCTCAATCGGATCACTTCAGGATATAATGGCACAGGAAACCTGCAAGAATTCCACCACATCAAAGACGAAATCCCTATGAATAACCCCTCAACTTACCGTGCAAGAGGGAGGAATAACTAACTAAAGGCCAAAGATACAATTTTTGTTTTTTCCAAATATGTTCATTAAGTCCAGGGTGATTCACAATTAGTAATCCATAAAAAAAAAATGCATGATCCCCTTTCTTTTACACCAGTTTTCCTGGGATTTATGGAACTTCATAAATCTCCTAGGTCAATATTAGCATGCAACCAGGAAAGAGAGAGAGGAGGGTGATGGTGATGGTTAGGGGAAAGCAGAGACAAAAAGAGATACCTATTCAAGAAATCTAGCTTCTGAGCAGCTTCATTCAATCTCTGAATACCATAGCAATCCTGCAACAATTAGAAAAAAATCTATCAGAAGCCCTCAGGGAAACGTCTATTCTCCCTCTTTTGTGACAATTGAGTATCTAAATACAACTTTCTTAGCTGTTTGAACAGGACGACATGATGGATAGAAAAGAACCTGATTTCTGCTCACTGACTGCTCTAATTTAGAAAAAGACGACAGCAGCTTATCTCTACTGTCAAAATCAATTTGAGGATGCTGCCATGGAACGTTAGGATCATGCAGTTCCCAAGGACTGTGTCGATGGTTATCTCCAGTCTTGTACTGAATCACATATGTTTCCCAAGGACTATGAGGGAAATCATCAGATTTGGCCTGTGAAGAAACAATTCTACCTTTCCACCAAGTACCGCCATCCCCATTTGCATTTCTCCACCAAACCAGGCATTTATCCCTCTGTGTCCAATTTCTGCTGACAGCAGCATCATACCGTGTTTTCTCAACAACAAAATCTGGAAAATCTATCAGTTCCGGCAGAGTCAACTTGAATGTTTTACCAAACACAGCAGATGAAGGATCAACAAATTTAAGGGTGAGTTTACAGCAGCTATCTCCAGAACCAGGAAATGTAGCATAGACAAGGTTTTCAACCTTGCAAAGTTCCACTGCACGTATGTATCCCTTGATTGACTTCCAAGGACCTACTTCGCGTGAGCCAATTGATTCAATAAACTCTTGATGGCCCTGAAAATAACAGAAGACCAATTGCATAATTGTGGAGTCAGCAATATCAGAGACAACTCAAATTGGAGGCTTATAAAGAAACATAAATTTACCAAGAATAATACTACACATACATTATTTCCATACAACATTTCTCATACAATATTATGTGGCAAGATGTGATTGGGTGAAAATTTAATTTTAACTTTAAATTAGTCAATCATATCTTGCCACATAATGTTGTATGGGAAATGTTGTATGAAAATGATGTATGTGTAGTATTACTCATTTACCAAGAATAATAAGAATCACCTGTCTCAAATATACAACATCATCGCCTAGCTGAGGGATGTAACGGTAACTCTCCTCATGCTCTGACAACATCAACCATGACAATTTTCTGATAGGGAATTTTGACTTAATTCCAGACAACAGACGTGGACTTTCATCAAAATTCCCACCCTTCCTGTTTTTACTAGACCTTGGTCTCAATGTCACATTTGAAGTCGGCATCGATTCTCCAGGTAGGAAACCATCACCTGCTTCCATGGAGGAGTTTCCCACATATTTTGATGTCCCAACCAATTCATGCCCAAATCTCAGTCTCACGTTATGGTTAACAGAATTTTGCTCCTGTGGATTTACCTTCATCTTCATGGATCTTGTTCTGCGTGTTGAATCAGTTGTCAGTTCCGCAAAATCAATTCTTGAATCATTACAGTCAATGGCATCTGAAGTATTTTCTTCGATGTCACCATCAAAACTCTCCGAAACAGTCCTAGGCTTATAAAAACTTTCCATCTTACTTCCGTCATATAGCTTAAACTTCAAATTTGAACCCGGCAACTGGTCAGAACTTGATCCACCAGAACCTTTACCCTCATGTGGTGCTCCAGAAATTGGATTCTGCTCCATGCACAAGGGACTTTCAGATATTAAATCACCTTCAGCACTAGGCAGGTCCTCTACTGCAGTGACGAGTTTTAGTTTTGAAGGACTTTTAGGATCCCTCAAAATCCCTTTTGTTTTAATTCTTACCTTGAATGATGGATTCTCTTTGAGTTCATTAGGATAGTTTGTGTCATCTCCATTACAAGAAGCTATAAAAGCATCACCTTTCAGCCGGTGATCAACCTGGGGCAAGGAGTCAAATGACGAAGATTCTTTATCATCCTTGCNGAGGATGCTGCCATGGAACGTTAGGATCATGCAGTTCCCAAGGACTGTGTCGATGGTTATCTCCAGTCTTGTACTGAATCACATATGTTTCCCAAGGACTATGAGGGAAATCATCAGATTTGGCCTGTGAAGAAACAATTCTACCTTTCCACCAAGTACCGCCATCCCCATTTGCATTTCTCCACCAAACCAGGCATTTATCCCTCTGTGTCCAATTTCTGCTGACAGCAGCATCATACCGTGTTTTCTCAACAACAAAATCTGGAAAATCTATCAGTTCCGGCAGAGTCAACTTGAATGTTTTACCAAACACAGCAGATGAAGGATCAACAAATTTAAGGGTGAGTTTACAGCAGCTATCTCCAGAACCAGGAAATGTAGCATAGACAAGGTTTTCAACCTTGCAAAGTTCCACTGCACGTATGTATCCCTTGATTGACTTCCAAGGACCTACTTCGCGTGAGCCAATTGATTCAATAAACTCTTGATGGCCCTGAAAATAACAGAAGACCAATTGCATAATTGTGGAGTCAGCAATATCAGAGACAACTCAAATTGGAGGCTTATAAAGAAACATAAATTTACCAAGAATAATACTACACATACATTATTTCCATACAACATTTCTCATACAATATTATGTGGCAAGATGTGATTGGGTGAAAATTTAATTTTAACTTTAAATTAGTCAATCATATCTTGCCACATAATGTTGTATGGGAAATGTTGTATGAAAATGATGTATGTGTAGTATTACTCATTTACCAAGAATAATAAGAATCACCTGTCTCAAATATACAACATCATCGCCTAGCTGAGGGATGTAACGGTAACTCTCCTCATGCTCTGACAACATCAACCATGACAATTTTCTGATAGGGAATTTTGACTTAATTCCAGACAACAGACGTGGACTTTCATCAAAATTCCCACCCTTCCTGTTTTTACTAGACCTTGGTCTCAATGTCACATTTGAAGTCGGCATCGATTCTCCAGGTAGGAAACCATCACCTGCTTCCATGGAGGAGTTTCCCACATATTTTGATGTCCCAACCAATTCATGCCCAAATCTCAGTCTCACGTTATGGTTAACAGAATTTTGCTCCTGTGGATTTACCTTCATCTTCATGGATCTTGTTCTGCGTGTTGAATCAGTTGTCAGTTCCGCAAAATCAATTCTTGAATCATTACAGTCAATGGCATCTGAAGTATTTTCTTCGATGTCACCATCAAAACTCTCCGAAACAGTCCTAGGCTTATAAAAACTTTCCATCTTACTTCCGTCATATAGCTTAAACTTCAAATTTGAACCCGGCAACTGGTCAGAACTTGATCCACCAGAACCTTTACCCTCATGTGGTGCTCCAGAAATTGGATTCTGCTCCATGCACAAGGGACTTTCAGATATTAAATCACCTTCAGCACTAGGCAGGTCCTCTACTGCAGTGACGAGTTTTAGTTTTGAAGGACTTTTAGGATCCCTCAAAATCCCTTTTGTTTTAATTCTTACCTTGAATGATGGATTCTCTTTGAGTTCATTAGGATAGTTTGTGTCATCTCCATTACAAGAAGCTATAAAAGCATCACCTTTCAGCCGGTGATCAACCTGGGGCAAGGAGTCAAATGACGAAGATTCTTTATCATCCTTGCCAGTGGCAAGCTCTTTATTTCTCATACTATCCAGATTCAGTAAAGCATCGCTTCCAGTTTTTTCCTCATACCTGCAAAACAACATACATGTATAACAATGGGTTTCTGAATTAGGTGAAAATCTCCTATATTTCTCAAGCTTAACATACCCATCAACATCACTTCTGCTCTCCTTATGGCCATCAAATTCTGCATCAAGTCCAGTGGATGTGTCAGTTGGCATCACTACCCCTGGAGCTATACGTTTGGATGTGCGGATCTTCACCTCTCCCCATTTGATTTTGTTCTGCTCATCACCTAGAGATTCCTCCAAATGATAGTCATGCTTTTCACGTTTCCTTTCATCAATAAAATCAATTCTGTTGAGATTTGGAGACATCTGCCCATCAATCCCACCTGCAGAAGATGACAGAAGATCTTTCGTGCTTGTACCAATATTCCCATCTTCGGTAATTTCTTGAGGCGATCTAGATGATGGATGCACAAACTTTGCCTGATCCTCGCCAGTTAGCCTGGTGTCTTCGGAAGGCAAAGGCTTCTTAGAGTCCCGTAATGAAAATTTTAAGACCAATCGCTTCCGGTTCCCATTATTTGACTGAGATTCGGGGACTTCAAAAGACTTGGATATACACTCAGACTCCACAATTGTTTGCTCTCTCTCCTTTCTACGTTGTTGTTGAATGATTTGCAAGTTTCTATCAGCTTCTTTGCCTTGAATGTGTGAATCTTGCAGCACCAGATCACTGTTTGATGATTCGTATTCTGTATCTGACTCATCTTCATCAGTTGAAGTTCCAGAAATTCTAGAGAACATACTTCGGGCATTGCGTGCAGCAACTCGCTGAGGTCTCATTGTCTTAGCTTTGGAGGACTTCCTCTTTACAGCTTTCTGGCTATTTTTTGATTTCTTAGTCCTGTGACTCCCACAAACAGATCCATCACGCTCATCTAAATTCCTCTTTTTGACACGCCTACCAGATGCAGTCTTTAACTCGGCCTGAAGAGCAGAAAAAATCAGTCACATAGAAGCAAGAGAGAATGCAACTAGCATAGGTCAAAGACCACTTACTTCATTCTTGTGTTTTCTTCTTCTTGATCTGCGAAATCCGTCTATCTGACCATGTTCAACCTCACTATCTTCTGCACTACACTCTGGAACACTAGATGAATTGGAACACAGACTTCCTTGCTCACCATCACTGGAACATTCCTCCGCAATATTGTACTCTGAATCAGTGTCATCACTTATGATTTCAATTTCTGGATCCCAGTATATAGGATCTATGAACTCAGGTACTGGCTCCATCATTCTTTCTAAATCTTCCAAGGGAGGCATTGCATAATCCTGGCCTAAACTAAAATCTGGTCCAACAGCTAATTTTATAGATGAAGGTCGCCACTCAACACCCAGCGCACCAAGTCGACGTTGCTGGTACATACTCTGGTAAGGTTCTTGATATGGAATCATACCTGAAATCCCCACCAAAAAAAGAAGTGTGAGAAGTGCTGTCTCATAATAAGACAAAATTATCCACACCAAAAGAGATATTAGTGTACCTGAATCACAAAGAGGATCTTGAATGTTCCTTCTATGTGGAGCAAGCTGTGTCTCCTGCAAATAAGCCATGAAAGGTAAACCATTAAAAAGTTATTTGATCAGGAATCAGCTTTCTTTGATGCACGCATCACTGATAAATAAGCTAAGTGCTAAAAATAAAATCTTATGCAACCATAATCATGGATACTCCAGTTATGAATGAAATTTACCATACAATAATGTAATAAAGAGTTGGCAAATAACCTGATCAAGAACATTTCCAATACTATCCCGAATAAGCGGTCGATAATCGCCAAGGAAGAACTGCCAGAAAAGTTACAGTCATCATAAAGCAATTGCAATATACCCACTAAGAAAATGAAAAGCGATGGAAGAAGACAATGGAGATATTTATAGTACCTGATCATATTTGGCATCCTTTTGAGACTCACCCTGACCTGTGTTTAGCAAATATATCTGGCCAACATCATCTGAAAGTACAATCGACGTCCCATCCCTATGCACAAAGAAAAAATGTTTTGTCACAAAACATTACTATAATTTAAACAGTGAGAGTTATTAAGATCTAGCAGTCATCTAAAAATGCATGTAAAAATAATTTTAACATCACTAACTCTCAAAAAAAAAAAAAAAGGTTCAGTGGGAAACTATTAAAGATGTAAAACTACCCAACACGCCAGCTTAATAAAATATGTGAAAAGGAAGAGAGGCACAAGGGTGAGATCAAGACCATCAACATCATCACAGGATATAACCCCTTAAAATCAATATCACTAAATTAAAATATAGGGAAAGAACAGAGCAACTGGACCAGTCCATAGGATCATAAATTCAATCCTCACATTCAAGGGTAATACCCACAAATGATCTTAAAGATCAATGACTAAATAAAATTCAAGTCTATCCAAACTCAAGCAAGTCAGAAGCTACTTGGCAATTTGAAACCATTTGAAAGCATTCACTACAAAAAAAATGGCTATATAGCTAATATGCATGTCACATTGGCCTCAAAAATTTATCTATTGAGACAATGACAATGACATCATAAGTTCATAAGATGGTAGCTGCTATTAGGATAAATGAATTGGACTGGAGAAACAGAAGGATAAAAGTGGCCATTTTGATTTGTTCTAGATGTTCAAAAATCACACAAAATATCTTTGATTCCAGCAATTACACATATCAATCACAATACAATCTTGATGAGCGATTCCTCCACTGTATAAGTGGCACCACAGGAAGGCGACAATGGTTAATCTTGCATCACTGCTGAAGTTAATCTCCACCAAAATAACCAAACAAGAGTAGACTGTATATTCAATAAAGCAAGAGAAGGGGAAAAAGAATCATTTCCATGGTTCACTTACGGTGAAAACTTCCCGTCAACCAACTTGAAACGTCCTATTTCATATGTCCTTATAGGTGTGCCCTCCCATATCTAGAAAGGGATATGCCAAGAAATTCAATACAAAGAAAAAAAAGTTAAGCACAACAACAAGGGGAGCTTTAAGAATTAGAAACTTACATCCCAAACTATTGTTCTGCCATCATACCCAGCACTCATAGCAATCCTAGGGTTGAAAGGATGAACATCCAAGACATAAGACTGCCAAGAGTTCAAGAATAAAGGAGTGAGCCACCAAAGCAAAATAATTTAAAAAATTAAAATTCGAACACAACTAATTGGATTGAGCAAATAATTTGCCACACCACCAAAACAAACTAACAGTTCAAGTACAATCTGGACTCCATATCAAGGGTACCAAATAAAAAACCCATTTGACAGAATTTCCTGAGGACTTCTGCAGATCAATAAAATAGGCAAAGAAGTAACTGAACTTTGAAAGAAAAACAGCAAACTTTAATGAGGATGAAATCCTAGCCTTATAAAGAAAAATATCCTCTTTAAGATTGGTTTTATCAAGCCAAAATAAAAATGTAAAGGAAGAAATTGACAAAATATTCCCAGGACTGGTAATAAATTATAAACTACTTACAGATGCAGTATGACCAGTCAAAGAATGTACCAAGCTACCATCAACGGCGTTCCAAACGCATATTCGGCAATCTGCATAACAAGAAACATTCGCACCGACCAAGATAAATAAACAAAGACCAGTTCTAACTCCTAAGCAAAGATCTTAAGGCCAAGCAAGGAAAACATGAACGAATAAATCCTTTAAAACATTATCCCAAAGCTTTTAAAAAGTCATGAAGCAATAAGCTAGCAGAAACCACATTTACAGACTGAAAAGAGAGATTTGAGTTTTTCTTTACACAGAATTACTAATTTTATGTTTCAAATATTTCACTATTCTTTAAAATGCAATGAGGCTCAGACTTACTATCAAGCAACAATTAACATGAATTGAATACTGAGAACAGAAAAAAGTTCTTTCCATTTACCAGTATTAAGACTGATTTACTAAATATAACGTAAAAGCCATAAGTAAAAATTAGGTGGTTCCCACTCGAAACAAATCAACTAAAGTGACTGGTTCAATTGGAGAGCAAATATATGCTTGAGGCAAAAACTCTTGTTGCTTGATGAAAGAGCATGTTGGGTGGAATATGATAATTTGAAGATGTGCCACTAGATAAAGCATAATGTCAGGAATAATTCATGATCGGCTTAAGTAGTAGAGACCTGTACTTTATTGAAAAACAAGTAAATAGGATGTTCAAAAAATTTATTCTTCAATGTTCAAACTAATGACAATAATTTTACCCATGATAGCTGCAAGAACAAAGCGATTATCCAAGCTCCACACAATCATGTTAACACCACGAGGAGTTGGAAGAAGTCTTTGACGTGGGCCTCCTCGAGGAGGTTGAGGAGGCAGTGGAGGGGGTGGAACTTTCAAATGATATGCGCGTGTCCAACGTCCAACTTTTCCCTAAAAATTTGAAGGATTATAATTGAAAGAAAATCTAATTTGTTTTGTTTCATGAACAAAATTCAATTGCCATTGCCACAAATTTCCATAAAATTGGGATTTTAAATAACTGAAAAGATTTTTAGCATGGAAAAGAAAGTAGGTTTGCATATAAACCTCAGACAAATGTTAAACTTGTTGAAAAGAACTTACATAGGATCTACGTGATCTTGGTATCCATATAATTGCACTACCATCACGAGAACAGGTAACAATGTTGTCATGACAGAACCTAAGAACATTGAGATTTTAAGGAACAAAGATTTACAGGAGCAAAATAAGCTTATTGATTAAACCCAGAAACAAGTTAAAATACCCCAGAAATAGTAAGGGAAGAAGATAATGACAGACCAGGAGTTTTTAAATTTTGGAACATTCTCCTCCTTCAAAGCATCAGAAATTGAAGATCTTGAAGCCACAGCACAGCCACTACAAATGGAAACAGCCAAGAAGGAATGAGATTTCTATGTTAAGAAAATCAGACACAAATAAGGACTCAATAACCTGAATTGAACATAGTTGACATCATTTTCATGCCCAGACAATAAATCCAGCTCATGGATTGGTTGTTCCAATTCATCCATGTTTGATTTACAGGCACTCCAGACCTGCAAATATCTATTTCTCAATAAAAGTATCCAACTAAATTTAAAGAAATGGTGACCAACAAAGTGAAAACAAAATACAGACAAAAAGTAATAATAAGTTACAAGAGAGTTGACAGGTTAACACACCCTAGCAAAAGTGTCAGAACTACCCGTCACAAAAACAGTTCCATTGGCATTATAAGCACAACATAGTATCTGGTGGCTTTGTGGACTAATACTTGAGGAGGGTCCATTACTAGATGGAACATTGATTTTACCTAAAAAAACCTTCTCAGTTCAGAGTATTTTCATCTCAATCACACTAAAATCAACAATCTAAAAAAAAAAAAAAACAAAACAAAAAAGTAATATCTAACCAGCAACAGCATCTGAAGGCTTGGGCAGGTATATTCGTGGACTACAATGGGAATATCGAGCATCCCAGATTCGACAAGTTCCATCATCTGATGACCTACAGATATTAACAGTGGCACCATCAATGCCAAAAGAATGTTAATAAATCATGGCTGCCAAATCCCAGGAATGCGAGGTTACAATAATTGTGGTGCATAGCCACATTTGTAGAGAATGCTTCACAATGGTCAAAAGGAGCATGCGAATGGTTTCTAGACACAACCAAAATATGAAATCACAGTTTTATTAATGGTTCTCAAAAAAGACCAACTCAGAAACTGAATTGGAGCAAAAACAGGATACAATACTATGGAAAAGAACTCACGATAAAAGCTGATATATAGCACTAGGCCTTGGACTAAATGCAATGGCAGTAACAGCTCCTGTATGTCCCCGCAAAACTGAAATTGGTAACCCATCCGGCAACCGCCACTGCAATAGTCCAAAAGTAACTACAAAGTTTTCAAAGAACACAAACGGAACATACTTAAGGGTTGGGTAGCATATTCTTACAACTCGAATAACAAAATCATTTGAAGCTGATGCCACCAAAGCATTATTCGAACTCACAGCCAAATCCGTTATGTCACCCTTCAGTCCATGAATTAGAAAGTTTGTTTAAGTAAACAAACTTTAAAGGCTACATTGATATATAGAACATTCATGTATAAAACAAGAAATCTAAACTCACTTCATGTCCACGACAGCTGGCCAAGCAGAATGCAGTTTCCATTGACCAAATTTTTACAAGACGGTCATCCGAGCCAGTAATAACATATCTTCCAGAGCGATCAAATATGGCTACAAGATACAAGCAACAATATTTAAAAAATGTTTAACCATCTTTGTTATAAACAGTGATATAAAAAAAGGGTAAGCAGAAACAATATGATATTTTTTTGTGAAAATAAATAACAAAGTGAGAGGGTCATGAAAAGTTCAGAGAATTGCAACTACTAAATTCATTTAGCATTACTGCGACCAAGTCATTAATTACATTGGCACACAAAAGAAATCACCTAATTTATTCTGAAGAAAGGACAAAAGTTCTAAGTAAACAAAAACATAAATTTAATAACTAATTTGAAGTCAGTGATTATTGCTACCACACTGGAGAATACCAACAAAAATACTATCATATTTCACTTCCTCTCCAACTTCCTTCTCCTCTCATCACCAGTAATTGAGTTTATTAACCGACAGGTAGAAGATAACACACAAGGAGGCCCACTTCATTCAGAGTTTAAAAAGTTTCAAGACAGACTCTCTCTGTTACAGAAAATGAAGATGGAGAAAGGTTCGAGATACACATTGCTTTTGGACCCCAAATTGTTAAACTCCTAAAAAGACCCTACTAAACAAAATTTTTTGTTCTTGCCACTTCTTTTCTTTTCTTTTATATATATATATATATATATATATATATTTTGACCAAGCAGAAAGTATAATGTAAGAAAAGCCACATCAATGTCACAGCTGCCTAGCCATTTCTCAAATTATGTTCCTCGAAATACAATATGCTAAATGAGTGTCAACTGATACAATAAATACAGAAATCTCATAATTATGAGTTCTGAGATAAAAAAGCACACCACAATAGACAGCATCCCTGTGACCCCTTAGCTTCTTTGTATTTTGCATCTTTTGCACCATGGTTGATGGTTTAGCAATAGCATAACATGCAGAGCGACTTGATGGAGCACGATGGTGCTTTGGGAAACCGCCACCAATTTCCCTTAAACTTAACCCACGAACCTGGTCAGCCTGCATGTGGGGCCAACGTAGGTAAGCTGGCAGAGGCTTAACTTGATTATATTCCACACTTTTATCACCTGCAACAGCAAGGAACATGTATGCAAACCACAAAATAGATTAGGCAAACACCCAGATAAGCACAAAAAGCAGGACATTTTCCTAACAAACAGTAAAGAAATTTAATACTTTTACATCATTTTCTAACTATTAAACAGCTCAAACAAACAGTAAAAAAGCACAAAGAGAGGAAAAATCCCACATAAGAGACATGGAAGAGGAATTAATACTTCAACTGTTGCATACAGAAATTGCTAAACCTGAAAGCACAAAAAATGGAATACACTAAACCAAAACTTTGGAGGCAGGCACAACAGCTATCATTTTAGATAAAAAAAAAAAAAATTCTTTTTTTTTTTTTTTGGAAAAAAGAAGTCTCAATAGACTGAAGCAAATTACTATGACATAAAACATACGTTCTAGAAGGGAAAAAGAACCAGATCCCAGTAATGTAGGAACATCAGCAGCATTTGGCGCATTTCCTCCAATCCTGCCATGCAAAGGAGAGGCTTTATGCAACATCAGCTGCCTTAAAAGCTTTACCAAGTGATCCTTTTCTACGTGAGAATACCTGAAGATTATACAAATGGAAAATCAATAAATTAGATATTGCATTCAATTTGAAAGAACAGGACAAAGACCCAATGAAGAAGAAAAGAAAAAAAATTATTTTTGAGCCTGGGTCAGATTGGAAAATAACATGGATATCACTTCAAGCTCATTAGTATATATGGCAACAGCAAGACTTGACAAGTTACTCATCAAGCCTGAATATTAAGACCAGTTGCGAGTAAGTAATTAATCAGTATAATTCTTTATGAGGAAATTTCAGTGCTTTAGGAGTATGGATTCATTTTAGAAAAAGGATATTCAAAACTTTGAAAAGCTAACATCCATTGTTCCACTTTCCATTTGTAATTCATTTACAAAGTAGTAGAGCAATTCAGTGTGAATGAGGAATCCAAAAAATGAAAATGGAAAAGCAAACATTACCATAACTTGCCAAACTTGATATATGTATTAACAAGAAAAGAAGAAGAATCATTTGTACCTCTCCACTAATTTACTATAACTTAAAGGAAAAGAGATGCCATCATCATTATCATTCCCACTATGTCCTCCACTCCTAGAAAACCAAGCATGATATCTTCTAGGTAGAAGCTGATGCTCCAGAAGCTCATTCCAGAATTGTCCAAAAGTCTTCTGGCATGGCCCAGACGATAGAAAATGCATGATCAGAAAGTAAACTTCTCTAAAGTCTATAGCTACTTCAGTCTCAACAGCCTGACTGGTGACTCTATCTTGTTGCTCTAACTGAGCCATCTCCTGCGCTGTGTTCAAAAAATTCAAAGGTGCTTTACTAAGAGGGGAAACTCCAGCAGAAGATGCATGCTTCCAATAGTCCATACCTTTAGCACAGCCTGAGACAATAGAAGCAGCTCCTCTTACAAACGTTTCATGATAGATGTGAATCTATTGTATAGAACAAGGCCTAAAACCATATGAAACACTGTGTACAAAAACAGACATCTAGTTACCCCAAAAATCAGTTCAATTTTATTTCCTTTACAGATACATAAAACTCATATATAAAATAGGAAACACTAGAATTCCATTTTTTCTTCAACTGAAAATAATTAAATAAACATATACGGCAATGTCAAATGACTCTGGTTCTTAGGTTTGTGGACAGACACACTGCAACAACAAAAAAAACCATTTGTCAAAGCACTAAAACTATCTAAAGTCCATAAAAAAACAGCCTTAAATTTATGGGTATCAACGATAAGATCACTATATGCATATTCTTAAATGCATTTAAGAAGCTTGCAACAAGGGAAGTGTAGCAAATATGCATCCTACAGTCAAATGAACGTTTAAAACAACCAACACTGTTCTTACAATAACTGAAATCAAGATGACAAAAAGTCATGCCAAAAGTTTTAGACAATCATAGAAAGAATAAATAGAAAATTCCAAAATATTTCAAATTTTAAAAAAAAAAAAAAAAAGGCACATACATTCTATACGTCCAACATATTCATGGTTTTTTGTGATGTATTCTTGGTATCTCAACGTTCCACAGACTTACAGGGTGACTTCAGGTTATCGATAATGGATCTTACAACTGTTGGGTAGAGTGATAGGAAAAGAGGGAGGAGTCATTAATCGCCAAGGGTTAGGGTTGAAGACTTCAGGGGCAATCATCCCGTAATTTTCTTTTTCAAATGTGGACATAAACCATATATCCAGAAAAAAACTTAAATCTGTGTGTACTACATCATTTTTTTTACCGGTCTTTAACTTCTTTTTGATGGATCCCATCCGTCAAAATTGGCTATAAAAGTCAAAATACTATATAAGTCTTCAATATAAATCTTATTAGGGGTATGTTTAAGCGCGTTCGTGTAGAAAATACTTTTGGTCAAAAGCATTTGAAACAAGTTTCTGCAAATATATCAATCAAAGTGTTCCTTCAAAAAACAATACTCCTGATGCTCTTCATACAAAAAGCACTCCCACACATGCCTTAAAAGTTACTAGAGGAATCCAGTTAGCTGCATCAAAATATTTAGTATTCGAACAATTAAATAGTTATTATTAAATAAGTACTGACTGCTGTCTTTAATCCGGACTTAAAAGGGTTTCGTTGTAAATTTTTGAAGTAATACCAGATATAAGCCACTAATTTCTCAAAGAAGCACTCAAAAATGGTAACAAATTAATTGAAACCACTGAATGAAACTAAAATAATTTTAAATTTAAATTTAAAAGAAAAAAATTATCACCACTTCAAAAGCATCGAGAAGTCCATTATTGCCCACACATAAACAGCAAATTCAAAGCAATCTTCACACTCAAAACACGTAAACAATCAAATTAAACAAATCAAGATCTAAACTAGAGAAATGCAAAAGTATTGACAGGAATTTATTTATTATTTTAAAAAAGAAAAAAAGATCTTAGTACCTCAGATACAGCCGGTTTATATATGAAGAATATAACTCTTAAAGCAGCGCCACTTCTTAGCTATGATTGAGAGGTTAATCAGTTGCGGACATACAAATTTAAGGAATATGAAAAGAAAATAAAAGTGAATTTTGGGAGGTGAAGATTATAGACGTGGCTTCGTCCCATTTTGATTCTTGAATTTGTTAGTATTCGTAGGAGATTTCAGGTCGGTTCTTCTGTAAAGGGCAGAAAGGAGAAAGATTGAAACGTACGAATTGGAGGGATTTAATAAAACTCTCTTAGAATAAATATTTTAGGGGAAAATAAACATAAGAGATGCTGTTAGGATATTTTGAGTTAGGTTTTGATGAATGGGCGCCCGAAATGTGAAAAGACATGCATGTCCACATTCGGAATCACCAAAGTTCTTTTGTCGAAGTGTAATTAAATTACACAGATTAGGGTATTATAGTCTTTTGGTGATAGGCGTAAACATCATTTCTTGATTTTGGGTTTTGGCTTGGCGACTCGAATATCACATTTACATGATTACATCAACTAATAAAAAGTCAAATAGAGATAAAGGTGAAGTAAAATTAATTACAATCAGATAATGAAACATCCACATATTACACACGATTTTAAATACATATTCTTTAATTAAATTATCATCTTCACCTATTTTCTATTTCATATTTGAAATATCAAAAGAGCAACCTAACATAAACTCACCTATTGAAAGCAAATCTGATTGCTTACGTTCTCAAATGCGGCAAATTTAAAATTATTTGTCTATAGTCTAAAAAGTAATACTACATTTATAAAAAATATGATAAAAAATGAATAAAAAAGTGAATTTAATGAGTTTGACATTTTGTTTCATTGTTCCATTCATTTTTTACCACCTCACTGTATGAAAATCTTTATAAGATTTTTTTATAAGTATAGTATTATTGTAGTCTAAAAACATTTCACTTTGCTTCTTATTGAGATCTTCAAGTCCACTTTACAAATCACTTGTCCATCTCTATTAATACATAAATTTCAAATTCAATTATTCAACATATTTTGAAATCAAAATGATTTTTTCATTCAAATAAAAAATTTAATGTTATATTATATTTTAGTTCACATTAAAATCTAGATAAAATTCTTTATGTAAAGGATCAAAGGAAACCAATAACAAATTGATAGTTACGAAGATTGCAAAACATTACATAGATCTTAATTCTTCTCCATGCCTACATAAGGTGGTCAAAATTAGCTACCATATAAGGCGTATAGAAAAAGATTTGAATCATTAAAACAAACCAAGAAATATTTTATTGTCAAAGCACCAACATGCCAAGGATAGCAAAGTCACCAATCATTTGTTTTCTTCGTCTATCATGAAAAAGGATAGTACATATTAATTGAACGGCATACTAAGGTCTTGCCTGGAATATAATGACATCAATGCCTTATTGGCCATCAGAACATCGCATCATCAACGAGAACTTAGCCACCCTTTTACAAAATACAAACAATACTACAGGAGTCAGAAATATTACCTTCTACACAAGACTCCCACAGAAATTGATGCTCCTAAGGCTTTCACTCTTTCTCTATCCATTTACTAATATCACAAACTTATTTTGTGTAACATATACATACAGATTGCAACAGACAAAATATGATGTTTAAGCACCACTGTACCAGGCTTCAATGTTTTTTTTTTATAATGTTAATACAATTCCATATAGCATTTACTTCCCAATTTCAGATCTCACTACAATACAAACAAACTCTAGCAACTAAAGTCTACAATCCTAACTAGCACTAAATAATTCTTGAATGTACTTCCCGATTTCAGATCTCAATACAATACAAACAGCTCTAGCAACTGAAGTCTAGAAATCTAACTAGCACTAATAATTTTTGAAACCTTTGAAGCAATGTTAAGTTCGGTTACAAGTCAAGCAAAAGATATGAAGTAATACTCCCCATTGAATAATATTTTAAAACCCAGTTGACTAAACCCTTCAATTTTTGGAAATGCATAGCCGCCTCCAAATGATTAACAAGAAGGGCATATCAAGCATCAATGAAGCGGATATCAAATGATTAACAAGAAGGGCATATCAAGCATCAATGAAGCGGATATCAAATGTATGGGGATGTATCTGCCAAACGTTTAGTGCTGCATATTCCTCCAGACATTCTTTCAACTGTGCTTCACTGTATCCCTGAGAATAAGCAAACATCTCAAGCAGTCAGAATTGATCTAGGACACAACAAAAAATATTAAACCCATTAAGGTAAAGTCCCCCTAAAACCACTTGGAAAAAAGAAGAATGTACACAGCTTAAATGTTAAAAGATATATCTGTCTAGTAACACATGCTTCACAATGTGAAGACAGCAGTAAATACTGCATCATTTGGTTTCAGACTATTTGAGTTTTTTTTCCTAAATTAAATCAGATGTCAAATAAACTGAATATCATTATGTGTTGGCCATAACAATCTCCTTGCTGCGGCCATATAGACTCACAACTGTGCCACAGAAGACTAGATTATAAAAAATGCACGTGCTAAAGGCCCTGAAATGCAGATCAAGCCATCTCCTAAGCAGGGGATAATTTTTCTCTTATAGGGGCTAGCAGTTTCAGATGAAGCCCATCATCCCTTGGCAAATGAAGCACTTCTCATATAACCTAAGAATGGCAATGATAATCTCTATTTCTATTAACTGCAAGGCCAAATTGGGACACCAATCTAAACAAAAGAAACTCCATATGTTGCATTGATCTTCAAATTTCAGATAGGCATTTACAAGGGGGAATCAAAATTAGATAAACAATAAATTAATTCCATTCTCAATTTGAGTAAATACCTTTCTTGAAATCCAGTTGAGTGCATGGGCATAGCTCACATCTAACTTGTTTATCCTTGCAGCCTCATCTCGCAAAATTGAATAGATATCAGAGATAGCATCCAGACCAGATCTCTGACGATCATCAGAATACAAAGAGAACTTTGACATCTGCATTAACCTAAGTGCCTCATCCACATCACTTTGAGCAACAGTTTCAGAGAATCGGAGTCTTGCTAATGCCTGTAACAAAAGTAATAAATTTCAAGAGCTTTGATGCAAGTCAATAATCAAATGCCGTATACTGATATCCAACTATGAATGCAAATCTGTATCCATCATTGTTTTAAAACCCGGCCCGGCCCGGCCGATTGAACCGGGACTCGACAGCTTCAACAGGCCGGGTTTAACTTTTCCGATTCACCCCCAAACTCTAAGATTTGAGAGGATGATCGGCGAACAATCAACGGCCGGAAGGTTAGGGCTTTTAAAGACTAAGGTCCGGTGAATGCAAGGGTGGTAGCGTCGTTGATTTCCGGTAAGTAAATCGACCAGAAATCGAAGAAACCTGGTAGCGGCAACAAAGGGATTTCTCCGACAATTGGCGAGGCTAAATGGGGTGGGGTGAGGTGGGTTTTGGTCGAGAGGAACAGGGAGTAATTCCTGGGTGATGGGGAGATCTGTCTGCGTCGACGTGGATGAGATCTGGCCTGGAATACCCATGCCAGTGTCGGTGGGATCTGGCTGAAATCGAACCTATTTCGACCAAATCATGGGTAGATTTTAATGGAAATGGGCTCAGGACAAGATTGGGGTTGCATTTGGGGTGTCACCGCTACCGATCAGTCGCCGGTCGATTTTTAGTTGGGTTGTGTTTGATAAAGTTCAAACATATAGGGACTTGCAGGTAATTTTCAGGGGTATATTTGTTGAGTTTTAAAATTTTTTGTCAGTTGAATAGGTCAACTCGGGACCCGAAAACTTTGCCGGGTTTCACCCCGGCTTGGATTTTAAAACATTGGTATCCATATCTCACTAGGAGAATAAACTCTGTTTCAAATATACAACCGAAATCAGTTTCTACACAACTTTCAGACCGAATGTCCAATCCCGTCCCCATCTAGAAAAAGGACTTGAGGGTGCCTAAAAATCACATCTATACATCACGAACATATGGTGCCCCTCCCTGGCCCAGATTTAAGGAACCAACTACTCCATATAGACATATTAATATTAACCAAAAAAATAAAACCTACTAACAATTGAAACAAATTATATTGGGACTTACAGCTGATATCCGGAGAATGCTCAGTAGAGTTCTCACGGTTGTATATGAATGAGGGCTATTTGACTTAGCTTCTTCTTGCCGAATGCTGGAGTACGCGGCAGCAATATACTCCTCCAGTTCCCTTGGAACACAAGGGGACAATCTTCTTGCGGCAGAAATATATGCACTACAGACCAAAAAATAAAACCATGAAAGATTGCAACAGAATCCATATTATGGAAAACCAATAATGAGAAATAACTGATATTAGAATTTGGTTGCTGTTGAACCCAGCCAAATTCAGAGAAATTATTTCTTTGATGCTAAAGTATCTTTCAACAACTGATTCAGACAAGTTAATGAGTTGAAAAGTGCCTACTCCAAAAGTCTTCTTGAAACTAATAACAGTATACATCAGGTGGATAATGCAGAATCAAATCAATACTCAACACTTCCATCTAAAAAGCAATTATGGTATTTACCGGAGGATAGATGGTTCAAGTGGAGTAAACCCAAGAGCTGGTGATTCTTTATTCTGATGCACATAGACCACATGCCTCGCCATTTCAAGATCATTATCCATATCTGCTCGATCTAGAATCAACCAGAGAAGATCAAACCTTGATAGAAGGGCCGGAGGGAGATTGATATTTTCAGCTGGAGTTCTCCGTAGATCATATCTTCCCCTTCANTTTTAAAACATTGGTATCCATATCTCACTAGGAGAATAAACTCTGTTTCAAATATACAACCGAAATCAGTTTCTACACAACTTTCAGACCGAATGTCCAATCCCGTCCCCATCTAGAAAAAGGACTTGAGGGTGCCTAAAAATCACATCTATACATCACGAACATATGGTGCCCCTCCCTGGCCCAGATTTAAGGAACCAACTACTCCATATAGACATATTAATATTAACCAAAAAAATAAAACCTACTAACAATTGAAACAAATTATATTGGGACTTACAGCTGATATCCGGAGAATGCTCAGTAGAGTTCTCACGGTTGTATATGAATGAGGGCTATTTGACTTAGCTTCTTCTTGCCGAATGCTGGAGTACGCGGCAGCAATATACTCCTCCAGTTCCCTTGGAACACAAGGGGACAATCTTCTTGCGGCAGAAATATATGCACTACAGACCAAAAAATAAAACCATGAAAGATTGCAACAGAATCCATATTATGGAAAACCAATAATGAGAAATAACTGATATTAGAATTTGGTTGCTGTTGAACCCAGCCAAATTCAGAGAAATTATTTCTTTGATGCTAAAGTATCTTTCAACAACTGATTCAGACAAGTTAATGAGTTGAAAAGTGCCTACTCCAAAAGTCTTCTTGAAACTAATAACAGTATACATCAGGTGGATAATGCAGAATCAAATCAATACTCAACACTTCCATCTAAAAAGCAATTATGGTATTTACCGGAGGATAGATGGTTCAAGTGGAGTAAACCCAAGAGCTGGTGATTCTTTATTCTGATGCACATAGACCACATGCCTCGCCATTTCAAGATCATTATCCATATCTGCTCGATCTAGAATCAACCAGAGAAGATCAAACCTTGATAGAAGGGCCGGAGGGAGATTGATATTTTCAGCTGGAGTTCTCCGTAGATCATATCTTCCCCTGCAACAAAATTATGAAACCCAAAATCAATACTTTAAACTTGTATATAGACTAGTTTATTTAAAGACACCTCTGTTTGTGGCACCAAAAAAAAAAAAAAAAAACCTATCTATTTAAACCATAGAAATAATACGAAGTTGGGCACATGAAATTGACAATAACTATTGCAAGTAAGATATGTACCATGCTGGATTAGCAGCAGCAAGAACAGCAGTTCTTGCATTTAAAGATGTGGTGATTCCAGCCTTTGCAATGCTAACAGTCTGCTGCTCCATAACTTCATGTATTGCTGTACGATCAGATTCATCCATCTTGTCAAACTCATCAATAGCACAAATACCCATATCCGCTAGCACCTGCAACAGAGTAATAGGTTTCTGTTAAGCCCAAAAATTCCTCAACACAACTAAATTAAAGAGCTCAAAAATTTGTGATGACAATAATGATGGCTAAACTATAATCCAAAAACCAATAGAAAACCGGTGAATGAAACCATAGATAAAGAGGTGAATAATAGGGATCACAGATGTTTTATATTTTTTATTTATTCAATTGATTTCTGGATTAAAACCACTAGAACTGATTCAGAATTAGAAAGATTAACAAAACTAGAAACCTTCTGAATATAGAAAATGAGGCAAACCACTTAGGTTGCCTGTAACTTCATGCATGTAACCATACAGTATCCATATTTTTCCATGTCATGCCACTCACAATAGCACATCAAGAAGAACATAAGACTCACCAATGCTCCTCCTTCCAGGACCATTTCATTTGTGACAGGGTCTTTCTGAACAGCAGCAGTTAGACCAACCCCACTGCTTCCACGACCAGTTGTATAAACTCCCCTGGGTGCTACATTTATTATGTGCTTGAGAAGCTGACTTTTCGCAACCCCAGGATCCCCCATCAAACATATATGTAAGTCTCCCCTAATCTGAAATTGGTCATGATATCATAAGGTTTCATTAGTATCTCACCAGAAAAAAAAAGCCACGCACACACACACATACATATATATATGAATAAAACCTACTTTATATCTCTAGTAACCACAACTAGCACCTATTGTCAGAGAGGAAGATAAAAAATACACATATACTCTAGCATTTAGCTAAAAACTACAAATTCTTGAGGAATACTCAGATCACTAGATTACATCTACCTTCATCCCATCCTTCAACTTCCGGTGAGGAGCACCCACAAGGAGAAGAAGTAGAGCTTTTTTAATATCTTCATGTCCATAAATTTCTGGAGCCAACGACCGTGACAACTTATTGTAGATGTCACCATCCTCTGCTAAACGAGCAATCTGTTCTTCCTCGTCTCCTCTGAGTTCATACCTGCAGTGCAATTGAGCATATCAACTGAACTATTCTTTACTTCCTTTAATAATTCCAACTGACAAATCAAAATCACCTCCTTGTTAGATACTTTGCCACAATGATATTTTGCATGTTTCAAACTTAATTTAGGTAATAAGCATTTTTTCTCAAACTGTTCATCATATCTAAAAACAATGAAACTATATTATGATGCATGAAATTGCTCACTAGTGGTAATTAAAGTACTGGAAATGGCTTACTCCTCATATCTTTTCTTGAAATGAGTGACAGACATGACCTCCAAGTATGTATCTGCAACTAAGCCGGCGCGAAGTGCTCTAAAACCAGTGTAAGGGATAGGAAGAAAGATACCGGATAATTCAACAACATCACCTGGAGCTACCTATTAACACACAAAAACAAAAAGGTAGAAGCTCAGATGAAGATTTACAAATCTGGTGGGGACAACATGATGAACTGCAAGAATGCAATTTTTGAAACAAAGAATATNTAAACTCCCCTGGGTGCTACATTTATTATGTGCTTGAGAAGCTGACTTTTCGCAACCCCAGGATCCCCCATCAAACATATATGTAAGTCTCCCCTAATCTGAAATTGGTCATGATATCATAAGGTTTCATTAGTATCTCACCAGAAAAAAAAAGCCACGCACACACACACATACATATATATATGAATAAAACCTACTTTATATCTCTAGTAACCACAACTAGCACCTATTGTCAGAGAGGAAGATAAAAAATACACATATACTCTAGCATTTAGCTAAAAACTACAAATTCTTGAGGAATACTCAGATCACTAGATTACATCTACCTTCATCCCATCCTTCAACTTCCGGTGAGGAGCACCCACAAGGAGAAGAAGTAGAGCTTTTTTAATATCTTCATGTCCATAAATTTCTGGAGCCAACGACCGTGACAACTTATTGTAGATGTCACCATCCTCTGCTAAACGAGCAATCTGTTCTTCCTCGTCTCCTCTGAGTTCATACCTGCAGTGCAATTGAGCATATCAACTGAACTATTCTTTACTTCCTTTAATAATTCCAACTGACAAATCAAAATCACCTCCTTGTTAGATACTTTGCCACAATGATATTTTGCATGTTTCAAACTTAATTTAGGTAATAAGCATTTTTTCTCAAACTGTTCATCATATCTAAAAACAATGAAACTATATTATGATGCATGAAATTGCTCACTAGTGGTAATTAAAGTACTGGAAATGGCTTACTCCTCATATCTTTTCTTGAAATGAGTGACAGACATGACCTCCAAGTATGTATCTGCAACTAAGCCGGCGCGAAGTGCTCTAAAACCAGTGTAAGGGATAGGAAGAAAGATTCCGGATAATTCAACAACATCACCTGGAGCTACCTATTAACACACAAAAACAAAAAGGTAGAAGCTCAGATGAAGATTTACAAATCTGGTGGGGACAACATGATGAACTGCAAGAATGCAATTTTTGAAACAAAGAATATACACTGTAAGAACCAGTTGCAAGTTGAAATTATTCAGTTTAAACCCATGCAACAGCATTCTTTTTCCATTTCTCTTTTAGCTGAGACAGATTTATAAGGGGAGGGAGTCATTTAGTTCTGTTACGCCCAGCATTTACCAAACTAGATTTTATGGCTTTATCCAAAGTTTTAAATAAGCACTAGACTGTGGTTGGATTAATTAAAAAAAAAATTATGCATATTAACATTGCCACCGAGAGTTAAGTGCTCTTCTCACATAAAAATGAAATACAAGATATAGCTTCTTCTGGAAATCGAACACAACCACTAACCTTTCTTGTGAGTTCTCCTCTTAAATGAACACTCATAGTCCGAGGAATATGACCTTTTGGAACATGTTCAGCCAACTCTTGAATCTTAGCCTGCAAATTATCATATAATATTATATAATCATGCTCCAAGTGTTCTGGCTTGTTATTCCATTCTAAAATTGAAACTATGTCAAAGTGAAAACCTCTTGAAACTTTTGAAACTTTGATGCTCTGAGTTGAAGGATGAGGTTCCCCTTTGTTTTATTTGTTTGACAACGTTTGGATGGGCACTCAAACAACGGCATGAAAATGCGGGCTGTTACTTCCTATTTGACAGATATTGAATGAAAAACAAGTTAGTGCGGAAGAAAAGACAAATCATATACAAGTCTAGTCAGATTCAGTTTGGTAGATTAGAGGTCCCATATTCAGTTACCTGGTAGATTTCAAAACCACACTCTTCACATGTATATACTGCTACCTGCATGAGCGGCTTAACATCAGAACAACGAGTTATAATGCCTGATGTCCTTACAAGGTGGCCAATGTATGAGGCCTTGACCTCCCTAATAGTGAATGGACGCCCCTTCGAAGATGCTCTAATATAAACCTCACTGTAGCAAGAATGGGAATGCATAAGGCAACCAAATAGTCAAAGATTTGATAATGAGCCACCTAATATATTCTGATATAAGTATATAAGTTCTTCATGGATAAACACCTATATATCACATTGCATCACAACTGATTAACATAAAACGTTCAACAACCGTATGCCAAAGTTATAACAAAATGTTTGCTATTATACCATTGTTCATGTAAAAATAAACTAAATAGAGGCAAAATTATACTCAAATTATAATAAACTGACACCTGGCTAGAAGTAATTGATAAAGTTGTAACAGCGTAACAACCAAATTAAGGGTTTAAAAATAGTGGGCCTCAGGACATACTAGTAACACATGATTAGAAAGATAATATTATAACAGAAGATGTTTAGGGAGGCGTCTTACTAATATCGTTTAATATCTGGAGGCATCTTCTGTAGTGGATCAGAACCGTACGTATTATCGGTTCCCTCCTCAGACCTCTGTGTCATCAGTATATCATGATCATCATCTGGAAATGCCTCAGTAGGCTCTGGCATCAACTCATCAATTGCAGCAGCAAAAATTCCAATATAACGGCGGGTGTTCTCAGTAACTCTCCTAAAAAACTCTTCATCCAGATCCTTATACTGAAACACCAAGAAATTCAACCGGAACAAGAATTAGGGTTTTACAGCCAACTGAAGAAAATAATTTTTAAGTCACATTAATAACATAAACAAAAAGAGAGAGAGAAAATTACATTAAATAGGTCTTCAAGATCGATCTGGACCGATCGGATTCTACGATTTGCAACTTCTTGCTGAATGAGAGACAAAATTGAAACAAGAAAGTGTATAATTCTTCAGTTTACCATATTAAAAACTGTACGCTTACTATTGCAGATCTACAGGCTCAAAAGCGAACGCGTGACCCAAAAACAAAATGAGATTTGAAAACTTATTTACATTTTCTCAGATCCAAGGTTTTTGATTTCGTACTACTGCATAGCAAGAAAAAGAGAGAGAGAGTTGCAAGAATAAAAGTTACTGACAAGAATGTTAATGTATTTGGCTTCGCCATTTGCGTCAGCGAAATTGGAAAGGAAGTCCTTCGCCAGAACTGTAGAAAAAATAAAAGAAAAAAGAAGAATTAAATCAAATAATCAAAGAGATAGAGAGAGGAAGGAGGAGAATACCTTTATCTGCATCGAGGTCAAGGTTATTCATGGTGAACCCTAGCAGAATGAAACAGAAAGAAAGAGAGCAGAATGAAACAGAAAAAAAGAGAGGAAACGAAGAGATTGAAGGAGCGAGGAGGAATGGGCGCCAAATAAATGAGGGAACAAAGGATTGGCGGGAAAATAAGAGCTAATGACACTTTTACCCCGGAGGTTTCATTGAAGACCCTTTTTCCCTTCAATTTGAGAGAATAAAATGAATAATGCTGAAACTAAATGTACCGATTTAAGAGGTAGGAAAGATATTTTGAAAACTATTTTTTCATTCAAGAATCTTAATAGTAAAAAACTATTAATCATTTGATGATAACGTGCAAATGTTTGTTCAAAGATGTTATTTATCTAGCTAAAACAAAAAAATATTAACCATTTATTCAAAAAAAAAAAAAAAATTCTTTTAAATAGTTATACAGTATTTGACAAATCGAAACACATTTATAAGTGACAATGTTTTGTTTCCAAAAATCAAGGAGAAGGATTTTTAGTGTCAAACTTCATATGTGAGAATGTAATAAAGATAGGAAAATAAATATAGAAACAATGTAATTCTTTTATTATAATTTGAATTAAAGTAATATTATACTTACAACTGAATCATACAACCATTTAAAAAACAAATGACAGAGTAATCATTTTATATGAATTTTGTATAATTTTTGTTTGATTCTATGATTTAGTTGTGAGCAAAACATTATTCTTTGGATTATAATAATACCGTATAAATACCAACACTAGAAATAATAATCAATGAAGATGATGATTCCATGGTATATCACACATTTATAAGCGGTGCAACAAAATTAACAAAAACTAAAGTCAATAAGTTAAAAAAAAAGGTATTAATGCATGGAAATGAAAAACTAGCAGCGAAAAGGTAAATTTCAGAAGAAAACGAAAATTAGAAGCCAAAACGTAAAATTAAGAAGAAAATTAAAGATTAAAAAGCCAAAACGTAAATTAAAAGAAATTGTGGCTGTGAGATTCTTGCCCGGGTCTCCACGGCCACAACGTACAATTCTTACCACCAAACCACAGCTACATTTGCTGCTATAATTCACGTCAAAAAGCTATTTTTCTGTTCTCCACAGCAAGCATGACTGCCCAAATTCAGATTGTGCAATCTACCCATGTTTGTATCAGTATAATGTGTTAGTCAAACCTACAAATTATCTTCAGAGTAATGCGTGACTTTAGTATCGTCCTCTTGAAAAACTGGAGGCTTTATCTACAAACTTGGAGGCCTCAGGTAAAGGCGTCGATCCTTGTGTAAAATTAGTAAGATGGTTGTAAAATAAATGTTACTAGTGGTTAATATCTGATTCAATTTTTTAGTTATTTAGAGTAGTATTTTTAAAATATTATTGTTACGTAGAATTGAGTATTTATTACGAAATAGGATTTGAAAATTAAAAATAATAGAATAATTTATGATAGAATTTTAAGAATAGAAAACAAATATGCATTTTGATTTGGAATAAAAAATTAAGAATAGTATAAGAAAACAAACACATCTCCAGTATTTCAAAAAAACGCGAAACAAGAGACCACAGAAGCATAAACGTTATACTATTCATGTAATTTCTTAGACAAGTACATTAGCGAACAGATGTAATTCTCATCATGCAGCAATTCTACATCATAAACACACAAGAAGCATGAAAACAAAAGTGTTATCCTTGGGAAACAATTCCAAGGTAAAATAATTTGACTTCAAGCTGCAACTATACTCTTCCAAAGGTTACAAAAACATACACTTGGGAAACATTTTAGCCTATTTTTCAGACTCTTCCGATCATCTGGCCACTCAACGATGTCCAAGGATGCAAAGGGCATTTCTCGTCCCAATCATTCCTCAAGAAAGACATTTAATTCCTTAAAAAGACGAACCATAGGTAGTTACAGACGATATTGCCATCTTCACCAATTTATTTCTAATATTTATTGAGAAATTGGATTCTTCTCCTTTGTTTTTGCCAATTTTGCTTGTATAAGTTTATCCAAGATGGGAGGCTCCAAAGGAATTGGGTCAAGACAACGTTCTGAAGCAGCAACAATCACCTGCACAATAACAATAAAACCCCATGTCAGTTTTTTTCTGCCTCCTCTTACCTTCCTGGCCTAACAGTAGTACTAAGCTTTCATCACAATCCAAACATGATTTTTCCCTACATAAACATTCTCCACCTGAAGAGAAAAATCGAAAAAGACTCCAACAGAGAAGTTACAGGAAATAGAAGTTCAAAATCCAGCGGCAAACTTTTCGTATTACCTCATCGAGCAAAAAGTCAATGGCAGCTTCATCCTCAACAGCATCCCTGACAGGAGTCCTTAGGTAATGAATATCCAATTGTATTTGTTGAAATCCACTTCGGTTAAAAGTCTGGAGTCGGACAAATTCTTGGAAACTTTTTAGGCTCAGTTTCACTGTAGTTGTTATAACTGACTCCTGTAATTTATGCCAAGCTCCAGTTATCTAGCTTCAATATATCAGTTTTTCACCATCAATTTGAATATTCATAGTCTCATACCTGAGTATACTCAACTTTGGTGAAAATTTCAACTTTTTGCTTGAACAATTTTGCTAGATGGGTTTCCAAAAGCTGGCTCCTGGCCCTTTGGGTATTTGATCGACTCAACTTATCCTCTCTTAATGGATTGCTGCGGGAAGAAGTGGTGCTTCCATTACTGTCAGTGCGATGATGCCTACGAATTAACCCTTGTGGTAGAATCTGCTTTACCTCATTTTCTATTGCTTCCAACTAAAGCAGGAAAATTTTGACGGAGCATTAGTTTCATTTCCTATTCTATGCAATTAATAAATAGTTACATGTCCATTCAAAGCACAACTAAAATTTACATTAACTATTTTCTTTTTTGATTCTCTCAAATTTCTTTTTTGAAATCAAAAGCAATAACCTAGAATATATCAAAACATGGATAAAGCACCAACCTCTTGAAGAAATAAATCAACAAACATATGAACTTCTCTGGGCTCCTTGTGCTGCAGAAACAGAAAATTCATAAAAATTAGGAAGCTCAAAATCAAACTATTTTCTTACTAGGAACCTTCTAAATGCTTGGAATGTAGTTATATGCAGCACTGACCTTCACCCAATTCGGTGTGGTAAATCTTTTCCTGAGGAGAACTGATATCTTCTGATTTCTCATATTTATATACTGAAACAATCAGGAGTTTGACTATGCTTTAGAAGGATTCGAAACTGATAATAAAATGAAAAACCTCACATCTAATTTAATAACTGAAGTTTACTTTCTTTTAAAAGACAGCATATATTATTCACAGTGACAAATTTTCAAATCCACATATATAAACTCATAAACTCAGACTCATACATGATGCAGAAGCTTTTCACCAGCAGAGCGAAAAATACGACAAATTTCCCCAGGGACAAAGGCAGGACCATTTTCATAGCCTCTAGCACCACCACCAGAGAATGAAGCAGCTATCTCCTGAAAATCAGAACATGAGAACAAGACATGGTGTGTACAGAGAGAGTAATTGTGTTAGTTTACACTTATGGAAAAAGATTAGCATAAAACTATCAGGTAATTCCTTGCCTCAGTGATTCTTGGGATGGCAGTTTGCTCAATGAAGACAGAAAGTTGAGCCAGAACCAAGACAAGCCCAGCACGAACTTTGTCACCTTGTGCTCCCTCCATCAAACCATGAATTTGACCAGAAGAATTATTTCTTCCTGAAAGCAAGAGGAATTGATCATCAAGTGCCCTGAAGAAGTCTTGAAATCCTTCTTGAACCCAATCAATAATCAAGTCCTTTAATTTAACTAGTAGTCCTAAGTCTTCATCAAGAAGCTGGCGGAAGTCCTGGAACAAAGAAAGTAGAATGAGAAACAGAAAAGCTAAATGAATATGCACATACGTATTTATATCATACATTAGTGTGCTGAAAGTGATGGAAATAGGAAGGTTTAAAATTATTGAAAAACCTACAAATCAACGTGAAAAAGAAAGGGAGGAAAATGAAAAGTAATGATTAAATTGTTAAAATATAAAATACAAGGGGGAAAGAGGGAGGAATAAGGTGAACTAAGGTCATTTTCATTTTTATGCAGCATGTGTTGACATGAAGCTTTCCATGATTCTTGAATGCATAAACAAGCAGTCTCCATGACACCCCATATATTACCAGTAAGACGTCCATGCTGCCTTGAAGCACTGCTTTTTTGCTACCCTCGAGAGCAACCTGCAAAGGATGTTCCTCCACTCCCTCCTTTTGTCCAACATAAACTTTTGTCAGGGCATCTGCCAATTTGAACAGAATTAATTCAGAACACTTTCCACTTTCAATAAGATGAATTAAAGTTGTTTCAAACCATCAAATCATTCAAATTTGTAATATCCCATTGTGTATTCTCATTTACCATTAATATTCCTTCCCATCATCAATTCTCAACTATACCAGCAGTAAAATCATAAATCTAAAATTATTTCTGGTGATTTGAAACTCAGAAGAAAATATTTTTGGAACTGTATCAGCAAAATTAACCTGATATATCCTGTAGAAGATGAGAATATCTGCTGGCAACATAATGTTTGACAGTGATCTGGGCAGCCTGAAAGCATGTAGAAATAATCAGTATATCAAACTCCATCATTCAACAAGAAAAGCAATTCTAGGCTACTTCCAAATAAAACCTGCAGCGAAAACTCAGAGAGAACAGCTTCAGGTAACGCTTCATCCATCAGGAGCACATCTCTCCATATAATTCCTGAATGAGGTAGGCATTTGGTGAAGCATTTCAAAATATCAAATTCAAGACAGAAAAAGAGAAGAAATTTAAAACAACCATCAGGCATAAGATATGATGGAAAGAAATAAAGCTACTTACGGAGAACACACAATAAATCTGCTGAACGTATTCGTTTCTTTCCATATTGCTCAGCAGTTCCAAAGTTCCTAAAACAACAATCAGCAACTACCTTTCATAAGCAAAACATTGTGAAAGAGTCTACAATCGGTCCAAGAAAGAAAATCAGCATATCTTACATGGTAACTAAAGCTTGTGCAAGTTTAATTAGTTGCTTTTCTGAGTCAGGAAATATTACTCGATAAGCTCGGACAGCCTCCACAAACTCTCGAACAGAAGCCTGAGTTAAAAAAAATTGAAGGCAAAAATAAGTTCATTAGCCTGAGATTTATCTAAATAGCAAAGAAAGAAAAAGGATATATAACTGTGCAAGTAATGAGTCAACTAGCAATTATCCTTTGCCAAGGGAAAAGGGGCTGGGTGCATTTATATAATTGAAAATTACATTATCCATTAAAATACTAAATTTCTTAGCAACAGATTCCCCAACAGTGGTCTAAAGTTAGAGTCAGTTACCCGATATAACATATTTATTCCCAAAAAACAAGCTCATTCAGATATGCATGCTATAATTTTATTATTCATGATTTTTGAAACTCAGACCTCCTTCCACACCACCCCTTATACTTCTATGATGAAGAAAGTAAATACTATATATGTATGAAAACTAAAACATAATTCTAATTTTCCTCAATGCTAGGCTAGAACTTTTTCCAATTAAGTTAATGTTTAATCAGACTTTGAACTTTAGGACTACAGAAGCAGATAAATAATTATATTCTTACAACGTTGACAACCACAGTGATGTAAGCATCAAATGAGAGAGTTAGATTAAATGACCGCAGGGGTATCTTTATCAATTTTACCCCAGTCCAGTTCTTAATATCACAAATATTCAAGTATGTGTATCATAAAAGTGCTACCAGTTACCTCATGAGCAGTGGCAAGAACTGACTCAGGATTCTTTTCTAGTTTAGAAGGATCATTAGACTTTAACAAGTAATAGCTTATATCTTCATCCTTAAGCTGAAGATCGCCAAGAGATTGCTCCAACTTCTCAAGTAGTTTTACCTTTAACGTGTCCACCTGCCCAAAAAGGGGCAATGATCAAGAAAAAGAATCTTATATGTTTCAAATGAATCCATGGCATAACTGAAAATTGAAAATATTTGGACAAAGAATGAAATGGTAAAAACATATTTTTTTTCAAACATGCTGCAAACAGATACAGACTCCAGGAAATCTTAGATTCCAAAAATTAGTATTATAATATAGATTTAATCTTTCTACCAAAATAAAATCGGTCAATTCTCTATGTCTGTAGTTAACAATTAAAATATCAAAGCAACTAACAAGCCAAAAAGCATCTGAAAATCTAAGTACAAACCGGAAAATCCAACTTCTTAAGAAGCACTGCAGCTTCGGCTCGTGCCTGTATAGATTCAGAATCTGAGAACAGCTTCCCCTGAAACGGAGAAGTTCACAAGACATAAAAAATTGTGTATCAGCTAAATGGCAAAAGACTATAATTGAATTCTTCCACATTAACTTGCGGTTTTTAACTGTTTGTCTTATATAGGAAATATATGCATGCTTGAGTTGCACAGACTTTTTTTATAATGATGGTAAGTTCTCCTTTCTTCACAATAGAATTTTCTACATTACAAGATATATTGCACCCATGGGCACAAATGAATACATGCATGTCTACGTCATGTGCACATAACATTAATACTCACAAATAGGTAAAAAGTACTATCCAAAAATATGAAGTTTAAACATTATTGCCAATATTTTCACTGAAAAATGCAATACCCTCTTAAATCATGAAAAATATGTCGGATTTAATTAACCTACATGGCAAAGTTAGTAATGTGCCAGTCAATTAACTTAGAAGTCGCTTGACATAACAGCAAAACAGGGTGAGCCCTGCCTTCACCAATGATGAGAAGTTGGTTTTATGAAACAAAAGAGTTACCTCTCTTTGTCTAACTCAGCCATTGGATACTAGGGGAAAAAATGTTATTGGATTATGACAGATACTTAATGCACTATATAGCTCTAAGTAGCCCAAAGTTACACCAAGGATTTATGTAGCAAATCCATTTAGTTGTGATTGAGGCTTATTTGAGTTAGGATTGGGTAGTGACTCCGAATTATGACACGTTTCATCTCTAAGGTTCAGTCTTAAATATCAAAAGAATATTGGCCAGCCTGACTCAGCATTATATGGAAAATACCTGCAAGTTTTTTATAATTATGGCCACTGCTTCTTCAGACGCTCGCTTACAGTCCTGGAAAGATGAATCCCCATACGCCTAATAAGGAGAATATACCAAAATGTTAAAACTTCTGAAAGAGATTACAATATTAATATATAAAATCATGCCCCAAGAATAAAATGGAATCAAAACTAAAACAGAGCTTGACCAAACCATCAAAGGACACATATGAATTAACTAACCTTAAAAATTGGCATCGCTCCAGTGTAGAACCTGACTGCATCAGCATAGACTTCTGATTTGATACATTTTCCAAGTCTAGCAGGTAGATCATAAATGAACTGCTCTTTACCACAGAAAAATAAATCAGTTAATTAATTCATGGCCAAAACCAATGCATACGTAAAGGACTAGCTGCTCTCAGTTCAGTTCAAGCAGCCAGAACCGTGCATCACTCTGAAAGCTATGTCAGACAATTAAAATAAATCATTAGCACTGTAGTATGATGTATGATTGTAATTTATACTTGTCCTTCTTATAGGTCAATCCTCACCATCTGGCTACAAGAGCTAAATGACCCCGCATGAAATGGAGATCAATTTCATTACATTAAAAAAAAAAATACAGATTGACACTTAGATAACGCCATAAGAAGGTTTTATGGATCTTTTATACCTGAACTTTCCGCAGAAGGTTGCGCGTACGATGTAATTTCTCTATGTGTTCTCTCTTTTCAAAAAGAGAACTGTTGACCCCATCACTTCTAGATTGCACTGACTTTATCTGTAAGATTAATGAAGGTGTGAGTTCTTGATTATCCTTTTTTTTCTTCCCCTAATCCAAAACTCAAAGCAAAGATTTAAAATCACTAACATAAAATCTTTTACACACCTTATCAAGGAGCTGTTCCATATTTGTTTCCATGCCCACTATATTATTATTCATCCTGTTACACAGTCAAACTTTAAATATTATATTTAAGAATATACGTCGAAGTATAAAATTAAACCATTCACGACTGATGTCTACCAAAAAGTTGCCACATGAATTCAAAAAATCTAAACTGTATGCAAATCACTCAAATAAGACTATTATCAATACTGAGGTAATTCAAATAAAAAATGAAAGGAAACAATAAAGCTCCCGCAGAAAATTCAAAGCTGATAAACTTGTTGTATGTAGCAGCAAGACATAATCAAGTACTACAGAATAGTGAAACCTACCTTTTAATTGTGTCAGTGGCACTGATAAACTTGTTGTAATTTTCATAAACCAACATTTGCAAGTCAGTGTCAAGATTTTTAATCTCAGCTGCCATTTCAACATGCCTCTGCAGAAGGCCTTCCAGACTTGACTTTTGTACCTACTCAATTGAAGGCATGTATAAAGTATCAAAACTTCTGATACCCAACCCATTCTTCAACGACACAGCAACAATGTTGCAATCTAATCTAACAATTCTATCTGAAGTTTATTATGTACATAACCCAACACTGAAACCAACATTTTTCCAGAATGTATTCCCAGTCAATGTGCTTCACTATCATACGCTTCCCAAAACCCTTTCAACCACCCTAAAAAGTTCCATTTGGATGCTGCGCAAAATACATAACTTTATCAAAACTCATTATCACCGACGCACTGTTTATTATCATTCAAACCAAACTAATTTAATGTTCATGTTATCAAAATTAGCCTCTCCACAGTCCGGTTGGTGATATATTGAAAATTCTAAAGCCATAAACGAAAAAACAAAACAAACCCTGTGCTTAAAAAAAAAAACCTAGAAGAACTTCCAATCAACTCGACAAAAATGTACACGAGCATTAACAGATCCATTAGATATTACAGATTTAACTGAGAAGATGACGGCGTACCAGGAAATTCATGTACTGATCGGCATCGAATGAGCCAGTATTGATTGCATCTAAGGGTGCAGATTTAGAGGGAGCGTCGGCGGACACAGATGGATCTGGAGCGTAAAAGCTCGATAGCAGATCTCTCATTCTCTTGGCTTTATCATCCATTGGTACTTCGTCCACTCCCATCTTCTCAATGATTCTTCGCTGATTGCTTCTCGGAAAATGAATTGATTCTGAATACGGTGCTTTGGAGAGAACGAACTGAAATTTTACCGTTACAATCTGCCACGAGCAAGNCCATATTAAAATCCATCCGTCAAGTTTAATCGAAGAAAGATATAATAGTAAATTCTAAAATAAGTCAATGGGTAATTACGTTATTTTATCCCCTTATATGTTAACTTAAAAAAAAAAAAAAAATTGGCCAACCGCCAAGTTTTACTTTCTTCCCCACCTCACCGTCTCCAGCCAATTTGGCCGGAATTCGTCGTCGTTGGCTTTCCCAGTCACCACCACAAGCTTCCCCAATCTTTTCAGACCAGAACCCCCTTGATCCCCGCATCTTTCAACCCACCGTTCGTCGGCCACCGCAAGTTAGGTTTCGTTGTCTCGAAGCCGATTTCTGCCTGATTCCAGCGGCTAAAACCCAATCTTCCACCACCACTACAACCTCCGACCTCCACTCTACAAAACCTCTCAAACATTGGGATTTGATTACTCGCCATTCATCGGCCGTGAACCGTCACCTTCCACCACGGTTGGGTTTTGCAATTTGATTGTTTTGGAACTTTTTTGAAGCATTTTGATTGTTGTCCTGGTTGTTTTGGTGTTGTTGGTGTGTTGAGTTGCGTTTGTTGGCTTGATTTGGGTGTTTTTCCACCTTCTCCAGCCATTCCCACTTCTTCTCCTCTCGGGCGCATACCAGGTGCTCGACGAAAAGCCCTAACCAGCGAATCGTCGGAATTGCAACCAGAATCAGAGGCTACAAAGAGAAGAATAAGAGGAAAGGGTAGTTTTGTCTTTACATGTTTATACCATGTCAAAAGAATGAATTTCCCTAACGGAATATAACAGTGGGTGAGAAAAGTGTCATTTTGAAACTTGACAGATAGGACAGTGTCATTCGGCCAAACCTTGGGTGGGAAAAAGTCGTTTACTCTATGTTTTTGAGACCATCAAAATTTAAAATTGTTCAAATGAAGCAACACTAATATTTAGCGGTGGTAAAATATCTTATAGGACAAAAGATGAGGAATTCTGGACGAACAAAAGGGCTATTTGGTCCCATTAAAATATCAGGTAATGAAAGTTGTAAAACCTTCTGTTTCTGTTTCAACTTTCACGGTATGAGAACGAGGGCTATTATTATGATATTTAGCGATAAAATATCGGGATTTTATCCTATATAAACGGTGTCAAGCCATCCTGGATATTATTTTTAAAACAAGTGATTGAAACTATAAAATGGATGATGGATTATGTACATACTTACGGATTAAAATACAAGTAGAGATTTTTATATATTAAATAAAAATTGATTATTGGATTAATATATATACACGATTTTTTATATCTTAAATTAATAGAAAAAAAAAAATTGATGGAGGATATAGAACAAATTCTAAATAAGTTAAAAAAAAAAAAAAAAGTTTACGGGAAAACTACTTTTTTTTATTTATATTCTATGTTTGAAAGTTATTTTAATTTTGTCAATTAATAAGAAAACATTTATTTTTTTACCAATTTAAACTCAGCGGGACCACTCTAAACCGGTTGTACACCAGTACACCTAACTCGTCTGTGCTTAATGCTATTCTTATTTATCGGCGATAATTCGTCTATAAAATTTAGATTAAGTAATACTAAGTAAATCTAGATTGTATATTTTTTGGGGGTAAAAATAGTTTATAGCCCTCTAGTTTTGGTATATTGACACATCTAGGTTTATTAACAAAATAATCCCAAAAAAATGTTAGTATGAATTTAATAGATTCAGTTAAAAATGGTTACTTTATCTTATATATTGAATAATAACATAAAGTAATATGTGCAAATTAAATATACAAACTGATAAGGATAATTATTTTTCCACCATATCATTAATTTAACTAATTAGCATTTATTAAATTGATTTTTTTGTAAAATCACCCATTCCTCACATATATTTCAATATTTTAATAATCTTATAGTTATTGAACACCCTACATCTAAGATTGGATGACAAAAACTCAAAAAAAGAAAGAAACCCATTGGCAGGTAGCTAACCCTTTGGCTAAACCGAATATTTGTTTGAAGCATTTATCCTTATTTGAATTTGGACGAGGAAAAGAAGCGCTGTAGAATATTCCAGAAAGGAAAGAAAGTGTGCTGGTGTGCGTTAGTACTAATATTTAAAAGCACAGCTGGCGTCACTCTGCACGCCAGCAAAGAACACCGACACCATAACCTCCCAAATTTCGCTATATAAACCCCATCTCAACGCTTTCAAGCCTTCTTCGGTCTCACATTTGGAAGCGTTTCTTATCATTTGCGTTTCGTCGAAGCATCAGCTAAGTTTTCTTTTCCTTTCATCTTCTTTCTTCGCTTCCTTTATTTTATTTCATCAAAAATATCGTTTAAATTATTCTTAAATTCCAGATCTGTTTTAAATTAGGGTTTTATTCCTAAAATTTGTCTCCTATTCGAGTTGGGTGAGCGATATTGGGTTCTTTCAAAAAATACCTGATTCTAGATTTTCTATGAGTTATTTATATTGATTCTCATGCGGAGAATCGACTTTTTCATTCTTTCTCGGTTGATTTCTTTACTGGTTTTATGTTTTTTCATAAAAGATCCTCAAGTCTCTCGTGATCAACTTTCGATCCCAATTCAATCAACCCATTTCTTTCCTCTACCCTCCATTGTTATGTAATCAACAGTTAATTCTAATAAAACACGATTTCGCTTTATTTAACCAAAAACACTTAGAGAAAAAAAAAAAAAAAACCCAATGGGGTCAGTTCAAAGGCAAACAAGTTCCGGCCCGACAGCGACCCTCGTTATGCACAGATCGACGAGAGGAAAAGGAAGAGTGATATCAAACCGGAACGGCCAGGGATCAAGAATGAGGAAACAGAAACAGATGGAGGATTGGTTAACGAAATAAGCCAATTGGAGAACGCCAATGCCATGATTAGACAAAACATCGGGGCTAGTACTCAACGTTACGTTGAGTGGAATCTGCCAACAATGTCGTGAGGGCTCAAACTATGGAGCTGACTGATCATTTGAGGTCTTTGACTCTGTGCTGCAGATCTGGGGCGAGATTAGTGGGCTCAAGTGGAGATTCCTGAAATGCCGACCCTCTATGAAACCGTGGCAGTCCTGTCCTGGGCAGCATATCACGGCGTCTGCTGATTGTTTGAGATGTAACATCGATTTTATTGTCGTTGCTGGAGAAAGTGGTCGTTGTGTCCTTTTAGGTCTTTATGTGTTGTTAGTTAGCTTGATGTCGGTATGGTTTTATTTTCAATGGGAGTGCCGTTTGCAGAACTTGTTATGTTAATGATGTAAGGTTGTATTTCTGTTTCATCATTCTGCAATGAATGTGCCTTCTGTTATTTTTTTAGTTCAATGTAAGGTTGTTTTCTGTTTCTATCCATTCTGCATGTAATGTGCCTTGTTCTGTCATTTTCTTTTCGTTCGATGTCTTCTAGTTCATTAACATTCTCTTAGTTAGTATGATAAGCAAATTGATTTTCCTTTACGTGCGATGTTCTAATTGTAGGAGTGTTAGTTAAAACTCTCTTTGTTATAATAGATATCTATCTACATCGTCTATACCTAATGTCATAAGAAAGAAGCATGAAGCTTGAATAATTGTTTTGGTTTCTGCTCTCACTAACATATATTCAGACGCAATGAATGGTTTATGTTGATTAGTTGTTTTAGTCCGATTATTGTTTTTGTCGTGAAGAAACAAAAAAAATCTCTGGACCTGCATATACAATCACATGTATTAAGAGATCTCTTTTTTCTTCTTTCGTCCAGCCAGCTTTTACTACACGATCACGTGTTTACAATCGTTCAAAGTCAAACCTTCGTTGGATGTTAGTTTTTTTACACTTGTTGGTCAGTTCGTTAATCAAATTCAAAAAAATATTGTCCTAACAAGGAACTGACATATGAACCACTTAACCTAACTAAAAGAATTATTTGGCATAAAAGCAACTAATTGACGCTGATCTTTTCAATTTCTTAAAGTCGTAAATGCAATTTTCGCATGTATTTTCCAAACAAACCAAACGGTCAGGTTGATGTTGAAAACTCCTTCAGGTGATGTTGATGGCCCATGGACCTACGCAAAACAGAAAGGAGCCCCAGTGACATTGAAAATCGAGTGGTGATGGAATGTAATCTTGTAAAGGGTTTAATTATACCAATTTTATACATTTAAGAAGTATTATTTAACAGTATTGAATAAAAAGATTGTCCATAGAGATTTTAAGAAACAAAACTATGATTATCTCATACATTCAATTATTATGCATCTACTAAATAAATAAAAATTATTATTGGAATTTGCCCGCAACATATTGTGACGTGTGTGAAGAATATACAATACTATAAAGGTTTGGAAAGGTTGGGTTGGGATAACGGGGTTGAAACCGTCCCAGCGTGCTGCCAACAATTGCACAATAATTGTAAACCATATTAGGGGGCCAATAACATCATAACAAAGTCATTGACGATGTACGGTTTTATATACACATAAGATGGATAAGATGATACATGTTTGATAAGTCTTCGAGAGTTCAGAATTTAGCAGCAGACCATATAATTTGTTAAATAAAGATTAATTTCAATATCAAGAAAGTAATAAGAAAGACTACTTAAATACAAATACAAACACAATAATAAGGAATTTACTTTCAAGATGGTATCGTATATCAGAACACCCAAACTCCCATCACATAACTTATAAATTAAAAAAGCATAACACTATGCATTCAATCCTCGTAAGTGCGGCACTCATCGGTCTCTGGGTTGTCCTTACAGTAGTCTCCAAAGGGTCCGAATCTTTCTTCGTCTCTGGCATGGCTAGCGCTGCACTGAGTTCTTCACCTCGTCCCATGCAGCCACACACTACCGCTTGCAGGGTCACCCTCGCACGCCTCCTCTGCATTCTGATGCTTCTTCCACCTTTTCTGAGATGCTATTGGGGCAGCTCTCAGGGGCTGATGTACATGCGCCCTGATCTAAATAGGCTGGCCCTTTTCCATGGGTTGTTCAACCCTGGTGGACCTGATAG